TGTATTTAAGTCTTACGTCGAGCTTAATACATTTTATGATTTATTCTCATTAAAACATCTATTGGTGGTTAACAGTGTGTAACTAAAAACTATATAAAATTGGATCTTATTATTGCCAATGATATAATATACCTTGAATTTATTATCACGAAGTCTATCGCATCCAGATATTTAAAGCGCATTTACAATATATTCATTTTTTGTTATTTCAGGATGGATATATCGTAAAATTTATCTTCATTTGACGAACTACACCCAAACTACAGTGTAAACACGGTTTGGAGACTGTATCTAAACTACAGGGTACATCGAACTACAGTGTACATCATGCTTTAGAGACACTATCTAATATCCAACAGGAAAAATGACGATTAATTTAATATCCACCAATTTGTGTTGCTGCTATTTTGTATTTTCAAAATTTATCTTCAAATTCATAGACATCGAAAACTATATAAAAGACATAGCAAAAGTCATATCTTACGTATCTTAAGAGATGCCCTTTTATTATACCAAATTCGGCAGCCATTTTAAAAGAAATGCCCGGCACCACATAATAAATACATTTCTTTAATTGATGTTTATCGAATTCGATTTCCGCACATTTCGCGTTAAAGGACAATATTGGTGCCAGTCATGTGATAAGAGCTTGTTAAATACATCCCAAATATATTTTTAACACAGAGATCATTGCTACTTGAGATGTGTAACAAGCACGTGAAGAAACAGGAAGTGACGTCAAACATGACAAACACGAGTTGTCCTTCTATATAACTGACTGTAGTAACGAGCGGTAACAGACAAACGATCGAATTTCATTTCACTAATAATTCAGTTGAAGATGAAAAGTTGTTATATGAGACGATGAGAGGATATCTGACAATTCAAAAAATTGGCTGTCAGTAGATAAAAGATAACGAACAAATTAGAAAAAAGTCCGTGCATCAACATGTTTTTATTAAGAACAGAGTGAATAAAAACGGGGGAATGCACAGGATTTTTCTATTTTTCTCGTGTACCTTATCTAGTGACAGCCAATTCTATTTTTGAATTGTGAGATACCCTCTCATGGAAATTAATCAAGTTGAAGCGTTTTGGCGTAAAACACCTGTTTCGGCGAGATGACGTCATTGTGACGTCACACAGTCGTAATGACGTCATGCACGACCATTGAAATCATTGTTTTTTGAGTGTATTCTCCCCAAAACGTAACTGATGTCCTTGCATTAGCAAAATTTCCTAATGACTGTATTCCAAAAACGGCAAAAAACAAAATAACGGACATCGATGACGTCATCAGCCGCTACGACGTCATGACGTCATCAATTACGTCGACCAACCATGCAATGTAAAATAGATGTCAATATGGTTATGTGTAAGAATATTCAGTTCAATATATTCACGGTGTATGATTTTATCCATACTTCAATTTTAGTGAGTTAATTCTGCAACGTTTTTAGAAAAAAATGCTATTAATTTGGCCAGTACTGTATATTCACCAAATTTGCAGGATATATAAACAAAACTCTACTACAAAATCAGACAGAAAACAATTTAAATTATCATTAATATTTCAAACGTTATCAAAATATTTCTCCAATGAGAAAATATTGTCGTGAGGCAATGTTTTAAACACCATTTTCCAGCAAACTATAAAAATTATAGAGAAAAACTCTCTGTATGGTTTCAGGGTTATCATTTAAGAAAAAGCAGTCCAAAATGAGACATTTATTTTTATTAGTGCCAGAGATATGGTGTACCTGCGTTTTTCATACTTTTTCCCCAAAAATGTGTTACCCTAGCAACAACATTTTTTTCTTTTTTTTTAATGAAAGTTTGCCCTTGTTTATTACATTTCCTAACTACTTCACTTGTGCCATTTTCAATTCAATAGCTTTAAAATTTCAGAAAATATTTTTCGGGTAGCCTCACCCCGAAATGGTGATACTTTTGCATGATGTATTCATCATCACTAGAAGGTGTGTCAAAAATAAGTTTGGAATCTCTAGCTTGGAGGTCAGGGTTAAAATTTCTGTTTATATATGAAGACACTGGGTCCGTGACGGAACTAGTACTGTTGGAGTTAAATGGTGATACTTTCATCGATGTTTCATCACCACTAGAGAGAGAGAGAGAGAGAGAGAGAGAGAGAGAGACGCCCACTCGACACAAACTAGGTCATTTTGGGACTAACACATGGTTCAATTTTATTTAAAAAATTCGCTTGCCCGTAGGGGTCTTTAACAGTGGGAGAAAACCCACGAGGTTGGACAGGCGACCCTACTCCTTGTCACGTACAACCGGGGAATCGAAATCACGCCAGACCTTATGATACAGCGCGCACGTGCTAACCATTTGGTCATCCCACCCCCTATATCCTTTGGGAGATACGAATAACATCTTGCATGATTTTGATTTTTACAGTCAATACACTACAAGTTTGACCATAAATACATATCAATTGATCAAGTTCTGTTTTCAAAGTTCGTAGATGATTTGCCTTTTACATTTCCTCTTGATCGCATAAACATTCGGGTGTTGTGATACCCCTTTCTGCGCCACTGACAAGGGTGTAAGACGCATATCTCTCAAAATTAATGATAAGCTGTATAACAAACCGATTCCTCGTCAAAGGACGGATAATTACTTAAGATCAAATACTGAAGTGTAAATAATAAAAATCAAAGTATCTTAGCGGTGTCGCGTGAGGTTTCGAGAAATTATCCCTCGGCGTCAATCTTCATGGTTTAAACACAGGCGACTGTAACGTGGAAAATATTTCAAAAATAACTTCAAACTATGACTAAGTATACTTCTAAAGTCTGTCACGTCCATGTTCGTAAGCGAGATTATCAAATATCTACTGATAGAGAATCGGTTTCAGACGAGTTATTTGCCCCTGAATTATAAATTGGAATCAGACCAGTTATTTGATAAGCTCGCTTACGAACATGGACGTAACAGATACTTAGTCATAGCTTAATGTTATTTTTGAAATATTTTCCACGTTACAGGCGCCTGTGGGTTTAAATACGTGTACTGTAGTTAGAGGGGTTTAAGTTAGGAAAGAAGTTTAGATACATTCCTCCAGACATTATTGATAACGAACTTGGTTAATATGCAGGTAAATCAGAAATAAAAATTATTTATGGTACGCCTAAGATCAGAAACAATGTGTTTTCCGCTCTTTACTGAATAGATCAATGAAAGATTATAACATCCTTCGGATTGATCACTTCAAATAAATATTTCTGGTAAATCCTGTCAACTCGTTCATAAATCCTGGATTCAACACGGGTGTTCAACTTTTCGTAATCAAACATTAAGAATAAGATTAAGAAGCACTAATGGAGAACATTAAAAAATAATTCTTTAAAATTTATCTTATCAGATCAGACTGAGAAATTTATTCATTTTGATTTTATCTGTTAATAATTGGCAACTTTTTCGAAAATTGACATTTATATATACTCTTCAAAAAAAGTAGGGGATATTAAGAAACAATACAAAACGGCGAAAATGCACTGCTGTTTTTATTAGAGGTAACCAGTGTATGTTAATAACAGGCCAATTGCCTACACATGAACATAAACAGTTCATTTAGGCGGCTTATCTGACGGCCCATTTCACTCGCAAAGAGATAAACCGTCAAAAGTAAAAATGGACGTTTTTGATTTTTTCTTAATAATGAGTAATTGCTCCACCAATCCTCAGACATTCAGCAATTCGTCGTGGCATGCTCCTAATCAACCGTCCAATCACGATTTGGGGCCAATTGTTGCAGTGTTGTCGGTTGACGTTGACGTCGACGAACACGTCTCCCGATCAAATTAAACGTAACACACTAAAGCAAAGATACGCTAAACAGTAAATTTTATGCAAGAACCGATAGGAAAGCAAACATGGATAGATAAACCAGCACGCCGCAGTTTTCATCAACCCTTCCTTGAAGTGTCAAATTTGACAATGAACCCCTCCCACGTGTATGGCGTTATTGCGTGTCGCATGTGCAGCTCAGTTGTTCTGTTGGGGCGATAAGTTCTTCATCTGTGAACATACTCTCAAAGCATGTCAAATTCCCATGACTATTTATCATATCACAACCTGCATAGGTATTTGCATTTCAATATCCCCTACTTTTTTTGAAGAGTATATATATATATATATGAAACAACTGTTAAGAATATTTTTGTGGGATATAACATCCAGTTTAGTGGTTAATACTGTTTACTACTCTGATTTAGAAAGAAGTGAAATGGGGTTTAACGTCCTACTGGCCCCCGATTTAAAAAGAAGATAGCTCAAACAGTAGAACATTATAATATTGTTCCATCTTACCTTTCGTCCATTTACGTAAAATTCTATAACTGTAGTCATGCTGTTCAGTATATTTTAAATAGGTATACCATAGAACATATTCCTGAAGCAATGGCCCGATAAATCCCTCTCTGGCCATTGCTGGATTAGCTTCTGATACTTGCGCTTTTGAGGGAGTGTGTCTATTCTTCCCGTTCAATCAAATATATCCAAAAGCACAGCAACATGACAGCCCTTCGTTTAATCAGGAGTCTTCCCTAAAACTTTGGACAGTGATTTAAGGTATTAAAAACGGTGAAAGTGTTGTTCGTCTCAAAACATGTTTACATTATATCCACAGAGTAAAAATCGTGTTGACAGTTGATAGCATTGCTTGTCACACAATTAGTTTTTCTGCAATATTCTGCTATGCACTGGTTAATTGGGCATAATAAAATCGTGAGTCATGACGTAACGTTATGTAAACGTATTTGGTCCAATTTGGAGGTCTGATTGGTATTGTTACGCAGTAAGCTATTGGTTGTTAATCGGACTATTGACCAGTGGAAATTTAGAACAAGAATTTGCTTTGTTTACAGCAGTGAGTAGTGGGATTAGCTCTAATCAAACGAAACACTGCGAGGAGTAGGCTATGACCATAGAGTAGAATATAACTACACAATGGGAATATTTTTACATCTCACCTTTCGACCGTTTACGTAAAATTCTAACATTGCTGCCATTTTTCTTCAGCCTGTTTCCACTCCACTATGATTGTTGTCGTTTACACAAGCCAGTGATAACACATAGCTGGTCAACTTGACTTCTGTCGCCCTATAATGAGTAAATATAGGTTATATATATATATAGGGATGTTCGTGTTATTAAATGGAACACGTGGCCTATATTTAGTATATAGTAATTTACATACAGTGCACAATCATAATATTTCAATTTTATTCAATTATTGGAGATCAGTTCTCAATTCATGTCCAATCTTACAATAACATTACCCTTTTGTCCTTTATGGACTGGGTAGAGACAGGAAGTTACACTATGTGGCAACAGCTGACTTGAACCCCCTCGTCTTAAATAGAGCAAAATCTATAAATCAGATCACTGCATGGTGTTCGCCAGCTTGCGAATCAAAATATAAGGAAGGGAGATAACCCGGCTATTTGCAATCCAAACATTAGGATGCAGACCACCATTAAATTACACCATCTCTGTTCGTCGTTCGTTCCTAGAGTTTTACGGCCACCCCCACCAGGGGTGATATCATAGACAAGACCATCTCGGTACCCAGTTCGTCTATTTATAGCAATTCTCTCTCTACCAGTTTTATGCCCTTTTGAACGCCCATTTTTGTTGATTTTTTTGGTCTAGAATGAACGAAGAGGGTTTGAATTAACATTTTCTGAAAAGGTTTTGGTAAATATTCATGATTTTGAGGCGGAATGGTAACAGTGTTATCACGTTGGTTACGGTGATAATGTACGGCGAATAGTTAAATGTTTTTAGTATGCTTCTTCAAGTTTGGGTATCTCAAAATTTTGGTGGTCAGCTTCATACAAATTTTAATGCAAACACATGACCATTTGTTTCTCTGTCTGTAGTGAAAAGCATTCAACCGAACGAAAATTTGGGGAAAAGTTGGAGCCGGGCATAGAGGCCAGAATTAACATTGAAATCAATGTGGAAATTAATGGTGGTCTGCATCCATTAGGGCTAAGACTAGTAATTATTTCCCTTTATTTTATGTAGTGCGAGTTATTAATAGACAATTTTTCCCTTAATCTTTTTCTCCCCATTTTTTGCATTTTTTGATTGATTTTTTGTCTAGAATTGAAGAAAAGGAATGAAATTTCAGAGCAGTTTTGGGTAATACTGGTGATAGTAGAGCGGAGGATAGAGGGGGGTAAAGTGTCTTTCTGCAGAGCAATCATTGTGTCGGAAGTGAGATTTTGACTCCAGTCAACATCAAATCCCCGTAGCAAAAAAACTAAACGGTCAACCCCTTAAAAAATTATTATGAGGGGATGATTGCCAAATGCGATCCCCAATATGTGCCTATAAAGATTGGAACCAACGGAATGTTGAGCAAACAGACAGTCTGTGATATTACAGCAATTTAATTTGAAGTCAATGGGCGAACATAAGTCCATTAGATCGCGTAGAGGCCTTTAGCAGTGGGGAGAAACCAAAGGACCCGGAGAAAACCCACGAGGTTGGATAGGCGACCCTACTCCCTGCAACGTACAACCAGGGAATCGAAACCACACCAGTTGACTCAATGACAGACCTTATGATACAGCGCGCACGTGCTAACCATTCGGTCGCATATCCAACCTTGTGGGTTTTCTACGGGTCCAATCGGTTCGATCCCACTGCTAAAGTACCCTACGCTCAAGCGAATTATTGAAATAGAATTGAACAGTATGTTAGTTCAGAAATGACCTAGTTTGTGTCGTGTGGACGTTAAACCCCATTTCTCTCTGGCTCACCACCGATATCTTAAATTAAGAGTTTACAATTTAAGTAACATCTAATATATAGAAAATGCACAGTATCCTGTGAATAACATCTTATATATACTTCCGCGAAGACTACTTTACTAATTAAAAAGGGCCCTGGTGCCTTTAGGGTCTCCGTCGGTTGTTTAAAAATAAGTTTCGACTTGATTAAAGTTATATCTGGCATAATCAGATAAAATACAAGATTACCTATCTAAATTGTTCACCTTTTGTAAATACAACTTATTCATAACGATATATGATCGTATATACGTACATGTAGTCAGATTTTCGACTCCTCTATACCGATATGGTGTTAACCCTATAAACAATGGAGTTCCTACTTTTAGGTATATTATAATGTATATGATGCATTACAGGTTGGAGTTTCTAGCTTTTTAATAACTTCCGTAAATTTCATAGTTCAAACATTAATAGTTCCTATATTTCATATTTCAAACGTTTAATTATTATTTCAATTATTATTCCATTTTTATTTATATTTAATGTTTTATATTGCTTACGTTTGTAAATTGATTTGCTTATATTTAATGTTATAAACTTATTAGAGCCTTACCAGTTGTTCCTAATTTTAGTTCCAGCTCGTATAGTATAGAGACTGATTATTAGACAGAGATTGTCCTTATATTAATATATTATTAAAATAAGAGATATAGGATAATAATGTATCTGTGAATAAAATGTTTGAAAGTTGATTCAAACAATGAAATATTTTTACTTACTTTAGTCTTTATCTACTTGATTGGTTTGGCTTCTTTTTTGTCTGTTAAATGAGCGTGTTTCTTAAATAGTATATTGTTGCAGTTGATCACGTCTCGCGACGTTTTACGTGCTTAGAATAAATCTAGATAACCTTGCAGTTTACCGTTCAAGGACTTATGAATATGTTTTGGCTATTTTGAAATATCGTTCTAGATATCCAGTAAATATAGGATATCCACAGTTTTGTTGTTAAAGTGGATAATTCTAAAAAGTCATCATAGACTCGATTGACTACCTGGCAAAATTTAGTGAGTATTGCCACTGGTTGACGGAATCTAGAGTAGTGAACTTTGATCCCAATTATTTAATTCCAGTCCGTTTCTCACCTTGGCATTATTATATTAACATAACAAAATAAGCAAATTGTGTTGGTGAGTAATCAAAGATTGGTACGGTTCCTATAAAAAGTTTATTGGGATTAGACATTGGAATACGATTACTAATGCTCGTAACCATTGCTTCAGAAATATGTACATATTGCTACTTTTGAAAGACTTGTGGCAATATCTTAATTATGTGCCCTAACCTCAAAACAAGACGTGACTGAGTTGACCCACATTCAATCACATACGTGTATTAAACTCTATTGTGTAAAACATTTAGTTAAAGAGCTGTTTTTTCTTGCTATATAATAGTTTAAAAATAGATAATGCAAAATGAAATTACTTTAGTCTAGATGAATTTATGAATGTTTGAAAAATAAACAAGAAATAACTACTAATCAGGAGGTCCTTGTTACAACAGAAAAGTGGGATTTTAAACCCCATTTCATTCCTTGTTCGATCGTAATGTTGAAGGGGAAAGTTAATTGGCGTTTTCCAGGCTATTTCCCCCCCTTGTCAGTGGTGCAGGAACAGGATCTACTCGTTCGGGTTATACGATAAATCGAACTCGCGTGAACACGTTGACGTGCCCGTAAAAGGTCTTTGACAGTTGGAATTCGATGAGGAGCTGACGGAAACGCCGCTATCATGGTATAATTTACACTATAAAACGATGGTAGCACATTAAACCCCATTTCATTTAAATTGGAATTGTTGGAATTGTGCAAATTAAGACCACCATAGTATAATAAAAACATTCGTGAAGAAAGGGCAGACTTGTACAGAAGGATAGCAGAATATTGTTTTATTTATTTAAGACACATAAAAATGACGGTGTGAAATATAGAAAATAATATAAGGTTTAAAAGGCCATATTGATGGATTAGATTAATGTTTTGGCTAATAATTTTCCTTAATAAAAATATTGATTGATTATGACCTACACTCTATATTGAACCTTTTTCCTGTCATGTTGGATCATTTAAAAAATACATATTTTAAAAAGCATTTATTTTAATTATTTTTCTCTATATTTTTTTATATATCAGTTCATATATAGTCTTTGTTTTCGTTACTTTGGATTCACTAGATCGTTTTGGCGTATAAATTATTATTGGTAATGGATTAAATCATTTAGCTCTCCAAAACAACATGCTCTATGGCGTTTCACAAAACTGCGCTTTTCCACGATTCTCCCAATCAAACTTCCACAAAGCATGACTATCATGCTCAGTAATATAAACAGTTTTAGATTTAGGTTTAAAATGAATGTTACTGGGTCTTTCAAACGGACATTTAATTCTTTTAATTGGATCTCCACCACTGGTTCCAAATACTTCGACATGGCCAGAACCCCAGTGGGCTACCAACAGATTACCAGCTTCATCAAAGTCCATACCATCAGCCCCTCCTTCCAAAACTCCTTAAAAAAAATGATTTGATGTTAAATATATGGAGATAAAATTAATTTTGGCGAATATTTCCTATTATCGGAGGAGACAAGATGGCCCAGTGATTAAGAGACTTATCTCGCTAATTAGGAGATCTCGGATTCTCTCCTGGTGATGGCCGATAAACCTCTTCCCGATTTTCCGGCGTGGTTCCCCCTTGTCAGGTTTCCCTTGTCAGTGCTGCAGGTGGAAGACCTGGTAAGGAACGGTGTCAGTTAGGACGAAAGTCCAAGATCATGTGTACACATTGGCCTGCACGTAAAAGAGCCACTGGCACTTGGAATTCGAGATAAGCGCTTAAGCGCCGCTGCCCGGGCACAATTTCCCTCATAGCAAACTGATTGCCATAGCCCAGTCGGTGCAGAAAAGTAGAACACTAAATCTCATTTCATTTCAGTTCTTGTGGTGCGTGGTATGCTTATATCTTCGTCAGAAATCATGTCGGGATGAAAGTTATCATGTTAAGATCTTGAATGTGATTCTACCCAAGCCAAACCATTCAGCAGCCATGACAACGAGTCTCGACTTCAGTAGAACCTTAACTATCGTTTTGTTATCGCTAGCCAAGGTTATAGTGTTTCTCTCTTTATGTTTCACCATGTTTAATCCTCTCTAGCAAATATAACAAAACAAACACCAGCTGAGATTAAAGTTCAACAGCAGTTGTTTGGGCATTCAAAACATAGCAGATGTGGAATTAGAATCGCACACATCCGTCTCATCGAAAAAAAATAATATCTTAATTACAATCATCAATATCAAAGAGGCTGCCAGGTAACGAAACATACGCCCACAACAGCTACATGTAAGTCGTCCGGGGAGTCAACAAGGGTTGTTGCATATTTTTTCTTTGGTCAGAAATGAAAACATTTACAACACACTAAAATCTGATTAATGTAACAACCCATTTGGCTTCTAGTTCTGCCCTATTCTAACATGTAGCATACAAAACATTTAATATCAAATGCCATAATCATCGGAAATCGTTGGAAATCGCTGAAAATTAACAGGGTTCTTCTTCTCGTGACCTTAAACGCCGTGTATAAAATTAAAGTCAATCGGATATTGATCACGGGCAGTAATTATCAGAAATCGTTGAAAAGCAATAGGATTCTTCATCTCATTATCTTAAACACCGTGTACAACTTTAGCATCTAGAGGCGCTCACAAGAAAATGGTCAAGGTTTCTACATACTCTGGCAGTATATAAACATCAGCTTTAGCCTCTAAAGCATCCACAATAGTTTTTTTAAAAGTGATCAAGGGCCATAATTCTGGCAGTAATTCTGGCAGTAATTATCGGAAATTGTTGAAAATCAATAGGATTCTTCGCCTCTTGATCTTAAACACCGTGTATAAATTTAAAGTCAATCGATATTAACTTTAGCATCTAGAGCGCTCACAAGATATTTCAAATTGATCAATAGCCATAACTCTGGCAGTAATAATTATCGGAAATCGTTGATAATCAATAGGCCTCTTCATCTCAGGACCTTAAACACTGTAATTTAAAGTCAATCGGATATTAACTTCAGTCTCTAGAGCGTCCACAAGCAATTGTAGACGCCGGACCGACGGACCGGGGCGATGACAATTATATACGACCACATTTGAATGTGGGCGTATAAAAAGTTATCGGCAGGTAGCTCAGTAAGCAAGACGCTGGTTCGCTAATCTTGAGGGTGCAGGGTTCGATCCCGTTGTTGGCCGAGAAAGTTTCTAGGGATTTTCCGGCGTGGTTTCCCTTGGCGGCGGTACAGGATTTAGGGTCTGACAAGAAACACTGTCTAGTGGTTCGAATGGGACGAAAAACAGATCCTGTGTACACATTTGGCGTGCACTTAAAATAGCTCTTGACAGTCTATGGCCTCTGCCCTTCCTTCTTCATTGGCCCTGTCGGTACAGAACTATAGGGGGTTAAAACCCATTTAATTTCAACACACTTTAGTATCAGTAAGAACATTAGATTCTTACCGGGCATTTTACCCCATTGCGTTTTATTCTTTAAATTAGTCTTCTCGTGTATATCAAAGCCCCATAGCAGTTTAGTCGGCGTCTCTGCAACTATGACTTTTAAAGGCGTACCATCAGATGAATGTTGTACAGCAATACCATTGGGGAATCTAATGCCAGTAGCAACTCGTTTTACAGTTCCATCAGTGGTTAAACAATACACAGAGCCAAAACTTTCCTAATAAAGTACGAAATAAATCAAAAGGTCTATAATGAACGTAAGAAATTAATCAAAATATATATTTTAAAAAATGTTGCATACCAACAATGGGTTGTCGCTACTATTTAAAGTGTAAATGGATATACATTATCGGAACATCAAATTTGTTATGCGAAGATTAAAGTATATAATTACCTCCATAGAACGAGTATATGGATTGGGAGCTATGCTGCCTGCTGGTGCCGTTAGCCACAAATTACCATGATAATCGTAACTACAATCATTACAACCCTGCATAACCAGTCCTTCGTTGTCTTTTTGACATACCTAAAATTAAAAAAAGGAACAAGCTTGAAAATATGATAACCTGGTAGCACAAGATTAAGTAATCTATCAAAATCCAATATTAGGAGACAAAACTTAATGTCAAGTGGTTGTGGACACACCTAGATAGTATCTCTCAAGAGAGAGAGAGAGAGAGAGAGAGGGAGAGAGAGATGGGTTTTAAAGTCCACTCGACACAATCTAGGTCATTTCGAGACTAACACGTGGTCTTTTGGAGATAAACCTATATTTCAAGTTTCGTCAAAATCGGATAAGAATTGCGACCTGTAGAGTGTCCACAAACAAATTGTGGACGGACATCCGGGCGGAAAGGGGCGAGAACAATATATGGCCGCATGGAAATGTGGGCGTATAAAAAGGTCTGGCCTACCAACAGGGTAATTTGATTCTATTTAAAAGAGATGATCTTCATCTTACCTAGGTAACGGATGCCCGAACACATATCACTTGTTAAAATCGGTGAAGGATGGTGAGACTTTCGTACATTGCTGGTGTAAAGGATGGTCCACAAAAACGTAAGTACAACGGGGAAATTGCCCCGTGTTTTGGGGACTAAAGGGCATTTGCACCCATAGCCCCGCCGTTCCGGTGCCCATGGTTGTAACCACCACTAAAGACGAGATTAACCAGAAGAACCATTGCCGCAATCTTTGACTGACGTCAAATCAAAAACTGAAGTCTGATAATAGATGCGCAATTGTCCAAGAACCAAACAATCCAAGTTTCATGTCGATAGTTCTGGAATGGCGGAGCCTTGAGTTTTTCCGAAGAGCGTCTTCTCCAAAATAAAGACAGTTAAAAAGCCTGCATGGATATAAGAATTGAAAAGTTATCGTTTACAGCCCCTAATTACCTGTGAAAATGTACCATTGGGTTGTACTTTTAATATACCAAGTCTCATATCAGCCACCATTATATTTCCTTCCTTATCTGCTTGACACCCAGCTGGTATTCCACCATATCCATCGACTGATGGACTACATAGAACTGTAGACTAAAAGAAAAAAAAATATATATACTAATTATCTATTTCACAAAGATAGTTGCCAGGCAACGAAACATACGCCCAATGTCGTCCGGGCAGTCAACAAGGGTTGTCCGATATATTCTTTTTCTTTTGTCATTTTTAGACAACCTAGGTTATTTAGGAACTAATACATGGTTCAATTTGCTTGCGCGTAGGGTTCTTTAGTAGTGCGAAAAAACCAGAAGACTAGGAGAAAACCCGCGAGATAGGACATGCGACCCTACTCCTTGTCACGTACAACCGGGGAATCGAAACCCCGCCAGTTGACCCAATGACAGACCTTATGATACAGCGCGCACGTGCTAACCATTCGGCCATCCACCCCCTCCCCCTTCCCAAGACAGAAAGAAACGTTGTACTGTGTACTACAGGTAAACATTTCCTGTATACCAGGGGCCTACAAAATATTAATATATATCCGAATACAAAATATGTTCAATATGTCTATTTTATTTAACTTGTGTAACTCTCTCAGAATGTACCTCCGCATGCACCAAATTGAAATTATTTTTTCTTTCTTAATTCAGCCCTCACACTCCCATAAACTTGTCCTGGACCCACGTCGATAAGATTATCCCGTCCTGAGTCAACTTTATCTTGAAGCTGATTGACTTTCGGGACGATAAACAGAAACCAGCATCCACCTTTTTATATCAAATAAAGAAGATCGGATTAAGTATTGTATAAGAGATTCGAGTCAGAGTAGTTTTTCACTTACATGATCGTTTTCTTCAACAGACACTAAACTGGATAACACATGGCTTAATTACTAGATGACATTAAAGACCACATGTCGAAAAGTCGCTCTGTAAGTCATAGCCCGCGGCATGGACAAGCAACTCCGCCCGGGCTCGAAAATTTTTGTAAGATACATGGTTTCTAGCCTCATTTTGGCGTATATCTGGGTTAACTGAGATTTAACACAATATAATGACATACCAAATACATGTCCAACGTTTTAGTTTTACTGATGTAATAATAATCAGATGATTTTTACAGGACATTTTAAGCATGCAAACAAATGGAAAAACAAAAACCGTGATCATCAGACACCAAAATATCAAACGAAAATTCGGTTATTTTTTTCAATACCCAAAATCATATTAAACTGGATTCAAACGGAAGGGGGCCCGGATACCCCGGCGGCGACGAGAGCCTCAATCGGTATAAGATGGACCGGGGCCCCATGTACGGCGCGTAGGCCCGGGCGGGTGGCTTATTGTTTATAATTCAAATATTTATCAAAAAAATGTGGACTGACAGAATCAGATTCTAATCCTATCCACGCCACTAGGTACCCACATTCAGAAAAGTCACCGGTTATCTTCTACTTTTCGATCTTCTACAATGCAACAAGTGTCCCAGCTGTCCCCCGCCCACTCTCACGGGCTCTGTTGTAAGTCACAGTCTGGGTATTTCCGTTTAGTTATCGGTCTGGGTATTTCCGCTTAGTGTCTGGGTATTTCCGTTTAGTATTGGTCTGTTTTAAATCCCGTATCGATAAATTATACTTTATTATTAGAGCGACAGTTTTTGGGCATCGATCATTATTTGTTTCATCAATTTTTCAAGCAGACGGGTAAAGTGGAAAAAAACCCAACACATTTTACCTTCTATTTGGCAAGATAAAATACCAGAAATCCCATGACGTTTTGGTCTGGAAATACACTGCGACCGTTTTTGGGCATCGGTCATTATTTGTGTCGTCATTTTTTTGGGAATCAAAATTTATTTAAATCGACTAAAATATTTAAAATTAGAGTAATAAACGGCATCTACATGTACTGCCATATTGGACTAGTCACTCTGCTCCGAGTCCGACATGATTTTCGGCCATCATCATTTGTTTCATTAGCGAATTTTCTGGTATCAGGTGAATGCAGCGGCAACAGTCTGATTCATTGTGGAATGTGAGCGGGAATTGTTTCGGCCATTTCATTTCTGCCCCCTCTCCCACAACATCTGGAATTCAGGTGGGCACAGTGTGGGTTCGCGGTTCCAAAGCCACAAAATAAGGTGGAATATTTGACTCAGGTCCTTTCTTGTTACTGTATTCCTGTAGCAGGAAAACGCGTTTGCGCCCACCGCTGCTTCTATGAATGTAGTACGTGACAAGGAGTAGGGTTGCCTGTCCAACATCGTGGGTTTTCTCCGGGTCCTCCGGTTACCTCACACTGCTAAAGACCCCTACGCGCAAGCGAATTATTGAAATAAAATTGAACCATGTGTTAGTTCCGAAATGACCTAGTTTGTGTCGAGTGGACGTTAATCTCCCTCTCTCCCCAATTGCCGTGATTCAAGCCTTCGGCGATTCGACGGCCGCGACTGTAAATTTTTCGGGTAATTCAATCTCTGCACCCGCTCCCGGCCCCACACCCAACTATAATACCCAGACTTGTAAGCCGATCGAGCTGGGACTACTATGATTTGAAGCATTGGCATAGTGGTAAACAAATGAGCACTTTCGTGGTTACATATTGTGCAGGTATTCCCGCAGTTGCCTCCCCTTATTTTAATACCTACATAACGATTTCTTAAAAAATATAAAAACAACCTTACCGTCTGGTTTTCTAAGTCTATTTTTAATATCTGACCAGCATAGCCACCACTATTTTCAACTTCGGGTGCCACCATGTACATTGACCCTTCGTTATCAAATACTGGCCCTTCAGCTCCCATTAGACCAGTCAATAATTTAGTAAATTCTGGCTGTACTTCTGTCGCCATGATAATATAGTTATTGTTGGACTAAAAATGATCGGGAACTAAAAGGAAGTTTTGTAACACCCCTGACACGGATATATAAAAGCGACACACATCTGATGCTTCCAACTTACAATTCAAACGTTTACATTAAACACATTCATTAATATCGAACACAGGTCAATTGTGTGTTTATTTAACACCAGGATTTTCGCTGTCTCTTATAAAACTAGGTCAAAATACGCCCACCTATACAACTTGTACGTTATCTCTCATAGATCCGAAGCTAATAATGATCTTTACCTCTTTTTTTTTTTTCGATCATTTTCCGTACAAATAAACTACAAAAATATTAATAGTAGACTCTTAACGGACACCTAGCCTGGAGGTCGGGTGTTCGATCCCTGCATTGGCCGAGAAAGTTCATCCAGATTTTCCGGCGTGGTTCTCCCTTGTCAGTGATGCAGGACGGAGGGGCTCACAAGGAAAGCTGTCTAGTCGTTCGGATGGGACGAAAAACCGAGGTCCCGTGTACACATTGGCGTGCACGTAAAAGACCCCTTGACAGTTGGAATTCGATATAAGAGTAGGCCGTAGTGCCGCTGTCCGGGCAAAATTTCCCTCATATATATAGCACTCTGTATGGCGTATGCCCGTCTTCGTTAGCCCAGTTCGGAGCAGAACAGTATATAGGATGTTAAACCCCCATTTCATTTCATTTTATTTCCAACTAAAACAAACTACAAACTGGGTTTCGATCATCGTGCCTCTTTATAACTGATCACGACACCTTTGTTAATAATATTATAAATCCATAAATTTATAAAAGAAAATATTCTGTTTGCCATACAAGCCTGTAATAACACTTTCAGAAGAAAAACGCTTTTGTCGAATTTTGAGCTCTCTCAAAGCACATACTAATCTAATATGAGTGTATATAAAGTGATTTATATTCAATTTTTTTTAAAAATTATAATTTCTAATCAATTATGTTCGGTGAAATACGCGAACAGTCCAAACTGAACGACAACCATTTACGCCTAATTAGCCCACTCTTCACGTTTTTTTTATTATTATTTTATCATTAGGCCTAATTGTGGATCAGCCATTACTATTTATTGCTGCATTGTAATTTAGGATATGTTTTTCTTTGTTCATTTCTTTTCCGCCTGAAACGATAGGGTGCACAACTCGTATACGGATGGGGTGGGGGGCTGAATGGTTAGCACGTGCGCGCTATATCATAAGTCTGTCATTGAGTCAACTGGCGTGGATTCGATTTCCCGGTTGTACGTGACAAGGAGTAGGGTCGCCTGTCCAACCTCCCACTGCTAAAGACCCCTACGCGCAAGCGAATTATGGAAATAAAATTGAACCATATGTTAGTTCCGAAATGACCTAGTTTGTGTCGAGTGGACGTTAAACCCCCATTCACTCTCTCTCTCTCTCGTATACGGATTTTAGAATGTGCATTGTGTCTTAAATATTGGATATTGGGATCACACATTTCCACGGCAACATGACAACATCATTATGGATTGAAATGGACCAATATTGAATACTATATGTGTTTTTAATATTGAATATTATGGAAAATATTGAGTTAGAGACTTAGCTCCTTTAACTCAACAAATACTTACAGTATGACCACCTATCATCTTCCAGTACAAGTCTTGCATTCCCCATCAACTAAAACACTATGAGGAGTGTGTGGTCACCTGAAGTTTCTTGCCGCCAACTGTAATTCTTATGAGTGTTTGAAATATATTTGATTTGTATTTACCAACATTGAAACCAAGTTGTAATCTAATTACATTTTCTGTTTGTTTCAGTCAATTTAAATTATATCTTCTAATTATAACACTTTTCAGCTCTATTTTTGTTGAATTCTCATAAGGAAAATTTGTAAAGGCTTTCGGTCGTGATGGGAAATTGAGAAAAATAGGCAAACTTTTCTCTAATATCATTGTCAGTACTGATGATTTAGTCATAAGGTAATCCGATTTGTCCATCTTCTCTTCTCTAGGACGAAAAAACTAGGCCACGGGTACACATCGGGGTGCACGTAAAAGATCCATTGGCAGATGGAATTCGATATAAGAGTAGGCCGTAGCGCCGATGTATGGCGTATACAATGTATTATAAGGTCTGTGCTATTCCAAGCGTGGGCGGACAGTCAGAAAAAGGTCAGATCGACAAGGCTTTATTTGTTAATTTTTTTTCCACGCATATTCCCCGTCCTGAAACACCCACGGCTCCAGGACAGCATAGATGCCCCCACTGTTAATTCTTGTTTCTATGACCGGCTCTATATTTCCCCAAATGTTCATTGGGTTGAGCAACGTCTTGATCAATAAGCATGTATGAAGTTTACCATGTGTGCACATTTGGAATTTTATGATTAGGAATGTACAGGTTGGGATTTTATAAGAAGGCAATATTTAGGTTAAGATCTAATAATTAGGGAATATGTAGGTTGAGATTTTATAATAAGGCAATATGGAGGTTGAGATTTAATGATTAGTGTATATGTAGGTTGGGATTTTATAAACACAGTGTGTAGGTTGAGATCTATTGATTTTAGGGAATATATGGGTTGGGATTTTATAATAAGGCAATATGGAGGTTGAGATTTAATGATTAGGGAATATGTAGGTTGAGATGTAATGATTAGAGAATATGTAGGATGAGATTTAATGATTAGGGAATGTATAGGATGAGATTTAATGATTAGGGAATATATGGGTTGGGATTTTATGATTAGGGAATATGAAGGATGAGATTTAATGATTAGGGAATGTGTAGGATGTGATTAGGGAATAATATATAGGTTGCACCCTTTAGATAATAGGGTTATCATTACTGAGTTAAGTTAAATGGTTTTGATCCTTGTATGTGACAAGGAGAAGGGTTGCCTGCCTAACCTTGTAGGTTTTCTCTGTGGATTTATAAAAAAAAACACTCATTCACTAAATTTCATAACAGTTACGTAATAAATTTAATAAAATGTATATAACAATATGTTATAAATTTAATAACACCTATATAAAAACATTTAAAAGTCAGAAGGCACCCTGGCCTAGAATTTGTGTATATTTGTATCAGACACTTTCAACTTGTTTAAATAGTTCAGTATGTCTGAAGTAAAACTATTTGAACCACACACTAATATTTTATATTTTTTGTTTAAATCTAGTTCTGTTTGTAATAAGTCTTGTGATATTCTGTGTAAATAGATCTTCTTTCCATAATGACATCCAACTCCATCTTCCTAAAAACATTACAAAACAGAATTAATGGCCTAGAAAATGATCAGGCTATTTCCCTGCACACCATGCTTTTAGTCCATTGCGTGAGCCTGTAATGCAAATGTTCTAGTCACCACAGATAGAAGTATAGTGCTGGAATGCAACAAAAATATAGCCAAGCATCTAAAACCTTCAGAGATATGGAATGTGTACACATTTTTGGTGACAGGAGCAGTAACTCAGTTTAAATTAGAATTTCTGAATACTTCCTAACAATCCTATACGGGGAAAATAGCTGCACATAAAATCATTCAATCAGGTATCCTCCATTTGACTAGCTCAGCAGGGTTTAAACTCTGTTTTCAAGGTTGCTGACACTGGAACAACTGCACCCTGAATTTTGAAAGAATTTCTCCGGGCCAGCTCCACAATCCATTCAAGTTTCAAAAATATCTCGCACAACCTCTGAATTGTACAGCATTAAAATGGTTTCAGTGACAATAAGACATCATAAAATGAATGTGTGGCTCTTAATTATGATATACCTACATATAGTTGAACAATCAAAACAAGATTGAAATAAAATTATAATGTATATAATGTAAGAACTTATATTGGGCTTGTGTTTGTTCCTATAAATATTGTTTAAATTAAATAAAAATCTGACAAACTTTCACCTAGAAGAATTCTTACAGATAGACAGACAGACTGACTGACTGATGGGCAGAGGTGATGACAATATACACCCACATAAAATGCACCCTGTATAATTTAAAACCTCGCCATCAGACTTTACTAATGTATGGACCATGATGAAGTTGTATACTATATTTTTAATTCGCACTTACATTACTTAATGAATACACAACAGTGAAATTCCAAAATTGGCTCCATTCATTCAGTTGTTTCTTCAGTAGAATGTTGGAATAACTTGAACATCCAAATATAAGTTTTAAAATAACTTCATCATTTTCATTATCTAATATGGATGTAATTAAAGGCACCATAGGAGCTATACCAGTTCCCATACAAACTATATATAACTGATCATACTGAAAATATATATAATAGAATATCACTAAATAATGCATTCCATAACATGACATCACAAACAAACAAATATAAACCTGTTAACTCATGGTGACATCGCATGCAATAAACAACAAACATATATATCAAATCCAGTGAATGGATCTGGTTCCAAAAATATTCAAACAGTTTCATAATGCCATTTTCTCCTAATATTTAAGCCTCTGGGCGAGTCCATGAAAGTAACCATGTGAAATGTGGAGAACCATTCGCTCCTATTGTGGGCAGCATAATGTTGCTTTCTTAGTTTTCCTCTCATAATTCTCCCTGTGATACCAGTCATACCAATAGTTATTGTCTCGACATACAACTTCTGGATGCAAACAAATATTGTGGGCACTACAATTAATGTTATGGTCTGAAATCAAAATCAAAAAAAGGAGTTGAATTTGTAGAAATAAGGTAATGCATAAATCTAAAGTCATAAATAAGGGTATCAATGGATATGGTTAAAACACCATAAGTGTTTGAAAAGTCTATAACATAACAGAAATGAAAACTATGTATTTGAAAAAAAAAACCCAGAAAAAAAACTATACTATGCGTAAAAAAGCAGTAATTCTAATGATATGACTGGTTCTTGATTGATCAATGATGTTACTAAGCATTTGAAAAGAAAATATACTTATAAAATTTTACAAATCAAAATATTAGCTTCTTTAATCTTGCTTGTCCTCATTTATAAATTTTAAATTACCAAATTTTGTTTGTACTGGAATTCATTAAAAGGTCCTCTAACATCCACTTTTGTGCCAATCTTCCATTGTTTTATTAGCTGAGAAAGACGACCATTTGAATATATCTATGAAAAGCAGAGAGAAATAAAAAATAGATGTTATCATCAATTGAGGCTTTTTGGTCAAGATGATGTTTTTAATCTTGTTTCTCTATATTGTATTTTTCTGTATATCATAGCTATCCACCCATCGAACCCTGGACATCTTAGGCCTATTAATTTCATGATCAGTTCATGTAAATGTCAAATAAACCCATCTGGTCTTGATGATCCCTGAACCCTTGGCCATCATTTGTCATTCTGTTTTCGAGAAAACATTGAAAAATTGAGGTGGCAGTGGTGATTTGTGACACATATCTAGACATGAATATAACATTAGACTCCTTTAAATCTAGACTGAAAACATATTTATTTGAGAAATATTTGCAAGAGTGATTGTGTTTTTTGTATCGCTATGTGGAATTAGAGCGCGATATAAATGAACTTATTATTCAATTCCATCAGCTACATCACACCAACCAACAAAAGTTTAATAGAAACAGAGTAATAAGTGAATATATTATACTCAAACTCTAGGTTACAAACATTATTTCTTAACCTCAGACTAAGATTCTGTTTATAATCTACTGGAATTGAAGTTTATTGCCCCCTAAACTGATCCCCAATTTGTCTTTATTGCCTAACCGAATGGCAAGAAATCTTTTAACAATTTAAATGTCTAAATCATTGGAGGATGTATCTTTTAAAACTGTCAACTATCTGGATATTGATTGTATTTGGATATAAAAGTATAAAAAACAAAATTTGATAAATAATAATTGTCTGATTAGTAGGTTTTAGAGTTTGTGCACCATTGTATGCAGGTGATAGCTGAAGGTCTCCTCATCATGTCTGGATCAGATGTTTGTAAAATAGCACTTGAAAAATCTAAAAGATAAATACCTACCTTTATTAGTAAATCAAAAAACCCAGATTGATTAATATCTGATATAGGTGAATACTGTCTAATTACAGGATGTACACCATCATAACACCTAATAAATAAAATAAACATTTAATTACAGGATGTAAATTTGCCAATTAAGATTGGAATACAATACTTTCAGAAAAGCATTTTCTAAGTCAAATTACAACCCGTAAACAATTGCATAAACTAGCCATCAATTACTTGGTAACAAATTACACAGAAATTTACCAGAACCATAAATAACTTATATGAGTGCAACCAAGACTATGTCACCACATTTATTTAAAAAGAAATTAGGAGTAGGCTACCCCACATGAAGCAAGCTATTAGATTGACCAGACTTTAGACAGAAAACTTATTCATTCACACAGCAGTGCAGAATGCAGATGTATTGGACAAAACACTGCTTGGAGTATAAACATTCCAAAGCATCCCTTACTTACAGATATTTATAGAAACCTAACAACTATTTACATCATCCCTAACCCGGAAACTTAAAACAATAGAAGGCTTTAATATACACCATATCATTCTAAAAAATAATTATTGGCCAGATGTAAATAAGGTCAGGGGCTAAGTGAGAGGGACGCAATGACAAGCTTTACGTCATGGTTTAGAGTTTTTGTGCCCCCTTGGGTTTTTGCGCCCCTTCACAAATGGCAAAAATTCATGCGATTTCAATGTGGTTTCAACATTATAATCATAATCATAAAGCTCAACCAGTGTCAAACATATAATGTGGGCCAGATATGCTACAAATTGACTCTTGCATGTTCCACACAGCCCAATATTACCCAGTGACACTGAGAGGGACTGCCACCCCACCCCCTTCCCTAAATAAGGTATATGATTTGTATAAATGAACTCACCTGATTATAACATGTTGTCCTAACTTTAATCCCAGACACTGGTAATTTGGTATTTGAAATCTATAAATAAAAACATCCTGTACATCATCAGCTACTATTGATATTAATTCAAATTGTCTATATTCATCTGTACATAATATTGGACCCTGGAATTAGAACATAAAAGTTTATTTGAATATAAAAAGCTGTGATGATTACATATATGAATTGAAATGGGATTTAACATTTTACTTTTCTGCACTTACTGCACCAATGAAGAAGGGCATATGTCATATACATATAGTGTAAAATGTGACATGTGTAGATCACAAGGTCTGTCATATAGGCAAAGTTGTGAGTTAAACCTCATAGGCCTATATATAATTGTACGTTACACGGACAACGAGTGGATCACACATTACGTCCCACCATAGGTTTTCTCCTGTTTCATTTCTGCCCAAAAGAAAGTTATCGTAAAAATAATATACAGTATGTTAGTCCTAATTGTAAGCCAAATATATAGTGTAGACAAAGATGGAGAATTGCACGACAAATGCAGCCATAACAAATAGATACAATTGAAAAGGGGCTGGGATACGTGAGCAGACCACATGTGAAGAGTATTGTGATATAGTACCTGATTAAATATTTCTGTTTGTTTCCCCTGTTTAATTCGGAGGCATTCTTTCTCCCATATTTTAACATCACTTTCATACAAGTCAAATACACAAGGCACACAGCCGTTACCACAGCAATCAGAATCAGCAGGTTTCTCTGGTTTTTCTGGTAGTTTATAAATCACATCAGTTTCCATTACCGGTACATATCTTTGGCTTTAATTTCACGACAATAAAATTATTACAAAACAGTGAATTGATCATAACAAATATGGAGTGGAATTACCCCCATAATTCTAACTCCTAACCTAGTTATGCCTATGCTAATATGCTTACTTCTATGCATGTAACTTCTTACTAACACATGTTAAATTGGCTATTTACACATGTAAAAATGCTAATTTATATGACTTATTTTTTTAAATATTGCAGTTAGAATTTGTATTTTGTTCTTTTCCATTATTACTTTTAATTTATTGTAGGCAGTTTAGCTCCGTTAACATTTTGACATGTTACAAATGTTTCGCGGTAAAGGCGCCATAATTCTAAGCTCATTTTGGTAACAGACGGCGCTGTTTACAATTGTATGGTGGCTCATTGGGAACATGAACAATTGACCCGACAGACATGACGACATTTTTTGTCAAAAATAATACAAATATTTTACGTACAAAAGCAAACTATTCTAAACTATAAATAAATAGGCTATTTTATCGTGCATTTCCACAAACAATTAACTGTCAATTGTTTTGGCCTATTTGTTTTCTAAAAGAATAATATATACGCCATGCATGAAATTGAATATATCAATATAAATCGGTCATGCTTAGTTTAGCTTGTCTCTTCCCCTCAAAATTATGAAATATTTTACGTACACAAATAAAGTATTTATGATATCATTGAATTAATCTATAGCGGGCCAGGCATCCAAATCATCGGGAGCCGCGGTGTATCGGTGAGTAAGTCACTGGCTCGGTTACCAGAAGGTCCCGGGTTCGCTCCCGGAGTTGGAAGAGAAAGTTCCTCAGGTTTTCCGGCGTGCTTTCCACCTGTCAGTGCCTGACAAGGAACACTGTCTTAATGGGACGAAAACGCGATGGTGTGCACCAAGAGTAGGCCATCGCACCACTGTCTGTACAAAATCCCCAGAAATTGCACACTTCATGACGTATGCCCGTCTTCATTAGCACAGTCGGTGCGTAACAACAGGATGTTAAACTTTATTTCATTTCCAAATCACCACTTTTGTGTTAGGATGTAGGAAGGCTTTTAGGGATTGGGCGAACGATTCACTGGTCTTATTGACCCCATTCTATAGGGTCATATCTAAACGAATATAAAGTTGGTATAGTTCTACATTGTTTACACTCTCTCATCAAAGTCCCATATTATGCTACCGTTGATGGGTTTTGGGGTAATTGTCACCACCCCTCCCCTCTTATATTTTAATATTTCCAAATGAAATGAAATGAAATGAAATGGAGTTTAACGTCCTACAGTTCTGCTTGGAACTGGGCTAATGAAGACGGGCATACACCATACAGTGTGCTATGAGGGAAATTTTGCTCGAACAGAGGCACTACGGACTACTCTTATATCGAATTTCAACTGTCAAGGGATCTTTTACGTGCACTCCAATGTGTACACGGGACCTCGGCTTTTTGTTCCATCTGAACGACTAGACAGCTGTCCTTGTCAGGCCCTCGGTACTGCATCACTGACAAGGGGGAACCACACTGTAAAATCTGGATGAACTTTCTCGGCCAATGTAGGGATCGAACACCCGATCTACAGGCTAGCGAGCCAGCGTCATACCTTCTTAGCCACCGTGACCCCCCCATTAATGTTTCCATAGGGTAGTATGATAAATATGGGTTTGATTTTGGCACTTATCTCACGATAACATTTTGGATTATAGCTCCTGATCATACAAAAATCGCACAAATAGCTTGTGGGTCACAATTTTTATTCAATTTATTTTAAAACTAAAATTGTATGTTATATCCGAAAGAACTCGAATAGGTTCAATTTTGGCACATATTGGACCTAATTTCCTGGATTTTAGCCCCGAAGAGATCATAATTTTGATTCTTTTCCGAAAACATTGTGAACGCAATACAGGCTATAGTTTTTAACAGATTTTTTTTTAGATTTTTTTTAAAACAAATTAGGTTATGGCCCCTTAGCCGAAAACCCCTTTAATATTCAACCTTCTGTAAAATATAAAATATTGTTTATAAACCAAAACAAACACAATAAAAACTTAGAATAATTTACTTTTGCACGTAAAATACTTTATTTTTTCTTTTAAAGAAAAAAAATAGCCTAATTTCTTTTAAACAATTGTACCTATGTTTGAAAGCAAAAATGCCACGTTTTGGGGTTATATAAAAAGGCACAACTTCACATCTCCTCAATGGACCTCCATATAATAAACAGCGCCACCTGTTACTATAATGAGAGTTAGAATTATGACTTATCATAACAGGTTAAAAGGGAGTCATAATTTTAACGCACATTATGCTAACAGATAGCGCTGTTTATTATATGGTGGCTCATTGGGAGCATTTAAAATCTCGCCCTTTTCATTACCCGTCAGACATGACAACATTTTTCTGTCAAAAATACTAAAATATTTTAGCAATTATTCTAGACATTTTTCAGATGAATAAATGGGATACTTTTGCGTGCATTTGCCCTAATACAGCCTTATCGATTTAGGTTGGTTTTTTTTGCAATATTCGTTTTCGATATTTTTGAGAGAAGTAATAGGCTATTTGTTTCTCAAAAGATAAACAGAATATATTACGTACAAAAGTAAATTATTCTGATAATATTTAAGTAATATAGAAATACACCCCACATAGGTGGTGAGTTGTCGCTAGGGTCAAAAAAAAGTACACGGCATAAAGTAATATTTTCTGTGGAGTAGATCCATTACTGAATACAGAAAAATCAAAATCAAAATCGTCTATTGATATCTTTTCGAATAAATGCATTTTTTCTGAAAATAACCGATAAGTTCATCGTTATCCGTCGGATTTTTCACTTCTAACTTTTGAAGATGAGCCAACACACAAATTTTGGGTCACATAATATTTCAGATGATTCATTGATCTTCTCGGAATGACATATGCATCGTATATGAAAGTACATTCACATATGTCTTGAACAATAGGCAACAATACACTGAAGGAGTTTTTGTCCGTATTCTGGATGACTCAATTCACGCTTGTATCCACCAGTCTGCCAGAGTTTTTGGAAATCAGCGTGTACGGCCTCTGAAGCTTGTTCGCTCCAGTAGCCCAGCCCATGCTGTTGTTCATTAGAAGTTGCGGCTTGTGCATTCAGGAACTGACTGATGTGATCAAACACTGCGTGCACTTTTGATGTTACCGGAATACCTAGACTTGAATACGACGCCTCGAAAGAGTTGATTTGAGCTTGAAACGACCGGAACTGCATTCTGGGGAATTCAACGACAACCAGTGCTGCAAGATTTTGAGTAATATTGACAAATTAGAGGACTTAATGAATGCTGATGGTAATGTTGGGCCGGAGGGGCAGAAAGTCTTGAGCGAGTGTAACAGCGATGCTTCGGGATGAATTTGCACGCGGATTATGAAACATCAATCAACTCTTTCGAGGCGTCGTATTCAAGTCTAGGTATAATATCTGAAATATTATGTGACCCCAAATTTGTGTGTTGGCTCATCTTCAAAAGTTAGAAGTGAAAAATCCGACGGATAACGATGAACTTATCGGTTATTTTCAGAAAAAATGCATTTATTCGAAAAGATATCAATAGACGATTTTGATTTTGATTCAGGAAGTTACATTCCGAAATGCGCGAATATCGAAAGAAACCGAGATCTTTGGGTTATAAACTTACATTTCAAGTTTCATCAAAATAGGATTAAAATTGTGACCTCTAAAGGGTCCACAACCTTGATATATTTTGACGAGATTTGAGAACAAAGGGCAGCCATTTTGTCTGTCAGTTTTGGGCCGAGTTTCATGAAATTCGAACTCAACCGTCCTTAGGGTGTTACGGTGATTTTTCGTACAATCAGGGGCCATAATTCAGGAAGTTATGTTCCAATATGCACGAATATCGAAAGGAGCTGAGATCTTTGGGTTATAAGCATACATTTCAAGTTTAAACCAAATCGGATAAAAATTGTGACCTCTACAGTGTTCACAAGCTAAAAGCTTGATTTTTCGTACAATCAGAGGCCATAATCCATGAAGTTACAGTCCGATACATGCCAATATCGAAAGGAACCGAGATCTTAGGGTGATAAACCTATATTTCAAGTTTCATTGAAATAGGATAAAAATTGTGACCTGTAGACTGTTCACAAACAATTGTGGACGGACGTCCGGACGGACAGGTGCGACGACAATATACATCCACATGAAAATGTGGGCGTATAAAAAATAAGTTATATAAATTAGCATTTTTACATGTGTAAATAGCCAATTTAACATGTGTTAGTAAGAACTTACATGTATAGAAGTAAACATATTAGCATACGCATTACTAGGTTAGGAGTTAGAATTATGGGGGAAATTCCGCTCCATAAACAAATGGCCAATTTACAGCTAGTATATGAAATGGGTATATGGCTATTTCTTCAGTATAGGAACCCTGCCAATAGCCTTGTAAAAACATAGCTGCAGTCTTTCACACTGTGGGGAAATTTCTATCAGTTGATTTCATCATAGAGAGGATGTTTCTTTGAGATAGTTGAGACAATTTGAAGGACTTGTGTGTGAAATTTGTCATTACCTGTCGCAAAACAATCGAAAATTCCCTAAAAATTCAACTGAAATTAAATAAAGTACTGCATATTCTCAGAATCGCTGCATTCCTGGACATTAATTTACACCCAATTCTGCAAAACCTGGGTTTTTACATGCCTTCATTTAATGCTCTATGAGAAAAGTGAGTTAGAGGGATAACTTTATTTTGTTATTGTCATCCTTTTTGGCCCAGAAACTGGCCCATTAATAACGTAACGTTCTGTCCATTTATTTTACTTTTATTTTTGTTTATGAAATAAAGAACCTTTATAATAATATTGTTTTTTATGCCCCTGTTAGGTGTATAGTATCCACATGTCCATAACAATTACATTTATGTCGGTAGAATATCCTTAATTTTCGCATACGGTCGATTTTAAAAGCTAGAGTTATTTTCTGTCCAAGTTCAGTTCCGTTATGTTATGTAATGTCAGTCAATCGAAAATAGATAACGGGACACTCCCACTACCATATTCAGCATCGATAGTTGCGCAGTCAACAGCTTGTCATTTTTCATCCGCCAATCTCCGGTATTTTTATGCAGTTCTCATCTGATAAGTAAATGCGCATGTTCTGTCCAAAATGTTACGTTAGAGTTAAGTTACGTTAACTTTAATAATTTTATGGATAAAAAAATCCTGAGTATAGACTTTGTAATGAAATTAATAAGATAAGAAATTTATCAATGTGCGGTTACCGTAAAGGCCATTTTTTTTAGCTTTATGTAAGTCGCGAGAGGTGGGGAGCATTTTTCGCAAGTAGACAGAAAGTTGGAATGATCGTATCGTAACAAGACGGAATTATATCGTAACAAAGACAGAATGCCACTGTACCCAAACTGGGAGGGTTGGTGAAGGAGCAGATACATCTTAAAACAAGACCTATCACGATATGCAGTTTGTCGGTACAGGTACTTGTCAGTAGTCGCGGTCTTCCAGTACTTCGATGTTTTTTGCTTTGGTGCTCCGAAGAATTCAATCTTGAGTGTTTTGGGTTTTTTTCTTTTCTTTTTTAAGTCCCATTTTCCATCGATGATTTTGACATGGATAACTAAAGCAAAATTAAATAGTTTTATTTAACCCATTTTTGACGATAGCAAATTAGTTCGCACCCATCGCGGCCCCATCATACCTGTCACACCGTGTCAATGACTCTGGCATTATATTCCAATATTTTCATGTTGTCACTTACGGCTAATAATTTTGTGATGTGGAGTGTGAAATGGAATCAGATTTTTTAATATTTACTGCCAGGCATATCGTGGAATATGATAATGTCTAAGAAATCGACTATTTATTATTTTATTGGGCGTTATGATGCGAAGAACGCGTATACTCGAGCCGAGATCAAGCGTGTCGCCGCCAGCTTGGATACGCTTTCAAACTAACGATAACACAAAACTTACGGCTAATAATGCTAGACTTTGGAAAGCTAAATTGAATCAAAACTTTTAGGATTTAATACAAGCTACATAGAGGAATATTACATTGTCGAAGATTTCAACTATCTATTTTTATTTTCGACGCAATGAAGCAAAGAAGATGACCATTCTTGCAATATATCCAAAGAAAGGCAGAAATGTTTAATTGCCGAAAGCGATGAAGTGACCGTCATTTGGGGTGATATTTCTTTTTAAAAGTTATATTTATATTTACTTTGACCACTGCTGCCAACCTGAGCCACAACATTTTTCTATTTTTAAAAAAAAATCTTTGGGCATACTTGTTCACGTTATTTTACCATTATGACAGAAAAAAGTCATAATTTTAGTGGAATGACTTTTCAATGTAATATAAATTTAATTGCTACTTTGTACAATTGAATTTTATATCATTAGAAAGAACACGACAATCTGTACATTTTTGTAACAGAGTATATCTATGTATAGAAAATATTTTTTAGTTATTTTCAATTTTGTAAAGAGGGTATCAGGATTAACAATAATCCACTAATTGGCTTAGGGAGATGGGCTCTGCTGATTTAATGAGCTTAGGGGTAGGGTAGCTAATCTTTTAATTGGCTCAGGGTTAAAAAAACAAAACAAACACATAATTGTTTTGACCTAGCTTGTGCCTCAGTATTATGATTGACAGTACTAACAAGGTTTTCTAATTTTTTGGCAAAATAAATGTTGTATTGTAACAAGAATAAACAAAATAATATCCTAACAAGTTACTCAACTCTCGCAAAGTAAGAAACCAAAGTTTATTATAAACCAAGCTACTTTTATAGGATAGTAAGGCATGAATATGTTTGATTATCAACTTGTTTTGTCTACATACTCAAAAGGTCTGGTTAAATTTTGTTGTTATCTTTTCACTTCAGATGTAATAATTAATACCATCTCTTGATGCTGATACATACATGTTACACTTATTGTTATGTTATTTTTATGTTATTTATTATAAAAGAAGTTATTACTATGTTACATATTAAAAAATAAATTGGATTTTAAAATTGTATCTTATTTAGTTATGATTATTGATTTTTTTTCCATCCAGTTACATTACTAATGTGTGCTAGCCTCTTGGACGAGATTGAATTTTAGAGAAATACATGATTGGATTTTGGATATTGGAGTTAGTTATTATTATAATTAAACTTATACCATTAATTTAGAAGAAAATTGAATAAATTATATTGAATATCGACTGTGAAATGGCAACTGTAATTTCGTCTTACTCATTCAGTAGCTTGCTTAAAAGAAAAATGAACTTTCGACCAATCCTTGTGCTAAACCTTATCTTTCCAGTCAGTTGTTTCTGTTATTTCCTTGAGGAATTCATTGAGAAGAATGGGTAGAATCATCAATTTACTCGATATTCTTATGTAACCTTGAAATAACTAGCCCCGCTGAAATTCCGTCCAAGTTACATTACCACCCTGACCACTTTCACATATTTTAATATATTGCTTTGTAGTGATTATAAGTTATCTTCTAAGTATTATTTTCTGATAATTAGACTGTTAGAGATTCAGAAAAACCATAAGATCAATATATTATCTTATTTATATTTTTGTCAATTCAAACACCCTATACTGAAGAAAGAGCCATTTTCACGAACTGGTATTTGCACGAACCATTACCCTAGCCCTGACAGCCAGGTCACAGTAAGTTACCATATTTAGTCAATTAAAATTTGTAAATGTCATTTATTACGCCTACTATATGACTAGAGAAGGTTAATAATTAATTTTATAAAAATAACTCTGTCTTTTAGAGAAGGGTCTATTATTATTAAAGCATACAGGCCGACAAAGGTCTATATCTGCATCAATGACAACAGGGCCCTACAGAATATCTTAACAATAACATTAGGTCGTTTTTAATGTTTTGAGGATTTAGGACTATCAAACAATTAAACTGATTTACATTCAATCGTTTCCGTTTTTACTCAAATTTCAAATCAGTTCTGTTCGGCGAAATACACAAGAAGTCTGAATCGAATGGCAATCTCTAGCGTCTGGTTATTCCAGTTGACACCGATAGTAATTATTGCGCATGCTCTCCAGATAAGAATATGGCATCATCATTTGACATGACTTGTGGAATATGTCTAGCATCGTTCATCGAGTCCCTTGTTACAAGCGGAGCTGAAACGCATCATGGTACACGATTCGTGTACTAATGTTAAAATGTTTATTTTGAATCAAATAATGGATCTTTTCCTGGTAAGATCACAACATCAATGTTGATTTAAATTGACAAATATTTCGTGTTTTCAATGTCGAAGACTTTGGATGATATTGAGTTAAAGTAGGCCTGTAGTATGAACTTCGCTATACAAATTATGAAATCTTGCAGTTTAACTGTTGACCTTTATTCTGGATGCTCCTGTCTACGATATCACCCACGGTGAAAGTGGGCGTAAAACTCAAAGAACGAACAAACGAACGAACTGGATGCTTACTTTGGAACTGTACGTGTAGGTTATATCATTGTTATATTGTACTGTTGGCAGAAGCCTTAGTGTTTCGGATTTATCTCCCTTGGCTCAATATTGGAACTCTTTTGATCAGAAAAAACAGATTTCACCTCATTTCCGGGTTTGGAAATATCCACAATTATCAACAAAATAACTCGTTTAAGAATGGCCAAAATATTTTTATACAGAGTGAATACTTCTAGAAACGTATTAGAAGCGAAATGTGCCATGACAAGTCGGATGCAAGAAGCTACAGACAACTATTTCTTACCACGCCGCTCAAAACATGCAGACGGTTACCGGTATCCTGCGAAAAGACGATATGTCACTAAACTTTTACAGAACCTTGGAAAACCACAGCCTAAAGAATCCAGTATTAATAAAAGTCAAAAGGTTCAGTAAACTATATATTATAATTTCCGAAAAACATTTAAAAAAATGAATCCGTGGGATATAGGCCTACTGAGAATCCATTTACATGTAGGCATTTTGCCAGGAAGAATTCCTCATGGAAGTATGCATCATTCTGTGGTCATAGGACTGGCAATCGATACTCGTTTCAAGTATCGATAATCGTCGACCATCCACCGATCAATAATCGATGATATCGGCAAACTATTTTTACTTACAATTATTTTGAAAACATTCATAATTTGTATATATATGAAATACGAATTATATGTGAGTTTATGCTGTAATATCATTATATAACATGTAAAATTTGTTCCATTGATTTGACAATAAAATATTAGTATTCCATACCAAACCCAAGGTGTTGAAACTAATCAACTTCATTCGGAAGACAGAACTGTCACGCTCGAATATCTGTCAATGTCGCTTATGACCTTAAAAATAATAACAGTAACAGTTTATTTCTCGTAGTTATTCTGATTTCTCATGCGCACAAAACACCTTGTATAGTGGCTTAATTCATATTTTTGATTCTTGGTCACTATGAGATGTATATAATTGAGATTTAGAAACAGAGCAGACGAGAGAAATAAGAGTAAAAGAAGGGGCACATGAATGTTATGTGAAACTATTTGCTCTCATCATAAGCATCCGACAGTTTTTAGTGATGGCGTCTCATGTGAAAAACAAAACGTGTGTGTTTGATGACTTTCTGTTTAATTACAGTTACCGAGCTGTGATACAGATTTATCTTTCATTGATTTCTTCTTACAAGTGGCTACCTATGCATGTAATTGCACGATTATCAATATTTTAGATGTGAATTGATTATTGATCTTCAAAAAAATGTTTTACCGACGATTATCGGCAATAACAATATTTTCTGCCAGCCCTATCTGTGGAGCATATTAAATCAATGATTTATTTTTAAATACAATGTAGAGGTAGATTAAATCATGGGAGGTACATTGGCTCTTGTAGTGAGTAAGGTACTGTTTAAATAACCAGGAGGTTCTGGGTTCGATGCAGAGAAAGTAGGCCTACATTGTACCTCTGGATTTTTCAGCGTAGTCGCTGTCCATTTACCATAAATATTGAAGCCTAAGTAAATTCCTGGATAATCCTCTGCCAACTTTTGTCTCCGCTGCTTAAATTACAGAGTCTACTGGATGTTTAATTCTCTCAATGTTCTCACAAGTACTCACAACCATTAGATGAAGAGGTTCATCCTTACGTCACATTTTTGTCTTGATTTTCAGGGCATCCAGTATTTCTCTAATAAGATTGGGTGTCTCTACTTTCCATATATACATGTATACCAAAATTGCCACACTTCTATTGGAAATAACTATGGAACCTGATAAATAGTATTGTGGAAATGTATCTGTAACTGTTTTTGTTTGTTTTATTTTACAGTTGATGCTATACAATGAAATTGTGGAACATTCTCATTCGGGGTGTTATTTTGTGTTGCCTCTTGGGTTACGTGCTTTAGAAAAGTTAACAAAAATAATTGATGAAGAAATGCAGATGATAGGTGGAGAAAAAATAGCAGTACCCACTCTATCGCCATGCGAGTTGTGGAAGAAATCCGGTAATGCTAGTTTTCATTTACTTTTGACACTCCTTAGTATATTTTTGTAATTTGTGTTTGGCAGTTGATGTGTTCAACTTTTCTTATGAATACAGTTCTTGTCATACTTTTTCTCCACGATACTTGATACAGGACATTAGTTCTTGATGGAATATTTTATACTCCATTGGGAAGTTGGAATTCATTAGGATATAAAGAAGAACTCTATCACAGTTCAAAATTTTAAGATTATCAATTTCAAATGTGTTTTGCCAATTTCCAGTCATATTTTGACTTAATATTTAAGTCTTAAGAAAGAACCGTATAAAATTCAAAATTTTAGATTATAAATTTCAAATGTATATTGCAAAGTTATCTTTTCATTGACTTTTAAATTGTGGCGACCGTGCTGCTGGTGTTCATGTATATATTTAGTTAGATACTAGGACAGTGTTGAAATTCATCGTATTCATTTTACAACCTTTGGCAAAATATATCTATTTCTTATTGTAATAGGTCGCTGGCAATCAACTGGACCTGAATTATTTAAACTTGAAGATCGACATGGTCAAATGTACTGCTTAGGACCAGTAAGAATATGTCTTTATTCTTCTATTTAATTAGTGCTACATGTATTATAAGGTTAATGTTTTTCTCAAAAATGCCTTTATTTATCGATTTTAATAGAGCTTTACCAGTACATTGCCAGACATTATTAACAACTTTAACTGAGGAACTGCTGACAAATATGTTTACTTCTCTTATGTATGTAAGGGATAATTTACTATTATAGTATATGCTGCTTCCATCCTGCATGTTGCTGCATTTATCTGCAGCATTTTCGTTTATTGTAATCTGAGATTAAAGCCACTTCTCAGCACCGATTAATAGTCAGTAAATTGTAATATATAGTTTATAATTGTTTGACGACTCACAAATTCCAATTATCAGTCACCTACCTGGACCTGAAGCTCTGTGTTCATGTTATTGAGCAGTGGCTTGGTCACATACATTTTTGACCTTTGTTAGTGTTTTACCATAAAGTAAAGCATAGTAAACCAGATCGGTTATTTTTTTTACAGACACATGAAGAATCAGTCACCAAGTTTTTGGCATCTTTATCACTGTCATATAAGAGACTACCTATTCGTGTTTATCAGGTCAGTACATTAATTTTATTAAGTTCAGATGAATTTAAGTAAATTAAAAGATAGAACATATACATGTAGCTTATGCCTGGTTATAGTTCAGAGTTTTTCCAAGCTTGTTGGAGCAAGATATTTATTAATATAAATTCAATGAAATCATTTGAAATTTAATAATAAATAAACAAATAAAGGAAAATATATTGATCCAAAAGATTTATAGTTTCTTGATGTCAGAAACATGCACCAAAAATTGATCATTTCAGTTAAATCAAATATCTGCATATTATTTTTCAGTGTTTTCACTACTTGATCACTGAGCCCTCCTTGTGTACTTTATATATTGATGACTGTTCTAATAAAACCATTTTAGAATTAATTATATATAAATATCCATTTACCTCACTATGTCAATAAATCATTGTCATGAACTTATTAAATTTAAGATTTCAAGAAAATTTAGAGATGAAATAAAACCAAAAAATGCCCTATTAAGAGGAAGAGAATTTGAAATGAAAGGTATGAATAAACATAACACATGTCAAAATGTCAGTATCTATTTCATTACCAATTCTTTTCTATTCATATATAAAAAGATATGTTTTGTGTGAAAATATGTGATTCAGTATTTTTTTTATCCTATCTAAATTTTAACTTTCATTCCTATAGATTCAGTGAATCTTTTTAGGGGAAAACTTGATTATATCAGAATAGCTATTTTAGGAAAAGATGATGTGACATAACATGACAGAACATCTTGGTACCTCAAAGGCAGAAATTAATGTACCACTTTTCTGATCCAACTGGGCTATTGAAGATGGGAATACGCCATCTAGTGTGTTATGAGGAGAATTTTGCCTGGATTGCCTACTCTTATTTCAAATTCCAACTGTCAAGGGTTACTTTACGTGCACACAGGACCTCAGATTTTCGTCCCATCTGAGGGAATAAATGCAGTTCCGTCCTGCAAATAATTGACAAGGGGAAACCATGTCTGAATACTATCTCGACCAACACAGTAATTCTTGGAAGTAAGACACTCAAAACTACATGATAAAGGAGAGGATTCGTACACAGTCGTATTGCCTTTAATAATGGTTATATTCTATCATTAAATTTTTTATCCATATGTTAATTGTTATATGTCTAATCTTTGTGTTTTTCTTTTGTAGATATGTATACATTTGATATAGATGAGAATTCTGCTACAGAAACCTATCATACTGTTTGTCATGCATATAGTCAAATATTTAATAGATTAAATCTACCATATATAAAAGGTAAATCAACAGTATTTTTTATATTATGACTAGAAGAATGCCCGGCTTCGCTCGGGGGTCATAACTCCGAAACCGGAAGTGGTAGACTAACGCCACCTGGCCTATGTTACTCCCCGGTCCGAGCTACCCCTATACCCCAAATTTCAGACTCGGGGCAGACCTAGTGTAGCCGCCAACCTCGAACAGACAGACAGACAGACAAACAAACAAACAGACAAACAACAGTCACAAATATTAGTATAGATAACATTTCTGTGAAGGAAAAAAATGACATTAAATTTTGTGGGATATATGGCTTGTCTTAAGGAAATTCACTCCAGCATTCATGAAATGGACATGGTATTATAAAATGTTTTATCTTTCAGTTGAAGGTGATACAGGAAATATAGGTGGTCAGTTATCTCATGAATATCATTTTCAATCTACAGTTGGTGAAGATACGTTACTTACATGCAATAAGTAGGTATAATTTATAATCTTAAATGTGTCCACCCATTTCTGTATTCTAATTTCTAACACTGGATACACCAATACAAGAATCAGCTTTTATAACTTGCTAGATGCTCAGTTTAAATGCTACACTTAATAAAAGATTGTGTTGATGACATAACTGGTGGAACCAGAACTGGCAGTTGTCAATTGGCTTGGGTAAAAACACGACAGATAGTTAATTTTGAATCTTGACATAAACAAATTTTACCAATTTATAAATAACATTTATATTTTTATCTTGGAGACACCATATTTATTGCAAGGTCGACACCATATTTATTGCAAGGTCACAAACACAACTTTTCGTTAAGGATAGTGCTTAAACAGGGGCATTAAGAATTATTCTAAAAGCTGTGTCTTCTTCTAAGACCAGAAAACTAGACAGAATGTTGGCCTGTTTCTGTTTTGTATGATAGGTCAAGTGTATAACCTATTTCAATGAGAACAATTAGTGTCATTTGCCTATGTACATGTATATACCAAGGAATAAATACTAAATTATCATTTCTATTTTTTTTTCAGGTGTTCATTTAAATCTAATAAAGAACTTGTAGGTAAATTTTGTTGTTACATTATTTCTGCATGCCCACATTTTATAATAAAATAAAAATTATTGATTTGCTGGAATATTTGTTTTTGATTTGTATATCATATGAAAGCTAGTCTTTGTTTTAAAATATTTTGTTCATTATGTTCAAATATAACTTATTGTGTCTACAGCTCTATGTCAAACATAATTATACTAAAATTAGAGAAAAATATAATAGCCTTATTACAAATCAAAATAAAACATCAAATTAACCAAATTCAACAATTTATTTTGTCCTAAATTAAAGCGTCCCTGAACATTAGATGCCTCATCACCCATTACATTAAATGTTTACTTTTTTAAAGGAACTGTATTTGTATTATTTAGGCGATAAAGAAAGAAGTAGTTTTTGTTCATTATCTGAAAAAGAATGTGAGTTAAAAGAGTCTGCTGGTATAGAGGTATGTTATATTACATAGGGGCTTGTTGGGCCTCCTAATATACCACCCACCAGCAAAGTCATACAAACTCTATAAAATTGCTGCCAACAAATCCCACAGAGCAAGTTGTAAAAAATCCACTTTATATTAGCTCTGTCCCAAGCTATACAAAAATAAAATTGAAATTTTGCTTTTTTCAGATTGGTCATACATTTTTATTAGGAACAAAATATTCATCAGTGTTTAATTCAACTTATTTTGATAAAGATGGTAAAACAAGGTAATTCTCATTTATTTTACCCTGAAGACTGATGTTCAATTCCATTCTACAGGGAAATCTTATCAAATTATCATGATTGTATTGAACAATTAATTTTAACATGTGCCAATTTTACTGTTAATTTCTCATTCTTAATAAGGCATAATTTAGTTAATTTTGTTGAAATATTAAGGTGTCTATTTTATTTTTTAATTTGTTTTGTCAAAATTGTTATTTTGATTAATGATGTACCAAGCTTTACACACCATTAACTCATTGTGTCAAAAGATTAAGCAAAAGTCGGGTTGTTTAATAATTTTAATTTCATTTCTGGCGGCTTAGTCTGTTGATAGTGGAACAAAAAATCTGATATATCTGAAAACTAGCTTATCTAAATTTTTGGAGAAGATAGATTGTCATGCCATAAAACAAACCAAATCAACATGTAAAATACAATGAAATCACAGATTTTACTTTTTGACCCAGACATCTAGCCATTTAATTCCGACTTTATTTTAACATCTGGTGTCTTTACATACTAAATTTGTTCCTCAAATTTACACTGTTATTTGAAATATTGATAAAAGATGGTTAATGTTACTTTTTAGACATAAATTAAAACATGATAAACCATGTAAATAATCCACAAACAACTGATAACATTGTGTTTGTGATTTGTATCTGGGGTTCTTCATCTGCCTTCGTACTTAATTTAATACACGGTGCAGCATAACTACCTAGGAACACACAACATTATACATTATCAAGGTGTGTAACAAAGCTCTTCATAATGACATAAAAAAGAATGAATACAGAGCTGTCAGCAACAAAAACCTTCCTCGGGACATCTATTTCACCGATAATCCTATTGACAAGTGATCTCTCGTGTTCCAGAAAGAGTAAGCATACCCTGCCCCATGCATGGCATTGCCACCTGTCAAAAGTAGCTGAGGCCAAAACCATCCAAAGTTAAAACCAGAATCTTGTTAGTGAATTAAAATACTAGTTATATTAACAGGTTAACACAGATGGGATGTTATGGTATAGGTATATCTAGATTATTACAGGCTTCTATAGAAGTTTTATCAACAGATAAACAAATTAAATGGCCACAACTTATAGCACCATATCAAATCTGTATTATACCACAAATGGTAAGAGTTATAAATATATTATGTTTTAATACGCCCTTATTGTATATGGTACGTCGTAGTATATTTACGTTACCTCTGTCTGTCTGTGCAATTGTCCAGAATTTTTTAAATTAAGCTCACTTTTTATACACCCACATTGAAATGTGGTTGTATATTGTCGTCGCCCCCGTCCGTCTGTCCGTCAGGCGTCCACAATTGCTTATGGAAGCTCTAGGGCTAAAGTTAATATCCGATTGACTTTAATTTATACACAGTGATTAAGGTCATGAGACGAAGAAGCCTATTGATTTTCAACAATTTCCGATAATTACTGCCAGAGTTATGGCCCTTGATCACTTCAAAAAATCTTGTGGGCACTCTAGAGGCCAAAGTAAATATCTGATTTAGGTTTAATATATACACTGTGTTTCAGGTCATGAGACGAAGAAGCCTATTGATTTTCAGATATTTCCGATAATTACTGCCAGAGTTATGGCCCTTGATCACTTTAAAATATCTTGTGGATGCCCTAGAGGCTAAAGATAATATCCAATTGACTTTAAATTTATACACAGTGTTTACAGTCATTTAGAATAATTACTGCCAGAGTTATGGCCCTTAATCACTTCAAAAAATCTTGTGGACGCTCTAGAGGCTAAAGCTAATATCCAATTCAATTTAAATTTATATATAGTGTTTGAGGTCATGATACGAATAATCCTATTGATTTTCAATGATTATCTGATAATTACTGCCAAAGTTATGGCCCTTGTTGACTTTAAAAATTCTTGTGACACTCTAGAGGCTAAAGTTATCATCCGATTGACTTCAGATTGATACATAGAGTCTAAGGTTTTGAGACGAACAAGTATATTGACTTTCAATCAATTTTGATAACTTGAACAGCTAAATCCATGATATTAAATGTTTTGTATACTAAACGTTAGCATGGGGCAGAACTTTTTTAAAACCAAACAAATTCTAATGATTTTCTGATAATTACTTAATGAGTTGTTACTTTTAATCAGATTTTAGTGTATTATAAATGTTTCATTACCGAAAAAAGTAAAAATATGCAACAACTCTTGTTGACTGTCCGGACGATTTAGCTGCTGTGAGCATATGTTTCCTTGCCTGGCAACCTATCTTTTATTAATTGTATTTATTTCAAGAAGAGGTGCACTTAATGCATAATGTTAATCAAATCTAGGTTTTCCCCATGTTGACATTGAAGTCCGAATAACTGCTTGAGAATCAATTCATGTAGTCAAAATTACATCAATTTTATGCAGAGTTTTTGCCCTGTCACCAAAACCTGGTGCATCTTAGGTTGTTTTGAATATTATATAAAACTGTTTAAGGTTAGAAGGATTCTTTAATTAAAAGAAATAATAATTATAATTTCAGAGTGGATTTAAATCAGAAGAATTTTTTAAATTAGCAGAAGATATGAGTGATGATTTGAATACACTGCATTATTTAAATAGAGAAATTGTGATAGATGATAGAATACACATGACAATAGGAAAGAGATTATATGAAGCCAAGAGAATAGGCTATCCCCATATTATTATCATTGGTGAAAAGGTCAGTAAACAACATTTGATTTCTTTTTTTCAAACTCACTTGGCTTCTTCAACTATTCATAGACATAAAAACCTATTGTTGTGCATTAATTAAAAGCATAATCATTTAATGCTTTTATTTGCTTACATGAAGGGACATGTTTACATGGCTATTGACATATAAATAAAGATTTGACCAATAAATGTTTATAGCCCTTGTTTTCTTTCAATAGAATGTCAATATCTAAGTTATATTTATAGCACAGCTTTCATGAGTTAACAGGTTCAAACATCGAGACCGCAGGTCGAGATGTTAAACCTGTTAACGAATGAAGCGTGCTATAAATGACTTGTAACATTGACACCTGCTCAACATGCTTGTTGTTATTGCACAGAAAACCCACCCCACTTCTCTATATGTTTTCTACTAAAACTAGTGTACACCAGCAAAAGAGTGCAATAACGTTGAACATGTCTAGTTATTGCACGGTTAAGCTCCACCCAATCTACTAGAGGGAAAACAATCTGCTTATTCAATGAAAAGAACAAAGGAAGATTTCCCGTCCATGTTACAGATAATCAATTCTCCAATTGTATGTAACCGTTCTCTTGTAACGATAATACAAATATTTTGAATTCATAACATTTTCGCATTTTATTTTTGTTTCAGGCCTTAGAGAATCCTGCAATATTTGAAATCATTGATACATTCTTAGATAAAGAACCTGAATTTCTAACTTTAGAAGAACTTAGAGACAAATTATCTACTATTATAACAATTTAATTAATTACTTGATAATAAAATTCAGTTTTATAATAAAGCGTTTGTTGTTGGACTGGCAGAAAGTTACTTCTTACACATGATAAAGCACACATAATGAATTATTGACAGTTGGAATTCGGTGAAGAGTAGACAGAAACACCGCTGTCATTTTAAGTCATTTGTGGGGTTGGATGGCCGAATGGTTAGCACATGCGCGCTGTATCATAAGGTCTGTTATTAAGTCAACTGGCTTGGTTTCGATTCCCCGTTGTACATGACAAGGAGTGGGGTTGCCTGTCCAACCTCGTGGGTTTTCTCCGGGTCCTCTGGTTTCCTCCCACTGCTAAAGACCCCTGTGCGCAAGCGAATTGAGCTAAAATTGAACCATGTGTAAGTCCCTTAGTGACCTAGTTTGTGTGGAGTGGAGGTTAAACCCATATATCTCTCTCTCTCTCTCTATCTCTCTCTTTCATATCAGCTTTTTATAAGCCCTACATTTCATCCACAGTACATGTCATCGCGCCTGTCCATCCACAATTTGTTTGTGGACACTCTACAGGTCACAATTTTTATTTGATTTTGACGAAACTTAAAATATAGGTCTATCTCCCAAAGATCTTGGTTCGTTTCAATATTGGCATATATCGGACCATAACTTCTTGGCTTATGGCCCCTGATTGTACGAAAAATCACGTTTTTAGCTTGTAGACACTCCAGAGGTCACAATTTTTATCCAATTTAAAAAAAAACGTTTGAATATATCACCGTTACACCCTAATGATGACTGTGTTCGAATTTGGTGAAAATCGGACCAAAACTGCCGGACAAAATGGCCACTACTCAATGGCCACTCCTCGTACACAAATAGTGTACGCCTATATATGGTATATCAAGGTTGTGGACCCTCTAGAGGCCACAATTTTGATCCGATTTTGATGAAACTTGAAATACGTGTTTATAACCCAAAGATCTTGGTTCCTTTTGATATTCGCGCATATCAGATTGTAACTTCCTAAATTATAACCCTTGATTGTACGAAAAATTGCGATTTTAGCTTGTGGTCCCCACTAGAGGTCACAATTTTTATCCAATTGAAAAAAACATTTCAATATTTCACTGTTACACCCTAATGACGGCTGAGTTCGAATTTTGTGAAAATCAGACCAAAACTGCTGGACAAAATGGCTGCCCCTCGTAGGCAAATAATGTAAATATATGGTATATAGGAGGCTCAGTGCAGAGGGGTGTCCATCACATGGGCACAAAACCAGACCCAACTTTTCTAGAGTAAATATTTGCATAGAATACAATGCCTAGTGGTAATCAGTCTGCCGTTGGGGCGTTTTCGAGATATTCGGGGTTGAAGGTCAAATGAGATCATTTGCACTGAAAGTGAATGCGCAGCCATTCTTGTATCACGAAAACATGCTGAAAATGATCGAAAGTTACCAGCCTTTCAATAAAAATGTTAACTTGCTAAATTCATCTTTGTTCTTTGTGACCTCGAAGGCCAAAAGGTCAAATTGTCCGTTTTTGCGCTAGGAAGATTAAAAGCAATAAAATGTCAGATATTGAGATTGATATTTAACTGTTACACCCAATTGCTAGTAATACATTTAAATAAAACTTTCATTTCAATTCAGGTAACCTGGTCCTGATAGTCAGTCGGGCTTTTCTAGAACGTCAAAGCTATTTAACTGAAGGTTATCCGCCCTATATTAACGGTAAAAAATTCTGTTGGTGCATTTCCAGTTTGTAAAGTCTTGGTTCCCAATATGTATTATAATTTCCTCATCAAGCAATATAGGACCAGTGCATAATCTTCGAAATCCTCTTAGCCTGAGAATCATATAGGCTTTTTTTAATTGTAGTATTAGCCACACCTTTTGATAACTCACAAGCTGAAGCAGGAGAATTAAATTATGCAATCAGGTGTGTAAATGATTTGTTTGGACGTGCCAATTAACAGTTACTAAATTTGGTAGGTTTCGATATATTAAGTGACATAAACGTAAGTGCGTTGGACTGGGACCAATTTTAAGCATCTCAAGGATTAAAATTATCCCAAAACAAACATTTTCGAGAACGCCCATCAAGATTCCGCTTGTCACTGCCCCCCGTTGAAGAAAAGCCTTTTCCAAAAAGAAACAAGCCAACAGTGACGCTGATGTCCCCTGCCGAAATGCCAAAATAAATAGATGACACGTATATTAATTAATCGCACATTTTTTTTTTTTTTCACAAAAGTATCGAGTAATTAAACTGATAAATCAACTATACTAAGTTTCATCAATCTCTATCAGATAGAATTCTCATCATTGAACTTACTCTTAGTCAACTCAAAAGGTAACATTTACATATGATATAATAAATCTATACCGTACCCGGAGTTTCATCGCTCTCACTTAATTATAGCCTAACCAAAGTTATCGTGCCCCACAGCATCAACCAATCAGATTGATTATCTATGCTGCTTACCGTAAGCAATGTTCATCATCGAACTCCATCAAGGCATTCACGTATTATACATTCGTTCGTTTCTGGAGTTTTACGTCCACTTCCACCTAAGGTGATATCGTAGACAAAGATGTTTCCTAAGAAACTTACTGGAGGAAGCCGTATGGATTAGGCTTGGTCCAGTTTAATTTGAGACATAGTGTCTTAGCAGGGAATGCCCAAGCTAAAAAATCTCATCGAACGGAGCGGAGAAAGTTTTGGGGTAGAAAAGGGGTGGCGAGCGGGCGCAGTCTGGTCCGCTTGGCCATAGATGTTACTATCTTTGTTTCGGTAGGTAGGGGTAGGTAAGACTGTCAGCCGGGCCCCAGGGCCCCGCCGCCTGTCCGTCCTAGGTTCAGGGGTGCAGCGATGTTTCTGGTCCGGAACCAAAACAAAAAACGGACCTCCACAGGGTACCCGACTTCCCTTCACTTAGGGACGTCCGACTAGCAGTAGCCCTCGGGATGATCACTTATATGGATCCCGTCCGTTGGGTCTTGGGGTGGGCCCCCAAATCTTCACAGAGTAGAACACTCTTTTCGTCTCTGCGGGGTCACATCATCATATCGATGATACCAATCTCGCACACGAATTCGTAGATTAACTCATAGATTTCGTGTTTGCTTACTTTTGGAAAAAGTAAGTTCGGAACACTGAAAGCCTTGTTAAGGGAACTCAGTTTATCCGTGAGAGGTTTCCTTTTGGCTGAGAGGCGAGCACAGTCTACTAGAATATGAGTAGGAGACACGTCCGAGCCACAACTGCACCTTATATAGGCTTAAAGGTACGATATCTGAGCGTTTCTTTCACCTTCAGCTTTGTTATTAACCGGCAGATTTTCCTGCTGGGATGATTTACTGATAACTTAGCATTTAAGGACTCATCGGATCTGAATCTGTATGTGTCGAGTTCCGCAAGGGAGTTTTCCCATTCAGAGCTGACGCGCAACCCGACCAACGTATTATACAGTGATGGTGTATTATTTATACTATTAATTAGCCGGGCATACTCTCTGAAGACTGAATTAGCGTTCCCGATATTCAGCCAATTATAGCCCTTTTAAGCGATTTCTTGTTTCGTTCTTATTACAGTTAAAAATAAAACACACAGATTTTTAATTTACGTTTATACCTAAATCCAGTGAATTTAATTTAAATCAAACAGATTGAAATAGATTGGTATTGGTAAATTAATTATTTCCGCACGTTGGAGTTGTCTGCCCTTGATGACGTAAAAATATGGTCGCCTAAATCAAAAGTAGGTGTGATTTGACAAACATTCCAATTGTTTCCGGTGTTTTTAAACATGTACATGTATTATTTTTTAGTACAATAGTTTTTCGGTTATGTGAGCTTGATTTTAAGCACCATTTTCTTGATGGAACCAGAATATAAATGTATTCCTTTGATGATAACTTATGTTACGACCGTCGATTTTTGTAGATTTTTTATTTTACCACCTGACCAAGATGATCATAACCTTGTTGTTATTTTAACATTGTGTGTCATCGTCATAAGTTTTAAAAAATAACGTTACGCAAGTAGTTAAACTGAATATAATGCAATAGAAATATCTGTCTCAACATCTTTATTATTAATGGGTAGGTCTACAATGTATATGAATTATTTTATTAGTACAATGACTGTCACTATGATGAGCTAAATCTTTTTGAGCTTGTGTAATTTAGCATTGAATTGAGTTGATCAGTTAAATGTGAGTATGGTCACAAACTACTATTTACTAGTACTAACTGCATATTTGTAGCGGTGATGCTTGTGTTCACCGCTATAATTGATACAGTCTCAGAGGCTTTGCGTAAGTAAAAATAGCTTTGAACGCACAATCCTCAACACATATCATCACAGTTTTTACTGAAATATTAGTAATTCTATCCCAAATAGTGAAGATAGATCGGACCACTAAAATAGTTACCAAATAGTTTTTATTTCCGAAGCAATATTTCTAATGATGTACAGGACGCCATGACCTCACCCACTTGAAATCTCGCTTAGCGTTAACCCCGCCCATTGCTTTCCTTATATATATATATATATATATATATATAAGGAAGTGTTACTACTACGAGAGAATATTAGCATATTGACATGAATTCCATACATGTGTATATATAAAGTGACATATGATCACATGCTACGGAGTGTGCATGCATTTTTGACTGGGCAAACATTTTAATTTTAAGTTGGCAATAAGAGAAATTTTGCATATCAGTTGGATTTTATCAAATCATAAAATTATACGGTAGGGTTTCACCTTTATTTCAATGAAATTGGTTTAAATGTAATTTAGGTTAAAGGAGGCAAGTCTTTAAATCAATATCATCCACAGTCTTTGACATTGCAAACAAGAGTTATTAGTATTAGTCAGTTTAAATCAACATTAATGTTGTTATCTTACCGTGAAAAGATGGGCTTCTGATATCCAATGTTTAAGACAAAATGAAATTTTAAAATTGGCACACAAATGCTTTCGAGCACCATTTATAATTTATAACATACCCTAAGAAGAATACTACTGGTGTTGACTGGAATAACCAGACGCCAAAGACTGCCATTGAATTTTGACGTTTTTACCGAACGTAATTGATTAGAAATTACAGTCAAAACAGAAACGATTGAATTCATATTAAATTATTATATGAGTTACGACCCATTTGGGGGTGTTGGAAGGCCGAATTGTTAGCATGTGCACGTGTATCATAAGGTCTGTCATTGAGTCAACTGGTGTGGTTTTGATACCCTGATTCTACAATGTATGTGACAATGAGTAGGGTTGCCTGTCCAACCTCGTGGGTTTTCTCTGTGTCCTCTGGTTTCCTCCCACTGCTAAAAAAGACCCCTACGCACAAGCGAATTATTGAAATAAAATTGAACCATATGTTAGTCCTAAAATGACCTAGTTTGTGTTGTGTGGACGTTAAACCCCATTTCTCTCTCTCACAAAACATTTGTGTCCATTTCTAGGTGCCAGAGAATAGGGATTTAGCTCCTTTAAGCTATGTGCAATACAGGTTGGGCTCAGTTTAATTGGAAATTAAGGGAGTTATAGGCCAGTAACTTTGAACCATGTGTTAGTCCCAAAATGACCTGGTTTGTGTCGAGCGGATGTTAAACTTCATTTCTCTGTCATTCTCACAAAACATTTGTGTCCATTTCTAGGTGCTGATTTTTGCTCATTTACGCTATGTGCAGTACAGTTTGGGCTCCGTTTAATTGGAAATTAAGGGAGTTATAGGCTAATAACTCTTTTGTCATCAAATGATGACAAAACTTGCTTCAAGGAAGTCCTTAGAACGATCCACTACTGTGGTTGGAGCTCAGTAGTGGAACCATTTCTAGGTCACAGACAAGTCATTTTCTGGTTATTGATTTCAAAGTTATGTTCCTGCCATTCCTTGGTCTAGAACATTTATTTTAACATTCCGATGATTTTAATCTTTATAAGCACAGAGAGCTCAATATATATATCACAATCTGATAAAAATATTGATGAGGGGGCATGATGATTCTTATATAACAAACTTATATCTCGACCCTGAATGTCTTGAGTTAAGAGATGTTACTATATAGTTAGTTCTGGAAGAAACCGATGTGAATCGCATTGTACTTCAATAAGCAAAACTGTCAATTTTTTTCTTCAAAACGATTGATTGTTATTTATTACATATGATCCTGCCTGACACGGGTACAAATTATCCCTTTTAAATCAAAGAGTTAAAAGCCGGCATTGTCTGGCATTTTAAAACAGAATAGATTTGACGTCGAAATGTCATGAAGTAGAGCTACATGTAAATACATGTATATGTTGTGTACAACTTACCGTTTAATGAGTCCAACTAGGATAAAATTAACATATTTTTAAGATGTTACATGCATTAATAAAGAAATTAAGGTTGCAAGGTGAAACTAAAAGCATCTATTCATAGCTAAAAATAAACACATTGATCAGTATATCTCAATGTTTTGAGCTACATTATTTTTGTACACCAGGTTAAAGAATCTACAGGATAGAGGCTGTGACTCCATTTTTGTACGTGATTTCTCTAATTCATGCTGTCCCTCCTTATCCTTCCACCCAATAATCATTGTTTTAATAATTTTGGCTTACTGTGTAGACACTGGAACACAAATCGGTAGGCTTATAATGTACTTACGCTATCAGCTTATTAAATTCATTAAACAGGCATTATGCAAGAGCTAAATCTGCCTATTGCAGGTCTTTTTTAGGTCTTAAAAATGTTATATAAAAACTATCAATTAGACATTTATATTAACATGACGAATCTTATCTGCAGTTCAACGGTGTTTTATGATTAACCATAAAAATAGATAATCAAGACTTTGTTTATTATCGTAACAACAGTAACAATGACAATCGAGGCTACAGAGTTATTGAAATGAGAATTTCTCGGCTTAGGTTGCACTGGTTGCAGTAATTTGACTAAAATTTTCAGAATATTTCCTTTACATTATCTATTTTTTAACTTGTATAGAGAAAATTGTCAGCTCTTTATCTAATATTCCATAATGCCACTTTAATCACTTCTTTTTTTATTTTCAGGGGGATAGAAAGATCAAATAAACTATACTTTTAAAAGTTAACAATTTGAATAACAACCAGACTATTGGAAGGAATTATTGATCAAGAATCGTCATGGCTTCATATGGTAAAGGGGAATTTGATGGAATTGATTCTTCCTACCAATCAAGTCGTGGAGGTGGTATGATTATTTTCCATTCCATTGGCACTATAGTAGATTACAGAGGCTGTTTGTTTCAGTACAGGCAAAAAGCCAGCTGCTATGTTAAACATACATTATGCAAGAGCTAAATCTGCCTATTGCAGGTCTTTCTTTAGGCCTGAAATGTTATCTAAATTATTAATTAGACATTAATTAACTTATTCATACCATAATCAACTCTTGATGTCATCGCTGCGATATTTACTGGATTAGGATCCGATCTGCTGCTCTCCGCTCATTCATGATTAAATCAAGAAATGGATAATCGAGACTATGTATTTTATCGTACCGACTTTAGTAATGATGTTCGAGGCTAGGCCCAAAATTCAATCACTAAATTCTCGGTTCAGATTGGATCAATTTGACTGAAATTTTCAGCAAATTCCCTTTACATTATCTAGTTTTTAACTATTATAGTGAGAACTGCCAGCTCTTTATCTAATCTCCCATAATGTATCTTTAATATGATCATAGAATTCAGTACTGAAAATATCAACAATTAAAAAGTGATATTGAACTATTAATTATTGTATCTCCAACATATCTAATTATCAAATGAATGATTTTGTCTTGGGTTAGTTCAAAAGTTAATTTAGTTTTAAATGCAACCATTACATGTATTTTATTAAAGTCGTAAAGAATAAAATGCAACAACCTTTGTGGACAGCTAAGAAAATTTAGCTGCTGTTATTATTGTATGTTTCTTTGTCTGGCAACCTGTATAGCAGAATAGCAGAGGTATGGGTTCATTTTCATGATTATGAATTCATAAATATTGTTAACTGGTGCTTGTTTGAGCAGCCACAATATACAATTCAGTTACATAATTCTTACATGTGCTTTGTAACCCAGAGCCCTGATTAATAACTTCTAAATAAAGGTTTTTATACGCCCGCATTGAAATGTGGTCGTATATTGTAGTCGCCCCCATCCGTCCAGCGTCCACAATTTAAATTCATACACAGTGTTTAAGGTCAGACGAAGAATCCTATTGATTTTCCTGTTGATCACTTTGAAAAATCTTGTGGACGTTCTAGAGGCTAATGTTAAAATCCGATTGATTTTAAATTTATACACAGTGTATAAGGTCATGAGATGAAGAATCCTATTCATTTTTAACGATTTCCGATTATTACTGACAGAGTTATAACCCTTGATCACTTTGAAAAATCTTTTGGACATTAGATTGATACACAGAGTTTAGGGTCTTGAGACGAATAAGAATATTGATTTTCAATGATTTTTGATAACTTGAACAGCTAAATACATGATATTTAATGTTTTGTATACCAAACGTTAGCATGGGCTAAACAAATTCTAATGATTTTCTGATAATTACTCAATGAGTTGTTACTCTTAATCAGATTTTAGTGTATTAATTATAAATGTTTCATTACCAACAAAACTAAAAATATGTGACAACTCTTGTTGACTGCCTGGACGATATAGCTGCTGTGGGCGTATTTTTCATTGCCTGGCAACCTAACTTTTACTTTATAGGACAATATACGTTTCATGCACCTTAGTTATGACTTTGATAAATTGATTTCTTTCTGTAAGCTTAGTTACATGTAATTGAATAGCCCATAAATCTCTAAATATTTTTTACAGTGGATAATACTTCAGATCATAACAGATTGTCTCAAAGAGTTGGAAATGGAATACAAAAAATCACACAAAATGGTAAGATTTAATCTGAAGTTAGTTATAAGATGTACAGAGCTGATGCTAATGTTGCACTTTGCTCTTGTGATTAAGGTTATATACAGTCCTTGCATCAGTGATGGGATTTCGCCCGTATATTCCGGACATGTCCGACGCTATTTCCAAACATCCTAAATTTTACGACCAGGAATATGCCCAATTGGACATCATGACATGGTGAATAATGTTCAAAATTCCAAAATTAATATAGTGTACTGAGTGTATAACTACCACTAAACCAGATTATCATTGATTAGGTAATTAAGTGAGCGACGTATTTATCGTGTCATACCGTCTATACACCTACCTTGATTAACTGCTTAATCTGCCTTGATTGGCTGCCTTACTCCTTTGTCGGACAATTCATCAATCCAATCCTGAACAGAAGTCATTGCCTCTCCTTTGTCGGATTATATATCAATCCAGTTAAAGTGATTATAAACATAATCTACGTGATTAACACATGATTTCTCCATTGTCAGACGTTTCAATCTCCTTGATGTCGGCAGACAACACGTAGGAATTAGTCATATATGTCACATATCCTAATATTATATAACACCCCAAATCAATATACATTGTATCCGATAACTTGTTTGTGATATTTCTTCAGTGGAAGCCGAGGTTAAATAAAGCTATTTCACACACATGCATGGCGGTTATAGTACAATAACTGAAATGAAAGTAGAAATCTTGCGAGACATGTGAAATTAAGAGATGTAAACGTGCCGAATCTTATACATCTGATGTCGGAGAAAAGATTCCATTTTGATGGCATATTCTCAGATTTATGATTCTATTTTGAATGGGGTTAATGTTTTTAAATAAATAAATAAACACGCTAAGAAATGTTGATGAATATTTCGATTGGAATAATGTAAGTAGTTAAACGTTTTAGACGATAGCTCGTGCTAAAGTCGAATGCTCTGTCCATCTGGACGTCCGGCCGGCTACAATTTGTTTGTGGACACACTACGGCCCACAATTTTTATCCAATTTTGACGAAACTTGAAATATAGGTTTATCTCCAAAAGATCTCGGTTCTTTTCGATATTGGCAGATCGAAACCTCAAGAATAATGGCCTCTGATTGTGCGAAAAATCATGTTTTTAGCTTGTGGACACTCTAGGGTTCACAATTTTCATCTGATTTTGATGTTACTTGAATGCATGTTTTGTAACCCTAAGATCTTGGTTCCTTTTAATATTTGCACATATCGGATCGTAACTTCATGAATTTTGACCTCTGATTGTACAGGAAAAAAAAGCGTTTTTAGCTTGTGGTCTTTCTAGAGGTCACAATTATTATCTGATTTAAACAAAACGTTCAAATATATCACCGTTACACCTTAATGACGGTTGAGTTCGAATTTCGTGAAAATCGGACCAAAACACCCGGACAAAATGGCCATCCCTCGTATGCAAATAGTGTAAAAATATGGTATATCAAGGTTGTGGACCATCTAGAGGTGACAATTTTGATCCAATTTTGATGAAACTTGAAATCCATGTTTATATAACCCAAAGATTTTGGTTCCTTTCGATAATCGCGCATATCAGATCATAGCTTCCTGAATTATGACCCTTGATTGTATGAAAAATTACATTTTTAGCTTGTGGTCCCTCTAGAGGTCACAATTATTATCCAATTTAAAAAAAAAAAACATTTGAATATATCACCATTACACCTTAATGATGGTTGAGTTCTAATGTGGGCGTATCCTGCCTGGCAACCGCTGGTTAAGTTTTTTCCCTTGATTATGTTGTATAATCATTCATTATACAAATTTTGACTTTTATATTCCGTGGCAATGATTTACAATGCAACAACTTTTAAGTAGTTCAACTACTTGGATGCTGTGGCATGTTTCATTGCCTGGCAACCTTTTTTTTTTTTTTTTTTTTTTTTACATTTGATATAGTAAACTTAGACATTGAAATATTCTTTAAATGGCATTTAGTAATTCAAACATATTTGATTAGACATTGAAATGTTTCAAATTGGCTTTCAGTTGGGAAGATTAAGAAATTTGTTGGTGCTTTGGGCACTCATTCTGATACAGATGAACTTCGGGAGAACCTGTAAGTTAATCATGCAGTAGTTTAATATTTAAATAGTTAGCAGCATGGACAGTATTTTGCTTGATATTAATGATCTCTCTTCAATCTTTTTTTTCATTTAAGGAGACATTAGCACTCATACCAAGAAAATATATATAATTAATTTAGAATTCAAAATAACATTAAATAGAGTAAACTTATTATCAAAAATCAATATTTAGAGTGAGGCATTTTTTCAAAGTATTGGATAACATCTTTGAAAACCACTAAATAATTTGTTTGACAGGTAAATTAGAACTTCAAGAAACATGTACAATTTCAGTTAATTATATAAAACTTTACTGTACGATTAAATCAAAATTAACCTTTTTTAAAATCAAAACTGCTATGTTGATTTTTATGTCAAAACAAACCCAATCAACCCCATGCATAAATTAGCTGTAGTTATATAAAGCTGTACAACCATACATACGACTTGCTGTCCTATTAATAGGGAAATTAATTTAATCATTTTTGAGATGTGTGCCACCAATACATGTTTATGTAAGACATTTAATGCAGGAATGTTTTCTTTCAGTCATGATACCATTTCAAATACCAAAAGAATAGCAGAGGAAACAAACAAAACTATAAAAGAATATGCCCGTCAACCAGCCCCTTCAAATGTTGAACAGGTGATATATTATTATATTAGACCATGTCAACAGCTTGTTGTAATTTTAGATAATTTCTCCTTCAAACTTCAAAGTGCATTTCACTAAAGTGAAGTAATATTGTTTCCAAAAATACTAAAGATGTTTTTAAGGTAAATAGAAAACCAGATGGTTTATCCTTATCAGTATCATTTCCGTCTAAATTAAAATTCTATTTTATACGTTCAACATTCATAATGTAGACATATTTATACCTTCGTCCCTGTCTGTGTATGTTTGTGTCTGTGGGTCGCCTACAGGGCACAATTTTTTATGGATTGTCTTGAAACTTTGCATTCTTATTCGTTATACCATAAGGATGATCCCTATTGTTGTTGGTGCATGCCCGATCCAAAGGGGAGGGCCTTGCCCATTTTTTGTATTTGTTTGTCACCTACAGGCCACAATTCTTAATGGATCATCTTGAAACTGTGCATACATAATCCTTATACCCGAAGGATCACCCCTATTGTTTTTGGTGCATGCCCAACTCCCAGGGGCAGAGCCATGGCTATTTTCTCTTTGTGTCTGTGTGTCATCCACAGGCCACAATTCTTAATGGATCGTCTTGAAAACTTTTCATACTTATTCCTTATACCCCTAGGATAACCTCAATTATTTTTGATGCATGCCTGACCCCCTGGGTCAGAGCCACACCCAATTTTATGTGTCATTGTGTCGGCTATAGGCCACAAGTCTTAACAGATCCTTTTGAAACTTAGCATACCTATTCCTTATACCCTAAGGATGATCCCTATTGTTTTTGGTGAATGCTTGACCCCCAGGGGCTGAGCCACAACCATGTTTTCTTTGTGTGTCTGTGTATTGTCTACAGGCCCCAATTTTTAATTCGTCTTGGAACTTGGTATATGTATTCCCTATAGCCTAAGGACAACTATTGATTTTGGTGCATGCCCCATAGGGTTTTGGGGGTCCTTTTTGTCCTCCCGTTCCGATGCTACTCTTGTGCCTAAATGTCCCGGTTTTTAAATCTGGTGTTTTTCAATTGAAAATAATAACACAAAACACATAAACTAGTGATTAATATATTAATGTATAAAACAGTGTTTGCTACAAACATTCTTACTTCATCACACCACTTCTGATCTAATTATAGTTCAGTGCATAATACATAATGGGAGCACTACCGTCCCAGTCGGCAAACCTCGGCAGATTGCAGTACTCTACATCTAGATGTAGATGTAGGGTACTGGAGTCGGCTGAGGTTGCCGAGTGCTACCGACCTTCCAATCAGTGTTAATTTGAATACTAATCACAAATCCAAGAACACTGTGAATAGAACATTCTTTGTCAGTGAATTTGGACCTTTCTGTGAAATATAAATGTTGTATGAGATCTTCAAAACATGTACGTTGCAAGAAAACAACAAAAAACATACAAAAACAGGTGTGGATATCATGGCTAAATTATGGACGGGTTCCTACAAATATTACTAAAATGTGACAATCGAAATAATGCCCGTTAATAACCCATTCAACAACATATATTTTTAGTGTAACTACCATCAAAAAATGGCTGAAAACGCATCTCCCGGCTTCCAGAAATAAAAACATTTCGGGGGGGGGGGGGGGGGCGTGTCCCCAAACCCCACTAGTAAATTCGCGCCTCCGGCGCTCAATTTGTCATGACCTGCAGGTGCTCAGTTTGTTGCAGTATGCAGGCGCTTCGTGCTCAATTTAGCTTTAGTCTGCTCAGAATAATAAATGTCCTGGTTGCTTCAATGATTGATTTGGTAACCCTAATGCCCCGACTCCCAGGGGCAGAGCCACGCACAATTTTTGTGTTTATCGTTTACAGGCCGCAATTCTAAATGGATCAGCTTGGAACTTGGCATATGTGTTCCTTATAGCCTAAGGGCGGCAACTATTAATTTTGGTGCATATCCCGACCCCAGGGGCAGAGTCATGCCCAATTTTTGTGTTTAGCATCTGAAGGCCACAATTCTGGACTGATTATCTTGGAACTTGGTATACTTATTCATTATACCCTAAGGAGAGCAACTATAGATCCGCCATCCTTGGATTTTTATACGCCCACATTGAAATGTGGTCGTATATTGTCGTCGCCCCCGTCCGTCCGTCCGACCGTCCGTGGACACTCGAGAGGCTAAAGTTAATATCCGATTGACTTTAAATTTATACACAGTGTTTAAGGTCATGAGACGAAGAAGCCTATTCATTTTCAGCGATTTCCGATAATTACTGCCAGAGTTATGGCCCTTGATCACTTCAAAAAATCTTGTGGACGCTCTAGAGTCTAAAGTTAATATCCGATTGACTTTAAATTTATACACAGTGTTTAAGGTCATGAGACAAAGAGGTCTATTCATTTTCAGTGATTTCCGATAATTACTGCCAGAGTTATGGCCCTTGATCACCTCGAAAAATCTTGTGGACGCTCTAGAGGCGAAAGTTAATATCCGATTGACTTTAAATTTATACACGGTGTTTAAGGACATGAGACGAATAAGCCTATTGATTTTCAGCGATTTCCGATAATTACTGCCAGAGTTATGGCTCTTGATCATTTCAAAAAATCTTTTGGACTCTCTAGAGGCCAAAGTGAATATCCGATTGACTTTAAATTTATACACAGTGTTTAAGGTCATGAGACGAAGAATCCTATTGATTTTCAGCGATTTCCGATAATTACTGCCAGAGTTATGGCCCTTGATCACTTCAAAAAATCTTGTGGACGCTCTAGAGTCTAAAGTTAATATCCGATTGACTTTAAATTTATACACAGTGTTTAAGGTCATGAGACAAAGAGGTCTATTCATTTTCAGTGATTTTCGATAATTACTGCCAGAGTTATGGCCCTTGATCACTTCAAAAAACCTTCTGGATGCTCTAGAGGCGAAAGTTAATATCTGATTGACCTTAAATTTATAAACAGTGTTTGAGGTCACGAGGTGAAGAATCCTATTGATCTTCAAAGATTTCTGATAATTACTGCCAAAGTTATGGCCCTTGATCACTTTGAAAAATCTTGTGGAGCTCTAGAGGCCAAAGTTAATATCCGATTGACTTCAGATTGATACACAGAGTTTAAGATATTGAGACGAACAAGTATATTGATTCAATGAATTTTTATGACTTGGAACAGCTAAATCCATGATACAGTATTAAAAGTTTTGTATACAAAATGTTAGCTTGGGGCAGAACTTTATAAAAACCAAACAAATTCTAATGGTTTTCTGAGTTGTTGCTCTTAATCAGATTTTAGTGTATTATAAATGTTTCATTACCGAATAAAGTAAAAATATGCGACAACTCTTGTTGACTGCCCGGACGATTTAGCTGCTGTGGGCGTATGTTTCGTTGCCTGGCAACCTATCTTTGTTAATATTTTGACTGTAAATAATCTACAGGTTGCAATTATTAACAAATTTGGAACTTTGCATATTTATTCCTTTACCGCAAAGACTGCAACTATTTATTTTGGTGCATGTCCTGACCCCCTGGGGCGTTATCATACGCACTTTTTTGTTAATATTTAGTCTGTAAATTTGGCAAAACAAACCCCAATGCCTAACCTTCTTTGCCTCTTATCATATAACAGGCATTGCAGCCATTTCATATTTTATGGCCTTCATTTTCAAAAGTACCTTATCAATCAATCAAAGCAGGAAAGTGGATGTATATTGCAGCGGTAGCGATGCTCTTGTATATTTTATTTGTGTATGACCAAAACCAAAATTTGTCAAATTAAGTTTCTCAACACAGGAATTAGCCTTAAAATGAACATAATTTGCCAGAGACACTTGATTATAATTTTTATTTTTTAACAGGCTCGACAGTTCAAAATGCAAAAAGAAAGATTAGCAGAAGAATTTGGTACAGCACTGAAAGAATTTCAAGGTCTGCAACGTACAGCAGCAGAAAAAGAAAAAGCTAGTGTAAAGAGAGCAAGGGCACAATCTGGTTTAGATGATAATGTATGATATAATTACTATTGTAACACTGTTTTTATACGCCCACATTTTCATGTGGACGTATTATGCCGTCGCCCCTGTCCGTCCGTCCGTCCGTCCACAATTGTTTGTGGAATCTCTACAGGTCACAATTCTTATCCGATTTCGACGAAACTTGAAATATAGGTTTATCCCCAAAAGATCTCGGCTGCTTTCGATATTGGCATGTATCGGATCGAAACTTCATGGATTATGGCCCCTGTTTGTACGAAAAATCACGTTTTTAGCTTGTGGACCCTATAGAGGTCAAAATTTTTATCCGATTTTGTTGAAACTTGAAATGTAAGTTTATAACCCAAAGATCTCAGTTCCTTTCGATATTTGCGCATATCGGACAGTAACTTCCTGAATTATGGCCCCTGATTCTACGAAAAATCACGTTTTTAGCTTGTGGACCCTATAGAAGTCATAATTTTTATACGATTTAAAAAAACGTTCTATTATATCACCGTTACACCCTAAGGATGACTGAGTTCGAATTTTGTGAAAATCGGCCCAAAATTGACAGACAAAATGGCCGCCGTTCGTTCCCAAATAGCGTAAGAATATGGTATATCAAGGTTGTGGACCCTATAGAGGTCACAATTTTTATCCGATTTTGTTGAAGCTTGAAATGTAAGTTTATAACACAAAGATCTCAGTTCCTTTCGATATATGCGCATATCGAATTGTAATTTCCTGAATTATGGCCCTTGATTGTAGGAAAAATCACTTTCTTGTTAGCTTGTTCTCTATCCATCTCTCGAAAATGTGGGCGTATCCTGCCTGGCAGCCGCTGGTTAGCAATAATGAATATATATTGCCTTTTAAAAATATTATTAAATGTAATCAAAAAAGTACCCAAAACAATTGGGCTACAAACCTGCCAAACACTTCCTAAATTCATGTGTTTACAAATAACACAACAGGGAAGAAAACTGAATATTTCTTGCAAGTACATTGTAGGATGTATAAAATACAACCCCATTTAAGTTGTTAAGTGAATAAATATTATACTCTCTTCGGTTATATTTTTTGCCATATTATTTCAGTATGGTATAAACAGTCCAACAGATAGTCAGGCACATGTACCAGGGTGAGTGTATTTAGCATTTTGTTTTCACAATATGTATTTCAATACAAAATCTTGAAAATCTCACCATATTTCTTAATAAACCTTTTATGCATTAAAAGTAATGGATTTTTGACTTTTGTTCTTTCCAGTTTTTCACAGACAAGACAGGTTTTAGAGATGGAACAGGACGTTGATTTAGATATAATCAGAGAAAGAGAGCAGTCCATCAAAAAATTAGAGGTATTTAGCTTGAGTAAAATCTATAAATGAATTTCCAATATCCTCCTCAGTTCTATAGATCTTTGTGGGGGTGGGGGGGAGGTGGCAGAATAGTTAGCACGTGAGGGCTGTATCATAAGGTCTGTCATTGAGTCAACTGGCATGATGAGGAGTAGGGTCGCATGTCCAACCTCGTGGGTTTTCTCCGGGTCCTCCGGTTTTCTCCCGCTACTAAAGACCCCTACGCACAAGCGAATTATTGAAACAAAATTGAACCATGTTAGTCCCGAAATGACTTATTTTGTGTCAAGTGGACTTAAACCCTCTCTTCTCTCTCTTTCTCTGACAATAAATAACTCTGTTTCTCGACACTTCGTTGAGTATGAGAATAAACCCATACAAAGTTAAAAGCTGTTCGCAATAAAAGTACTTTAAGGCACATTTTGGTTCCCCACAGAATTTTTCAAGCCCAGTTATCACTTTTCATGCGTAGTGCCTATGGGGCTGACAAGTCGAGTGTTCCTTATTCATTGAGATGGTACAAAAAACTAAGGTCCATCCTTGTGCACTTTGGTGTGCATGTAAAATAGCTCTTGACCCTTAGGAAAAAAAGAAGTTTCAAATGTTTTCAGATCGATCAATTCTGACTTAAGTAATGGCAATTTAGAATTTACAATGGGTTCTATTGATTTCACATGGTTGTGTGAATATTTTAAATTTTGAGATATACATGTTCCGGTATATGATATTAATGACTAAAAATGCTATACAGCATCAAGCAGCCCATATAAACAGGTACGCTTTAAATATGTCAGCTAACCTTTTCCTGAAAATCTTTAATGTCACGTGTTGGTATTTACATACTGGATGTAGAGAACCAACTTAATGGTGAAATATATATGGCAATTCGTATTTCAGACAGATATAACTGATGTCAATCAGATATTTAAAGATTTGGGTATGTTGATTCATGAACAAGGAGAAGTTTTAGGTACGTAGCTCTTACCATTTCTATTGTTAAAAAAAAAATAACCATATAGATTATCATAGAAACTAGTATGTTTTTATAAGCCCACATTTTCATGTGGACGTATATTGTCGTCGCCCCTGTCCGTCCGTTCGTCCACAATTGTATGTGAACAGTCTACAGGTCACAATTTTTATCCGATTTCAATGAAACTTGAAATATAGGTTTATCACCCTAAGATCTCTGTTCCTTTCAATATTGGATATTGGCATGTATCGGACTGTAACTTCATGGATTATGGCCCCTGATTGTACGAAAAATCACGTTTTTAGCTTATGAACACTGTAGAGGTCACAATTTTTATCCGATTTGGTTTATACTTGAAATGTATGTTTATAACCCAAAGATCTCGGTTCCTTTCGATATTCGCGCATATCGGAACGTAACTTCCTGAATTATGGCCACTGATTGTAGGAAAAATTGCGTTTTTAGCTTGTGGACCCTATAGAGGTCATTATTTTTATCCGATTTGAAAAACCGTTTTATTATATCCCGGTAACACCCTAAGGATGACGAAGTTCGAATTTCGTGAAAATTGGCCCAAAAATGACAGACAAAATGTCCGCCCTTCGTTCTCAAATAGCGTAAAAATATGGTATATCAAGATTGTGGACCCTATAGAGGTCACAATTTTTATGCGATTTTGTTGAAGTTTATAACCCAAAGTTATTGGTTCCTGTCAATATTCGCGCATATCGGACTGTAACTTTCTGAATTATGGCCCCCGATTGTACGAAAAAACGCCCTTTAGCTTGTGGACCCTATAGCGGTCATAATTTTTATCCAATTTAAAAAAACGTATTAGTATATCACTGTTACACCCTAAGGACGGCTGAGTTCAAATTTCGTGAAAATCAGCCCAAAACTGACAGACATAATGGCCGCCCTTCGTTCTCAAATAGCGTAAAAATATGGTATATCAAGGTTGTGGACCCTATAGAGGTCACAATTTTTATCCGATTTTGTTGAAACTTGAAATGTAAGTTTATCACCCAAAGATCTTGGTTCCTGTAGATATTTGCGCATATTGGACCGTAACTTCCTGAATTATGGCCCCTGATTGTACGAAAAGTCCCATTTTTAGCTTGTGGACCCTATAGAGGTCATAATTTTTATCCGATTTAAAAAAACGTATAATTATATCCCCGTTACACCCTAAGGATGCCTGAGATCAAATTTCGTGAAAATCGGCCCCAAACTGACAGACAAAATGGCCGCCCTTCGTTCTCAAATAGCGTAAAAATATGGTATATCAAGGTTGTGGACCCTATAGAGGTCACAATTTTTATCCGATTTTGTTGAAACTTGAAATGTAAGTTTATCACCCAAAGATCTTGGTTCCTGTAGATATTTGCGCATATTGGACCGTAACTTCCTGAATTATGGCCCCTGATTGTACGAAAAGTCCTGTTTTTAGCTTGTGGACCCTATAGAGGTCATAATTTTTATCCGATTTAAAAAAACGTATAATTCTTTCACCGTTACACCCTAAGGATGCCTGAGATCAAATTTCGTGAAAATCAGCCCAAAACTGACAGACAAAATGGCCGCCCTTCGTTCTCAAATAGCGTAAAAATATGGTATATCAAGGTTGTGGACCCAATAGAGGTCACAATTTTAATCCTATTTTGATGAAACTTGAAATGTAAGTTTATAACCAAAAGATCTTGGTTCATGTAGATATTCGCGCATATTGGACTGTAACTTCCTGAATTATGGCCCCTGATTGTACGAAAAGTCTCGTTTTTAGCTTGTGGACCCTATAGAGGTCATAATTTTTATCCGATTTAAAAAAACGTATTATTATATCACCGTTACACCCTAAGGACGCCTGAGATCAAATTTCGTGAAAATCGGCCCAAAACTGACAGACAAAATGGCCGTCCTTCATTCTGAAATAGCGTAAAAATATGGTATATCAAGGTTGTGGACCCAATAGAGGTCACAATTTTAATCCTATTTTGATGAAACTTGAAATGTAAGTTTATAACCCAAAGATCTCAGTTCCTTTCGATATTCGCGCATATCGGACTGTAACTTCCTGAATTATGGCCCCTGATTGTACGAAAAATAGCATTTTTAGCCTATGGACCCTATAGAGGTCATAATTTTTATCCGATTTAAAAAAACGTATTATTATATCACCGTTACACCATAAGGATGGCTGAGTTCAAATTTCGTGAAAATCAGCCCAAAACTGACAGACAAAATGGCCGCCCCTCGTTCTCAAATAGCGTAAAAATATGGTATATCAAGGTTGTGGACCCTATAGAGGTCACAATTTTTATCCGATTTTGTTGAAACGTGAAATGTAAGTTTATAACCCAAAGATCTCGATTCCTTTTGATATTTGCGCATATTGAATTGTAATTTCCTGAATTATGGCCCTTGATTGTAGGAAAAATCACTATTTTTTTAGCTTTTTCTCTATCCATCTATCGAAAATGTGGGCGTATCCTGCCTGGCAGCTGCTGGTTACCTTTCTGAATCAGAAAAAAACATTATGAACTCAACTTGAATTTTCAGCAATAAAAAGGCAGTTCCTATATTTTGTATGTTGATTTGAATAGAGGAGGTGATATGTTATGCTGATACAATGTCATGTACATATCCATAAGTTGAAATTGTTTCATTGTACATGTTTTAAATGTCAATTTAAGCCTTTCAGTGTCATTAATGTAACAAGAAAACTGTTAGACTGTTTATGTTATAGAAATGTTTATTTTAAATGAATTCAAATTACACATAATCTTAAGTATTTACTGTACTACATTATTTTGCCATTAGATCATGGCCAATAGGGAAACTTCTGTAATTAGGATGGGGTACGGTCATGCGTATTCAATGATAGGCCGTCTCTATGACTACACTCATAGCAATCTCTACCTAATCTGCTTCACATGTAACGGCTATATGTGAGCGATGCAAATATATAATACATTACGATATGGTGCACTAAAATAATGTATATAATTAAACAATAACAATATGGAAGAGTCAGGGGTTAATGATATACTAGATTGTATATTTTTTTGTTACAGATAGTATCGAAGCTAATATAGATAGCTCACACATCAATGTACAGGAAGGAACTCAACAACTCAGTAAAGCTAGAAATTATCAGGTAATATAATTTTGTTATAATATCACAACCAGCACATCTTATTACACATCCGGTTTCCTCCCTCTGCTAAAGACCACTACGCGCAAGCGAATTATTGAAATAAAATTACACCATATGTTAGTCCCGAAATGACTTAGTTTGTGTCCAGTTAAACCCCATTTCTCTCTCTCTCTCTCTTATTATACACCAATGCTATTTATCAATCATTTTGTTCCCTGCCTTTCGAAGAAAGCAGGGGACTATTAAAATGGTTTCGTCCATCTGTCTGTCTGTAAGCAGAACAATAAGCAATTTGATTGGTCGAGACTTTGGAACACAATAACTCTCATTCTAACTGAGTTAGAATGTTCACACTTGACGTAGGTGTCTATTAGGTGAATGCCTTGATGGAGTTCAAAGATGAGAATTTTCTGCTTAGGGTAACCAGAGATAAGCAATTTGATTGGTTGATGCTTTGGGACACAATAACTGTCCTTCTAATTGGGGTAGAATGTTCAATCTTTAAGTAGGCATTCATTAGGTGAATGCCTTGATGGAGTTCAATGCTGAACATTGTCTGCTTACGGTAAGCAGAGATAAGCAATCTGATTGGTTGATGCTTTGGGGCACGATAACTTTGGTTTTAATGAAGCGAGAGCAATGAAACTCCGAATATAGATTCATTATATCATTACCTTGACTAAGTTCGATGGTGAGAATTTTCTGCTTAGGCTAAGGAGCGATAAGCAGTTTGATTGGTCAAGAGTTTGGAACATAACAACTTTGCTTTTAATTGAGGTAGAATGTTTAAACTTGATGTAGATGTTCATTAGGTGAATGTCTTGACTGAGTTCAATGATTAACATTTCGAGCTGAAGCTAAGCAGAGCTAATCAATAATCAATTTCATTGGTCGTTGCTTTGGGACAAGATAATCTTGATTCTATCTGATAGAGAGTAATGAAACTTAGTATATAGTTTGATTGCACGATTCTTTTGAAAAGTAATAAATGTGCAATTAATTAATATGGGATTTCGGCGGGGGACATCAGCCTCACTGTTGGCTTATTTTTTAATGAAATTGAATGTAACAGAGATTTTTGGTTATATGAAATTTGAAATGAGAAGTGTTACCAGTTGTTTAGTAAGAGTAATCATGTAATAAAATGTTTTACCAGATTTTAATAAACTATTTATATGTTTTGTGAACAGATTTTATAATATTTAGTTTTTAAGTTTGAGTTTTTATTACTCATGAAGTATGCCTGACCTGTTTGTGTAGAATTTTTTGCATGATAAATGTAAGGATTGCAGCATGTTTACAGATTTATATTTTTATACGCCCACATTTTCATGTGGCCTTATATTGTTTTCTCCCCAGTTCTTCCACAATTTGTTTGTGGTCACTCTACAGGTCACAATATTTATCTTCCTAAGATCTCAGTTCCTTTTGATACTCAGGTATGTATCGGACCGTAAGTTTATGGATTATGGCCCCTGATTGTATGAAAAATCGTGTATTTAGCTTGTGGACCTTCTAGAAGTCACAATTGGTTTCCAGTTTTAAAAACCGTTTAAAAATATCCCCATTACAACCTAATGATGGCTGCATTCGAATTTCATGAAAATAACAAGGTTGTGGACCCTCTAGAAGTCAAAATATTGATCCAATTTAGCTTGTGGCCCCTCTAGAGGTCACAATTACACCCTAATGATGGTTGAGTTCGAATTTCGTGAAAATCGGACTGAAACTGCCCAACAAAATGGCCGCTCCTATAACACATACTTATGGAAGAACAAGTATGTGTTATAGTTTATTGCTCTATCCAGTTACTAAATGCCTCTAAAAGATCATTATGTAATACCAAGGATGTAGGCCCTCCAGAGGTCACAATTTTTATCCAATTTTGATGAAACTTAAAACATATGTTTATATGCCAAAGATCTCAGGTTGTTTTTTTTAGCGTGTTCTAAATGTGGACGTATCTTGCATGGCAACTGCTGGTTTTTAGCTCGTTCTCTGTCCATTTCTTGCAAATGTGGGTGTTTCTTGCATGGCAACCACTTGTTCTTTTTTTAAACCTTTCACCTTTATAAATAATCTTTACTCTGTTAATTAAACAGGCCTCTTACTAAATTTACTGATTTGGACAAACCATTGTCTTCTGAATTTTAACATGGATCATTCCATATATTTGGGAAAGAAAGGTAATTTTTCAAAGCAATGGGAAGTTCTGAAATATTTATAATGGTTGTGGTTTATTGTATGTTTTATTTTGTGCATGGTTTTGTTTCTTCCAGTCAAAAGCAAGGAGAAAAAAATGTATATGTTTAATAATTTTCCTAGTTGTTCTGATAATAATTGGCATTATAGTTGGTGTAACTGTAGGAAAGAATAATTAGACTTCCATTTTAAGTATGTTTTCATTTTTTTTCCTATTTTATAATTAATTTTTGTGATTTTATTTATTTTATATTGACAATCTACTTGACAGTAGAACTTGTTTTATTTAATCATTTGAAGGAGCAGTCCCAGATACTTTTTAATATTGTTAATAGATGTTGGTTGAAGTATACAAATTAATCACCATGGAATAACACATGTAGCTTGTCTCAAAATTCCAGATCAGAATATTGTGCCATTTGGAAGCAATCTGAAGATCTGCTTTATGGGTTAGATATGAGTGCCACTATAACTTTGTACAAGTACACAGATACGCTATCATGATACTATTACTAAATGTTTCAATTTCTGTAAAAAAAAAAGAAAAAGGAAAAAAAAAAGTTGTACAGGACTAGGATAAAGGTTTTTAAAAGTCTTACACACAGAATTAACCTGTTTCAATTGCTAAAATATGTCTGGGACAACTCCTTTAATAATTCATAATGTCAAATTATGACTTTTATGTTTTTAATAGTTAGATTCTTTTGTTTATAGAAAGCATGATCACCACTAAGTGTTTCTCTGTATGATTCTACCAGTACTAATTATTATTTTCTTCCTGTTGAATTATAGAATATTTAATTTTTTATATTTCAGAGTAAATCACGACGTAAGATGTTCATCATTCTAGTGATACTAATTATTGTTATCATTATCCTTAGTCTCATTATTTGGGGCACAACACGATAACTAGAATGTCTAACATTTTACCAGAAGAAATAATATGCATGGAAGAAGACTAAACTCGACTTGGTGTCATAGCGGCCAGTTTTCATTCATTTGATGCCAATTAATTTTGAATTTTTGTCATTCATAATGTTTCCTTTGTCACATAGTAAGGATGATGCTTACAGTGATTATCTCACCAATGTTTTATTCTACAAAATTCCTTGCTGGTGTCAAGAAATTAGCATGAATTCAAACAAACGAAAATCTTTTAAAAGAAAATATTTCTTTTTTAATAAAAGATGCATGTGTATGCTATGGTCTCAGGATTATAATTATATGTCAAATTGAGCTAAAATGAAGCTCAAACCATATTTACAGATCTTTATTGTAAACTTGGTATTCTATATTTATATGTGTCTATTCATTATTAAGTACCTTGAAGTAATTCTACACAATTATTTATCATGATATAGCAGATAAAGATGTTAACAATTGATAGAAATTTAACAGAAACATAATTTGATGTTTTATTTATACACATTATTTGATTCAGGAGTAAAAAGTAAGGCTATTCTAATTAGATTATCTTTAAGGGGGGGGGGGACCACTTTTAATAATGATCTGGTCTTTCAGGTGGTAAATAGGAATTGAATTCTATTAGTAGAGGCAGAGGTATGCTTGAAAAAATGTTCATGTTTTACATGCTGTTTTTAGAACAATTATACCATACTTTTTTGGTTAGAGGTTCTATTACAGAACACACAGCATTATAGCATAATTATTTGTTAAGTGTTATTAAGGCTATTACAATGACTTTATGTTAATTGAATATTAGAATATAGAGAAAGTCTTGTACTGTATTATAGAATGTGCATATTGTTTCTTAGAATTTGGGCTATATATTTATCCCATAGTTTCTTTATTGAGCTCAATCTAAATATAAGAGCCATTTATAACATTTAAAATCATTCTTGTTTGAAATTTATGTTACAACTTGGTCATTATTGGTTAAAATTCTTATCAGGAAAAATATTAGAACTAGGACGTAATGTATGATAATTCTGAAACCAAAGAATTAATGGTTCTAGGGCATCAGTTTTTTTATACTCAGGTCTGACAGATGTACCGAACGCCTCGTCGTCTGAACAAATTTTAATGAGTTTTACCCTTGGAATAATTTAGATAAAAAGGGACCCATCCTCCTAAAGTTATTTTGATTTGATTTTTGTAACTTTCTATTATGAAATTAAAAATAAGCAGAAAGAATATTGCTAGCCCATACCAGAACGTCAGGATTAAGTTGGGGAAAATTTGATATTAAAAATGAAAATGACGCACAGAGACTTTAATTGCCTGAGAACCAAATATATTTCTTTGTGGGCTTATGTTTTACGGTATTTTGCCATTTATGTCATATAATCTTTTCCGTAAACAATACACATTTAGTAACAGATTTTCTCCACCATGATTTTTTTATACGCCCACATTTTCATGTGGACGTATATTGTCGTCGCCCCTGTCCATCCGGACGTCCGTCCGTCCACAATTGTTTGTGAACAGTCTACACGTCATAATTTTTATCCGATTTCAATGAAACTTGAAATATAGGTTTATCACCCTAAGATCTCGGTTCCTTTCCATATTGGCATCTATCGGACCGTAAATTCATGGATTATGGCCCCTGATTGTACGAAAAATCACATTTTTGGCTTGTGAACATTGTAGAGGTCACAATTTTTATCCGATTTTGTTGAAACTTGAAATGTAAGTTTATAACCCAAAGATCTCGGTTCCTTTCGATATTCGCACATATCGGACCGTAACTTCTTGAATTATGGCCCCTGATTGCACGTAAAAACACGTTTCTTGGCTTGTGGACCCTATAGAGGTTATAATTTTTATCCGATTTAAAAAAACGTATTATTATATCACCGTTAAACCCTAAGGACGGTTGAGTTCAATTTCGTGAAAATCGGCCCAAAACTGACAGACAAAATGGCCGCCGTTCGTTCTCAAATAGCGTAAAAATATGGTATATCAAGGTTGTGGACCCTATAGAGGTCACAATTTTTATCCGATTTTGTTGAAACTTGAAATATAAGTTTATAACACAAAGATCTTGGTTCCTTTCGATATTGGCGCATATCGGACCGTAACTTCATGAATTTTTATCCGATTTAAAAAAAACGTATTATTATATCACCGTTACACCCTAAGGATGACTGAGTTCGAATTTCGTGAAAATCGGCCCAAAACTGACAGACAAAATGGCCGCCCCTCGTTCTCAAATTGCATAAAAATATGGTATATCAAGGTTGTGGACCCTATAGAGGTCACAATTTTTATCCAATTTTGTTGAAACTTAAAATGTAAGTTTATAACTCAAAGATCTTGGTTCCTTTCGATATTTGCGCATATCGAATTGTAATTTCCTGAATTATGGCCCTTGATTGTAGGAAAAATCACTTTCGTTTTAGCTTGTTTTCTATCCATCTCTCGAAAATGTGGGCGTATCCTGCCTGGCAGCCGCTGGTTTAAACATAACTTGGATAATAATAGTTTGTTGATGTAAGATGTAGATAAATATAATATATAGATACATGTATATAGAGACTATATTGTTTTATTATTGTATTTAAAACCAATTGTACATTATACAGCTGCTTTCATTTCTATGGTAACATATATTGGTTGAAAGACTAACTTCTGTTACAACATTATCACAAATCTACTTCATTTCACCTTTATGCTTCACTACTCTAGGTTTTTAAGAACAGTTTAAAGTGACCTGATGGGCTTCAGTTGTCAATTGAGTAGCTCTACACACTGTAACTAAATATGGATTGAATTCAGCTTATCATTTAAAATTAATTGTAACGGTGAAAGTTGGCCAGAATTATCTAAATATCTTGACTGCTTTATTAATATTTATAAAGAAAACTCAGAAGACAAATAAAACTGTCCAGAGTAGTGAAATGTCTAAGCAAGACACACATGTGCAAGGTTTACAGCATGTACAATGTGAGTTTACTTTAGACTTTACTGTAAGTAAGAACAACCTATATTTAAAGTTGGTGCAAAATGAAATTTCAACAGTTGAAAGTAACTAAAATATAACTCATAAATTACACCTCCTTAGTATTTAATTGTTAATCATGAATTCAATACAACAGTACTAAGATCAAAGTTTTCATTATTTGGTGTATCAGATTCTTGCTATCATTATTATAGTATTATTAAACATAAACTGTATATAGATATGCATATTATCAAACTAAAATCTTTATGTTATGTTAATGTTTGTTTTGCTATGAATTCAAATTTATTTAATTTATGCTTGTGATCATATTTATTCATATTTGTCTAATTTAAACTATAAAATTCATTACATTTCCCTTATTTTCTATTTAATCCACATAGAGCCTGTCAGGATTATTTAATATATTCTTTTGAACTTTGATTACAATTACAAAAAAAAGCACAGTACACGCATATTCTACAATTCTATCTACATCTATCAAACACAAAGAATTTAAGACTACAATGTTTTGCTCAGTTTAAATGCAAAGTGCAGTATATATGTCCATTTTAGTCATTTTGAGTAAAATGTATTTTATGTTGGTTATTGAATTTGAACAACTGATTCTTAATGTGTGATGAAATACTTACTATAAAATACTTACATTGACCTCATATATTTCACTGTGTCATTAGCTCATATAGAGTTAATATTTGCTTCTTAAATTTCTTCATTCTTACCTATATTCAGTCAATCATCTGCTGCTGATCAACAAGTAAGCAGCTTATATGAGCAGTAGTGGTGGCATCTAGGGTATGGTTTTACTGTATAAAGTAATGTGCACCCTCTATTGTAGGTAATGTACAATCTACGAGTCTACAGCAACTCATACTTTCTGGCATTTGTAGTCCCAATGATGTATGCAGGCATATTAAAAATTGAGATCTAATCTTTCCTTACTTAGTTTATTTTGGTTTAAAAGTATCATCAAAACTTTTGTAAGAATTATAAATAACACAATGTATGTTTTATAATGGATGTAATTATTTATGAATATTCAATACATAGAAATTGAATATATTGTTTTTTGTTAGCAATCTCCAAATAAATAACACTGTAATCCAGCTTGGGTTTGTTTTTATTATACAATAATTAACATTTTCTAGTTGAAGTCTCTGATCGTCATTTGAGTGATTTTTAACCCCTCATAAACTACAATATTGTAAATGTTGAATCTCTATTAGGAATATCAGTCTAAAAATGGTTCAATCTGTTCAGTGTTTACTAATTGAAAATTGGTCAACATCCAGGATCGTCTGGAGACGATATGAACGAGCTAATGCTACTATAATCTCTAAAATCTTTTCATGGACCTCTTTTTAATCTGACTGAACTCTAGTAGGTTGAAGTGCATCTGTCAGGACAAAATTTAACTCACTGCACACCATCTTCATTAGCCTGGATGGTGCTGGAGCTGGACAGAAGGATATTAAACTCCATTTCATTTTCTTGTGTGAGGGCATTTGGAATAAATGACAAATATAGACATAATCAAGAATTATCTTACTAAAAAACATAGTTGACCAAACACTATTCAAATCAACCAATACTAAGTAATAAGCAGCTTCAGTTTACAATAATTTGTATATATTTCATCACGGAATCCACTGTGGTGCAGTTAGTAAGGCACTAGCTCACTAAGCTAGAGGTCCTGGGTTTCAATGCCGGTGTTTGCCGAGAAAGTTTTCTAAGACATGGTTTCCCCTTGTCAGTGATGCTGAATGGGAAAAATGACGTCTCTTTTAAACTATTTGAATGGAAGCATGTTAAAGTATTGAAAATGGAAAAGAGAGTAGGTCATACATGTCGTTTCACAGGGCAAAGATTAAAAACCGTATCTGTGTTTCAACATTATTAGGAACACAATTGTATCTTTTGCAATGCAAGTTTTAAAAAAAATCTAGTCAAAGTCTATTATTTATTTACTATATGTTTTTATATACATGTAGTATATAGGTACTACCCGTAATTATTTTTCCTTAAATTCATGTTACAATGAATCCAAATAACATATATAATCTCTGACATATTAACAATAGAAACTTCAATGCACACACTTAGCTACATGTTGATATTGTATACTAAAGAAAATAAACTTATCAAATGTAGCTGCACCACAACATTGTAGATATTTATTACACACCATTATACATACTACTGTTAACCAACAATAATTGTGAGACATTGATCCATAGAATTATATCTCTTAATCTCAAGAATCAGTTTTGTCATATTTACCGGGAATGTGCATAAATAAAGATGTTCGAATGATCCTTTTCTCAAATTAATTAAGTCCTTTTGATAAATTAGAAGATTCTGTGTTTAAATGATTAACCACAAAATCAATCATTAATTTTCTGAGTGGACTAAATACATGCACTGGTTTGCGTTTAAATCATAAGGTCTATGGTGGAGTCCACCCCAGACATGTACGAGACAAAGAGTTGAGGCATCCATCACCCCTCATACATGTACACAAAGGTTTCCTTTGGGTCCTCAGGTTTTCCCACACTGCTGAGCAATGAATTATTGAAATAAAGATATATCATTATGTTAGTCCTAATATAACCTACATTTTGTGTTTAGTGGATGTTAAACCCAATTTCCCTCTATGCTTGTTTTTATTAATTACAAAGAATAAATACAAATTATACAAAAAGTTTTTTAAATTCACATGTAAATATTGTAATAGCAAGATAATTACATATGTACATAAAACTAGTGTTCTTTTCCAAAAGCACTTTAAATTTGAAATTGTGTATATGAATACTGTACATGTCTACCAGGTAATTCATCATAATTATACAGGCCTGGAAATAACCATATAAATTTTGTCTTTTGTTTTGTTCAGTGTTTTATTGACATGTTTCAAAATGTCAGGTGGCACTAACTGCTCAGGGCATGTATTAAGACCTATGGTTATCAATAAAAGCACTGAAAAAATCAGTGACAGGCACCAGAGGGAATATCTCCAACAAAGCCAGAATTTGTGCCTGACATTGTCTGTGACAGGTGTCTTATTTCCAGGCTTGATAATATGTAAATTATTTACATCATCAGCTTATCTCGCATACAATATGTAATCTTTTGTCTACATCTTTCTATTTTTATTCAAGTTCAATAATAACATCATTTTCACTAACAGTTTCTCCAGTTTTATAGTTCACTTTTTTAATAACCCCACTTTTAGCTGCGGTTAAGCTATTTTGCATTTTCATTGCTTCTAGAACACAAACCTCTTGGCCCTCTCCTACCTTTTGTCCAGCTTCTACAGAGACTGATTTTAACATTCCTGGCATGGGAGCTAACACGACAGTACTTATATCAATTTCTTTCTTCTTTGGCATCAATTTCATCATTTCAGAAGCAAAGTTATTGAGTACTGTTATAGGGAAAACAGTTCCTAGAAAACGTAAATTGTAGTGTCCACCACGAGCCCGTTTACTAATTTGAAGCTGACTGGGTTTGCCATCTACTGTGGTTTCAATCAGTGGAGAGTGAAACATCATCTGCCCATCAATATTCACGGTGCTGTTTCCAACATGAACTTGAAATCCATTTGTAATTTTCTCCACCGTTGTTTTATATATTTCATTAACAAGATTGACTGACAGATCCCATTTTGATTCAATATCGGTTGAGGCCTGTAATTTGCTTCCATTGGTAAACTGTCTGGATCTTATTTCATCCGAGATGTAAAGAGCACTTGAGAGGGCTACTAACTCAGTTGTTTCTTGGTCTGAGAGTTTCTTTCCTTGGAATCCATCTGGATACACTTGTTGTAGATATTTAGTGGTGATATCACCAGCAACAAATTTTGGCTCAGTAATTATGTCTCTTAATAAAGGTATATTATGTGTTACACCTCTTATCACATAAGAATCTAATGCTTTCTTCATGGTATCTAGAGCCTCTATTCGATTAGTACCATATGTAACGAGCTTACAGATCATTGGATCATAATAAATACTGATTTCGCTTCCTTCTTGGATGCCACTGTCACATCGGACATTTGGAATGTGTAATGGTTCCTGGTAACGAGAAAGGCGTCCTATAGAAGGCATTCCAAAGCTCTTGTAAGGATCTTCAGCATACACTCTGCATTCAAAAGCCCAACCATCAACAGGAATATCTTCTTGTTTATGCAATAATTTATGACCTTTTGCTGACCTTATCATTTGGTGGACAATATCAATGCCAGTGATGCACTCAGATATAGGATGCTCAACTTGTAATCTGGTATTCATTTCTAAAAAGAAGAATTCCTTCTTAGAATTTACCAGAAATTCTACAGTTCCTGCAGAATCATAACCAACAGCTTTGGCCATTTGAACCGCCTGATCACCCATAGCTTTTCTCATAGCTGGATCTACAAATGTGCTTGGTGCCTCTTCTATAACTTTTTGGTTTCTCCTTTGTATGGAGCATTCACGTTCATTCAACCACAAAGCGTTACCATGTTGGTCACACAAAACTTGGATTTCAATATGACGAGGGTTATCAATAAACTTCTCAATCAACATTCGATCATCGCCGAAACTAGACTTGGCTTCCTGAGAAGACAGTCGGAAAGCTTGACGAGTTTCTTCATCACTCCATGCTATCCTCATTCCTTTACCTCCTCCACCAGCTGAAGCTTTTATCATGACAGGATAACCTATCTCATTAGCAAGTTGAACACAGTGATCAGCATTTTCTACAACTCCATCATGACCTGGTATCATATTAACCCCAGCTTTAGTTGCAATACGTTTACTTTCAATTTTATCACCCATGTCAAATATACTTTTACTATTTGGTCCAATGAATTGTACTCCAATATTTGCTAATTCTGCAGCAAACTTAGTGTTCTCCGACAAGAAACCGTATCCAGGGTGGACCGCCTGTGCTCCCGTTAATTTCACTGCATCAAGAATCTTTTCCATTTGCAAATAGCTCTGACTTGTAGGTGCTGGACCAATGCAAATTCTCTCATCAGCCATACGTGTGTGCACTGACAAGGAATCGACATCGCTATGAACTGCTACCGTCTTTATTCCCAATCGTTGACATGTTTTCATGACACGACAGGCGATTTCTCCACGATTAGCGATTAGAATTTTATCGAACTGTTTTTCGTTTTCATTGTAACGATCATTCCAGTACAAATCTTTGCTTGTCAGTGAACCTGTCGTATAAAGGCTTCTCGTCCATAATGTTTGAATTGACAATAACCTGCCTCCAAATCCTCTAGATAATTTATAACTTCTCACTGGGCTGCAAAATGCAAAATTGGCTGCCATTTTGCTGTTCGCCCTTGACCTTTTCCCGGATTTATCTCCCTTTAACCATGCAATTTTAATGACCTTTTGTGTTAGGTGAAGGTCATTTTTTCTTGTCGATGAACTTGAATTTTTAAAGATGTCCATAATTAAACACATAAATAAATTTCCGAAAGAATGAAAACAGAAAGTCACCGGCATTGTCCATTAAATTAAACAAATAAATTATCGGTATGAAACTAGAGAAGGACTTGCTAACAGACGCATACCCATCTGGATTTTGTAAGGCAAGTTTAAGTTTTTTGAGGACTGATCAGACATTTTAAAGATATAAGCACTGATCTATATATATGTATGTGTAGTGTATAGATCAGTGGGTATAGCTGCTTCCATAAATAGCGGGGAAAGCTTGTGGAGGCCTTTTTGATTGTCTTAGTGCGCCAAGGGAGATAATCTGTACCCCGCACTGTTCATAACATTGCCGCCGTTTTGGCCCCACTCCACGTAGGCCCTATGCACCTACATGACCAGAAATATTGTCTCTAGACGTCTGATTTTATAAAATTCTATAGTAATACTCACGCAAACTTGACGTTGTCCCAGGGCCTATTTTAAGGTTTTATTGGGGTTATGAAAAATTCCAGAATTTGATATCCGATAACCAAAATATAACATTATTAACATATTTATATTTATAGCCTAACCGCGTGACAGTATCATTAACAGTCCAAAGTAACATCCAAAATCGATCCAAGGGCAAACGAGCCTTCACTGTCACCTGCACCCATAGGCGTACGAGCCAGGGGGCAGGGGGGGGGGGGGGGCAGCTGCCCCCCTAACTTTCGGGCAAGCTGACTTTTCGGGCAGACGGGTAAAGTGAAAACAAAAATTTATTTCATCTTCTTGGCAAAATAAAGTGCCCGAAATCTAATAAAACACTAATTTTACGGGCTGGAGTAGCAGGAAAACGCGTTTGCGGCTGTCAAATATTCCAAAATTGTCTTGCGGGGTCCATACAAGGTCGGTTCCGCTTCTTCGCCTCTCGAAGAAAACCGGCGCCGCTGTCTGTAAACCCGAAATTTTTTCGGGCATTTCTAGTTTTGCTTCCCTTACTGTTATCGAGCCCTAATATAACACTAATTTTACTTTTCTTTTAATTGAATGCCACGAATTTGTACAGAGTTGACTATGGGTTAAAAAATGTTGCCTGGAGTCACTCTACTTTGTGCGACATTTTTCGGGCATCGATTATTATTTGTGAATGCAGCTGCAACAGTCTGATTGGATGGTTGGAATTCAGAGTGGGATTTCGGTTACAAAACCATTGGATACTTTTGGAGTTTACACGTGCTAGAATAGCAGAAAACGCATTTGCGGTGGTTAAATTTTCAAAATTTTCTCCGGGAGGGTATACCCCCGAACCCAGCGACGATTGATTGGTTGTTTGGAATTCCGGTCAGCCAGGTTGGGAATATTGGACCAAATTGAAGTTGCTGTATTCACAGTCTGGAATAGCAGGAAAACGCGTTTGTGGCAGTTAAATTTTCAAACTTTTCTCCCAACGGTCCCGTCTTCGTGGACTGTAAACGATTGATTGGAATTCGAGTCAGCCACCTGAGGGGGGGGGGGCAAGGTAAGCTCCGCTCTCTTCGCCTCTCAAGGAAGACCGGCGCTCTCTGTAAACCCGAAATTGTTTTTGGGCATATCGCGTTCTGCCCCCCCCCCCTTGCTGTCATCGATCCCGTACGCCTATGCCTGCACCTGACGTGGTTGTGGGAAATGGTCAACAATACAAAACTTTTGAAACAAAAATCGAAAGTGGTCGATGATTAATCATAGCTCATTTTCCCGATACAATCTTCTCGGATTCACATGGTTACAAAAAAAATTCACACACGGATTTCGGATTTTCAAAGCACTGATTGTTTTGTCTAGAGGCACGCCCTGCATTGTCTGAACCTTGCCCCCCCCCCTCCCGCCACACCCAGACACACACACACACACACACCCACACACACAGCCCCAATGTTTGAAGCAATGGTTAATGAGCTGCACATAATCGGGTGTATGGTAGGTGTTGGTGCATTTTAAAACGGGTGCTTCAAAATATTATATAGAAACGTTAAAGCCACTGGTGGTCATTGGAGAGAATATGACTCTTTTCCAACTACAATAGACCTATTGGATCTGTAAAAGGAATACCAGTCAAAAAATGGTTCAATTCCGTTCAGTAGTTACGAAGACGCCATGATGAATTGAAAATGTCGCAACAGGCATCATCAGCAGACGATATAACCGAACCAGCGCCAGATATAATTATGTGCATATTTAGATGTGCATCTTTTTAATCCGATTAAATCTAAGTTCGTATTTTGGTTTTATTTTCTTAATTAAATATTGAATAATCAATTTCAGTACATTTTAGCGAGGATTATTAAGCCGTGAAAAAATAGACATTGTCTGATAAATGCAAATGAAGATCAGTGGCTTTAAGATTTTGTTTACAAAAAAAACAGGATTAAAGTGTTTATAGGTGTGATGTATAAACGTATGGTGTATCTGAAATGTCTTGTCATACATGGTTAGTTATCAATAGATACTGTTCTATATATATGTTATATTCCAATAATTGTACAGGCTTCGCTATGCTTGGTTAGTTTACAATGGCAATATATAATGACGTCAGGTGGAGACATGTATAAGAGAACCGGTTCAAGTACTGGAGCGTATTATAATATATTATATTGTGTCGAGGTTAGAGTTACATGTATGAGTTATTGGTTATGATTTAAGAATCTATAATGAGATAGGACTACAGAATAACGAACAGGTAAATATATGGAATAGTTATTAAAATAACTATGCACTATTTTTAAATACAATTGCATACAGATGGAGTTTCTCAGGTGTATATATTTATAGTCGTCTTATCTGAATGCCAAATCAGTGCACCTTGTTCAGATTGTATATTATTATATATTATATATAATACAATATGATTTATGTATACTATTGATATGGACTGTATGTTACAAGGAGAAGTTTAACCCGAACTGTTATGTCAAACAGTAGACAGCGGAGTTATGTACACAGATAAAGTAGGGCCCCATTCCCTATTTATGTTAGGCTACCTGGTGTTATATTACAATGTAGGCGTGGGGATTATAAAGTTCAGTACAATAGGTGTATATGTAACCTGAAATTCATTGAAATATAATTTTACACACAGAGGATATTTGCGAACAGTAAAAACATAGGTTAACACGTGAGTATTGTTATATCAACGAAATGACATTAAATCTCTGAATAGTAAGAAATCTAGTCGCCATATTTCATGTAGTGAACATAACAATGACAGTACACATAATATTTTGAGTGACATTACATAATACAGTTTCGATTTTCTGTGATGTTTTCAAATGCTATTTTTCTTCAGTTATTTTTCTTTTTTCGTTTTGTTGCTTACACCTTTGGGATCAAGAAGTAAACATACTCTTTTTCGTGGCAATAATGTGATATTGCAAATGTATACATGTTTGCAAGTGAGCAAGGAAAATCTATAAACCAAGCCGAAAATACATCAGTTAATCGATATATTTGTTGGCGATTGACAACCGGTAAATTGGGTATATTATATCTTGGTATTATATAGGGAGCTTATTACTCTTTCTAGAATGGAAGTGGACTTTAAAGGCGACCATTTACATCATTTCTAGAACACCAAAACGAAATGAAATGGGGTTTAACGTCCTACTGTTCTGCTCCTATACTGGGCCATTGAAGACGGGGAAACACCAAAACACTTATCATTCATTCAAAAAGAACTTGAAAAGGTGGCGCTTGCTGAGCTGTCAAGGAAAGTGTGTCTAGTCGTTCGGATTGTACGAAAAAACAAGATTGGGTTGGAATTCGAAGAAGAGTAGGAGGAAACGCCACTATTCGGTAAAATCTCCTCCAACCCTTTAGTATTGCACACCATAGAAATAACTATTACCGTCTGTAAATAAAGGGCGAACAACCCAGTTCCATTCCATTATTGTTGTTGTAATTTTAAATTGTATTTTACTGTTAGTGTATAGCGAGAATATTATTGATTTACTAATGGTTATCTTGTAAAACTACATGTCAACACATATAGGAAAATAACTTATAGCCCATATAGCCTATGAATATTTTATAAACGAAACAATAATGAATAATTGATTTTTCATTACAATATCCTAGAGATGTATTCTCATATGACATTCCAAAATTATCACATCTTCTATTCAACTAACATTTATTTTTCGAACGTTAGTTACATACGATCTTCTATTGATAGCCCTTGTTTACTATTAAATTATGTTAAAGAAAGCAACAGTAGATAAACTCAAAAAATGTATCCTTGGTGGGAATTTTACATTTCTATAATGTGTTAGCCAAACAAAATACTGACTGGGACCTGCGAGGATTATCAATGTTGCGACGAATTTGCATTTTTATGAAATTAAAGTAGGTCGTATTGAGCCAAAACTTGTCGGACGTTTTACCTGATTGTCGGACCATTATATAGGCAGCCATGCCATTTAGTTTTGTCCACTAGGTTAGAGGAGCAGATGTCCAGCAATATCATGTCAACTAACGTTTTAAATTCACATTTATTCAGTTGTGAAAATATTGAGAAAACTGAACCTCACCATTCTCGAATATTCATATTGGTTTTATGTATGTATTTTTGTTCAAGGGAGGCATTTATTATTTTATAAATAGAAATATTCCGAATTTGGATAAGACTCGAGATCCACGACGACGCGTTATTTTCAGGTCGCGATATTTCGATGACTAATATAATTCTTTTAAAAGTTCAATTTCAAAATTTGAAAGATAGCCGAATATGATTTTATAATCTGCTGTTCCAGTTATATGTATACCTGTGCCACTTTAAACCGATTGTTCTCAATAATAATAGATTAATCCTATAATATCTAAATATTAATAAGCCGATTGTTTTATGGTTCATTTTATAGTCATATTAATATCAGAATATTATGAATGTAAGCCACCAAACTAGCTATACAAATCATCTTGAATGACATTTTGCTCTTTATTTTCTAGGGAGTGGCTTTTCAAAACACTAGATTTTATAGATTGGGCAATATTTATATATCCATATCTCATAACTCTTTTTTTAATACTTAAACACGGAACGCAAGATGTCAAACAGTGTAACATTTAAAGAGAAAATAAATGCAGTTAATTTTATAATCAAAATAACAATATAAACCCGATCAGTATATCCAAACTACAAGAACTGGCTTGCTTACATTGTTCATGAGCATCTGGTGAATTATTACAAACTATCGTATACGAAATTGGAATTTGATTACCCTCAGTATATAGAGGATATTTGTCGTTTTAGAGTGAATAACATATTTTATTTCATCGAGAAGCAAGAAAACTTATATTTTCACGAATGCGTAGCATGAGTGAAAATATAAACGTTTTCTTGCTTAGAGATGAAATAAAATATGTTATTCACGACAAAATGACAAATGTTCTATTTATTTTATGATTTTACAATCATTTTAAGTAAAAACAACTAGCCAGTGGAATAACACTTTTATTTCACTGATAAAACGCGGTATTCCACTGCTGATCATAAAATAAAATTGTATATTCAAATCACCACAAATCGAAATGTGTTTGCCGACAGCCACAGATCTCCAAAGTTATAAAGGGTAGAAAGAAAGGGAGGGAGGAGAACATGTCTTAAAACCTAAGTAAAGTGTTTTTCCTTACAAAAGGGTTCAATCTTTAAACAAGAATAACAGAGGAAACACAATTAAAAGACCTTTATGAACAACATCTTTTCATTTTCGCCTTTTGTATTTATTTGAATTAAAGTGTATTTCAATACGTTAAACATGTCACATGTACGTGGTCAAATAAATGAAATGAACATGTAAAAAGATACCGTGTGTCTCTTGTTACGATGACCGTGCGATTTGTGAAGCAAAATGTTTCAAAATGTCTTTAAATTGGAAAGTGTAGTGCTGAACATTATTGTCAGTATTTAGTCCTTTTCAAAATTCAATCCATGTAAAAGCCGGGTATCTATAGTTTTAAATTAGCATAAAATTGTGTTGATAAACATTGCAATATTCATAACCATTTGACCAGGGAATTCTTTTGTGAAGGTTTTGTTGACCATGAAATAAATGAACACAGGTCAGGTTCCCATGCACTTGACCTTGAATATGTTGGAAGATCACCTGATGTGACCTCTCGAAACGCATACTTTTACTAATGCTTAAAAAAGTTATCCTTTGTTTGACTCATTGCCCTTTAGTTCCGAAGGCTATTACCGTGGTTGAACCGATGGTAAAATAGATTTTACTTGTCCGTTGGCTTTTTAACTGCTTCGTCTTCTTAATCCAAAATCAATAGAAAGATTTCCACATAATGCATTTTAAAAAGTGCTATATAGTGCTCAGTCTGGCTTAAAACACTGCAGTAAATTTGTACATTCGTGACTTCCCCTTCTGAACCTCTGTTATAGTGTGTCTTTCTATATATTTTATTACTATTTAATTTTAATCAAAATAGCAATTGACCAATGTCCGAATTGATATCTCGCTAATGTTTCTGGTCTTTTAACTGTTTGGGTTTATACTTAATGTAACGATATATATTACGTAATTATAGTTAACACGCGTTCTTGCTATGTCCATATATCTTCTTTTGTATTTAGATATTTGTTTCCAATGTACAATTTAACATTTCTGATCAAATATTATTATATAATTATTTTAATCCTAGCTTGTATTCTATATTCTACTGTAACTTGAGTCTGGTAACCGGCTCGCCCTAGCGATACCTATCTCGTTATTGTGACCGTAAGCCAGTTTTGGACACTCATTTATTAAAAGTATAATATTAAATATCTATCTGAGTTTTCGTAGTTAGTGTTGGAATAAGCTACAACCCCCAGAAAATAGCACTTCGGCACCTCTTATAAGGATTTATTCAACTTCGTGTAGACAAATTTGGGCAAGTGCTACTGTTCCCAGAAAGGACACCGAATTATCTCCAATAATTAACTAAATTGATAATTCATAAACACCAGAGAATTATAAGCTTATTTGGTACTTGTAGACGAGTTTATGATAGAAAGTATTTTGTAAAAGAAAGAGTACAATTGGATTTTTCTATGAGGGACGAGGGTGTACCAAAATGTTGAGACTATTGCAAAATTTATTACAGATAGATTATTTTGACAGTGTATACCTACGTGTATGTTAGTCCTCACAAAGCTATCAGATTAGCAAAAAACATACGACTTTTTACACCCACTAAACATATTAAAGAGGGGGGGGGGGATTTTCTTTTTCAGTGTAGCGAACTATAATGGTGTTTCAACAAACAAGAAACGCGCTGAAAGTATTTTGGTTGTTAAAAGGTATAGACACACACACTGTATTAACTTTCATATCTACGTACGTGACTGATCTCTATATACATAATAATATACTATTTATTATCAAAATATTGAATGAATACAAATAATGCACTATATTCCAGCAATATGATAAATGTAAGTTAGAGGTAAGCTAACTGGGGTTCTTTTGTGATTTAGTGAATGGATAGTAGGATGCGTTAGGACACACCCGTTAGGGTTGGTAAGAGATGTAGCTTAAAGTGGGGTTACGCAAAAATAATAACGCAACGCTAACAAATCCCATTTATTAACAAGAATATTAAGATTAGTAATGGATTCATTTCGACAAAATCCACTTATTTATCGTTTCATTGTTTCACGTGGCCGACATGAATATAATTTATAATGTAAAAATATTGCATCAAAAGCGACATGGGCTAGAATAAGGTCCAACAGAGAGTGTAATACACCAAGCAATCAAAAGTACGTTTATATCAAGCCCGGTAATAAGCCACCTGTCACATATTCTCGCTTTTAATTTGATGTCAATTAACACTGGTCTTTGTTAATACATATATTCCTGGAGCAATATGGTTTTGCCAGCTTTATACACTCACACTGTTAATACTCGTCACCGGTAGTTCAGGAATATGGGCTTAATCATGCCCCACTATCTCCCTTTAACTGCATCTTAAACATCTTGGGCGTAGTTTATGTCGATAAAAATGATAAATACAAATTTGATCTGACAGTAAAGGGACATTTTATAATTTATTAATTTATTTCTACATGTTGTTAAACTGTCAGAATTATCACTTGTGGTAAAAGTTATGACGTTAGCCGTATTCAAGCAACATCCTTAAACGACAATGCTGTCATCCACCAATTTTACAACACATTCCAAATATAATTTTAACATACAGTTGATCCGTAATCACGATTTGAAGATATTCATAAACATGTTTTTGGCTTTCTATACAAATTGAAATTTCGCGTGTATTAAAACACTATCAAAACCAAACAATCTCAATTTATTAAAAATTATATTTATCTACAAAACTATAACATAAGCTCTCGTAGTGGGAAATTGTTCAGAAAGAGCACCACCGCGATTACAACTTAGAATGGAAATGTTGAAAGCTATGAGTTTATGGTACTGATATCGGGTATGAAATATCGCTTTGATAAAGCTAGGGTCAGTACAACTCGTACAGTTATGTACGTGGAAGAAACAACGATAATATTCCAATATTGACACCTGAACACCGGTAACGCATCATTGCGTCAATTCGCGGGGTATGAGTACCAGAGCCATTGCAAGAAGGTTTCGAGCAGGCATGGTCCATTTGAGATCTTTCCGTCATCAGATGATTATTGTCAGTGAGCCGAAGATCGTCTGCGTAGCTGTTATCATTCTTTACTTCAGTCTGTAACAATACCGGATCTCCTAATTTTGCGGAATCTTTCAACCAAGACAAAGATTTCTATGTTAAAATTATATCTGAATTTATTTAACCACTTCTGTCACATCAGTTGATGATAGCATTGTCCTTTAAATAAAATGTGTGACAGGTATTTAGCTGTAATTTTCATTGTTTCACCGCACTTTGGAAGATCGCTATAAATAACTCGTTTTTTAAGATACCATTGTAGTATTTAAATGGACTCCCCTGACAAACTTGCGATTGGCGACATAATATAAGAATATCTTTCTTAGCATTTTTAATATTATCTCTTTCACCCTATAATTAAATTTTTCTATGTCATAAGAAATATCATACTTTTGGTTGAAAATGAGACTTCTGTTACCTAATCGACCTTGGGGAAACGTATTATAATAAAAATAACCATGTTCTCTCTTTTTATTTGCAGGCAAACATAAACGTCTGAAAAAAGTCATATTCAAGTAAAATGGCATTCCAACGTGGTCCCCATGTCCGTGATATATTTGTTGGTAAAGATAAGATAGAATCAGGACATTTACATTATGATACGAAGGAGAGTCAATCAAACTTTATGGTCAAAACGAAAAACAAAAATAAACAACAAAATGCCAATAATAAACCGACGAAACTAGGACAATATAAACCAAGGATTCTCTCAGACAGTGACGAAATCAATGTTCCGGTGCCAAAACACTCTCCAGTTAGAACGGGAAATCAAATTCTCGACAAACCCCGCCCTTATATAGTCGGTGACAAGAACACCCCGATAGTGTTACATCCGATAGGAGCAGACGATGATATTTCGGACAATGGGGATGTTAATTCCAATCAAGAAACCAACCCTCTGCAAACTTCTAATCCAATGTTTGATAAGGTTACTGAATTAGGAAAAATTCAGACCGAGACTGAAATAATTGACGGTATCGTTATTCCGCCTCCTGATTATGAAGAGGAAGTAGCAACGATGAATTTTTATGAAGAAATTCGCGAAAAAGTCGATTTTACTAAACCCGTTCATCGGAATTACGGTGGAGAAGATTTTTCAAAGTTTCTGGATGACGATGATGATGAAATTCTTGAGCATGGAGGTCTGACATGGCACTCTCAAAGACCACCTGCCAGAAACCCGTTACCCTCCTTCGATAAAAAGGCGAAGACAGAAGTCAAACGAAAGTATCAAAAGCGCGAGAGTAAGAAAACAAACAAACATTTCAATACTCAAAAACGAAATTCTTTGAGAAATTTTAGTTTTGCCGATTCTAAATTCGCCGATAAAGGCGCGGATCGACCATCCAGTGGAAAGAAAGATAAAAATAATAAAGAGGAAATGGAATTTAGTGTTTATGGTGATGCCGATAATTTCATGAATTCTAATAACAAATCTTATGAGACATTTCTACATGCGCGACATGGTGACTTACCGGATTTGTACCACGATAACAGACAGACAGATGAGGATAAAGAAATGCACTCACCCAAACAAAAAGACGGTAATTTTTGGAAAAAGCTAACATTGCGTTTTAAAAGACAAAGTAGTTACGATATGTCCACAGTAGACTAAAATATATTTATTGGCATAATCAACAACCATGTCTTTCATCATTTTATGTAATCGGCCCAAAAGAAGAAGCCTAATTGTTTCACAGCCATTTAAAAAGACCGAAATGTACAGCTGTGTATTTTGGACATCCATACAAGCATTCATATCGTTTTATTTACCGATTTTTATTCATGTGGGGAGATTATAGGCTGATTAATATAGGTTTGCAGTATTACGGCCACATATAATTACTTATATAATAGTGTGTGTATATAGATGTATATATATATATATAGGTTTTACATAGTTTCGTTTAATTGTCCATATCAAATTTTAAGTGCTACTCGTAAACGATAAAAATTTGTTTGTGGTTTTGTTTTTTTTAAAAAAGGGATTAAAAACATTCAGCACTGCAAAAATTTTCAATTTTGTGATATACAGGTCGTATTGAACGCTGTTTTACACCGTGCGCCTATTATGTAGCTTTGCCTTGGCGTGTCCCAAGATTATTATCTTATTATATACTATTCAAAAAAAGTAGGGGATATTTGATTTTGGGGGCATAATACTAAAATATGCAAATGACTACGAAAAAAGTCACTATAGAACCTAACAGAAGAAACATTTCCAGTTACATGTGACGCCCAAACGCACCAATAGCTACCGCATGGAATGCAGGTGATGCTTGGGATCATCATGGGGGTCCAACCCAAGATTTGCACGACTCTGACTTTGAATGTTACAGTCATTGTGGCATTGAATTCCAGGGTGGAAACATCAGTTTAATTGTTTTAGTGACCAGAAAACAAATTTTGATATGCGTCGGCTTACCCAAAATGAAAGGTTACGTGTCCTTGGCATGCTACAGATCGGCACAACACAGGCGGTTGTGGCGCGGACGATGAATGTTTCTCAGTCTGTCATAAGCAGGCTATGGTCCAGATACCGTGATACACAATCTGTACAGGACAGACCACGCTCAGGTCGACCAAGGGCGACAACTCAAGCCCAGGATCGATTTATCCGTACCTTGGCCTTGAGAAATCGTGTCATCACAGCAAATCAGATCAGCGCTCGTCTTCAAACAGACACTGGTGTGAGAGTGAGTGGCCAGACGATTCGGAATCGACTGCATAGGGGTCACCTTCGCGCCCGACGTCCTCGCGTGATCCCTTGTTTGAGAGATCATCACATTCAGGCAAGACGTCGTTGGTGTAGGGATCGTCAACACTGGGATAATCGACGCTGGAGCAATGTGATGTTTTCAGATGAGTCAAGGTTCACTGTTGATTTTTTGGACAGACGTAGGAGGGTGTGGCGTCGTCGAAACGAGCGCTTCCAAGACGTTAACGTCATCAGACATGATCGATTTGGGGGTGGTTCTGTTATGGTGTGGGGAGGCATCACTGTTGCTGGAAGAACGGCTTTACATGTTGTTGCAGGGCGTGTTACAGGCCAGTACTACCGGGACAACATCTTGGCAGTCCATGTTGTGCCGTTCGCACGACGTCATGGCCGCCGTTTCATCTTCCAGGATGACAACGCAAGATGTCACAGGGCCAGAATCGTTACAGGTTACCTCCAACAACAGAACATCACCACATTACCTTGGCCAGCACTGAGTCCCGACCTCTCCCCCATCGAGCATGTCTGGGACATGCTTGGACAGAGGTTACGTCAACGTCAACAACGTCCTGCCAATGTCCAAGAACTTGCTGCTGCGTTGCAACAGGAATGGGACAATCTGGACCAAAATGACCTTAGACGTCTCATTAGGAGTATGCCACGTCGGATCAATGCTTGTTTGGCAAACAGAGGAGGATTTACCCGTTACTGACTTGGTTGTGATGCTGTGGTAACTTTGCTGTTTGACCCCGGGTATCATTTTACCCTTATAATGGTCAGTCTGTGCCTGACTTAGTCTAACGATCATTTGGAATAAATCGATGAATGTGAACTTCATTTCATTTTATCATTTGTTTCTTCGTCAATTTCATTAGGTGACTTTAATAACACTTAAAAATCAAATATCCCCTACTTTTTTTGAATAGTATATATATAGTTATAAACATTATAACATAATGGTGTTCCGTTTGATTTATCGTTTTCAATATTTAATGCAGTAGCTATTAACATGAAATCACGTGATACAAAAATTTGTTTATATGACATAACTCATAGTTACGAAACACCCGTAACGAGGATTATCGACTCGTTAACCATGCTACAATAGTGCCGTTATGGGCGATTGTTTTATTTGGTCGGCCAAGTTCGCTTGCTGACAATCAAAATTGTCGATATCCTCTCTATCGATTTTCTTAAAATCAAGGGACAGTTACACAAGAATTATAAATAAAATGTGGGGAAATGATTATCAGTATGAGACCAGGGTGAAGTGGCGATACACGATAGGTAAAGAATATAAGCTAAAATGTTGACCAGTATATTTCAATATGTTTGAGCTACAATTGGCCTCTATTAGTTTTTATCTCGCGAAATTGTTGCACAATTCAATCGGCTTTCACGTTTAATTTTTACAAGGTAAACCTACCCCTATGCAAACCATAACAAATAACGCACAGTCCCGTCTGCATTAATCTGGTTGGTGCAGAAAAGTAGGAGGTTAACGCGTGAAGCACCATTGTAAGGTATAATTTAGTAGTTGTCAATACAATTCTTACGGGAGTGAATAATGTTAGCCCATTTTATTGCAAGTTTGAAATTTTTGGTCAAAAATTGTTACTGAGAACAGAAAAAAGCTTCAGTGAACTTCGTCCGTCCCGAAAGGAACTAATATGAACAGTAGCAACACCGTTCTACTGAAAGACATTTTCATTTCATTTTATGCAAACTTAAAGTTCCGAATTTTTCTAACAAAGTCTAGATTATCCATTTTTGATTTTTAGCTAGGCCCGGTCAAATATTTCACATCTTGAATAGAGTCAACAGCAGACCTTAAACCACCAACAGATAGACATGACCTTATTTTTCTATGTGTGTTCACAGGAAGCTATAGACTGTGATGTCACTTTCATAGCTGATTTCCAGGTTTACTTCCTAAGCCTTCTGCCTCAATCTGATTAAAACACAGATCCTATTTCGTTTTGTTTTTTATAGTTTAAAAATCTGTTTTACTTCTCGCTACCCCAGTGGAGGTCATCAAAAGTATAAAAAAACAAAACGAAATATAGCTCTGTATTTTAACTAGGGTTAGCAAGTTACATGCCATGTTATCTATTCCTTACATTCTACATTCAAGCAAAAACAAGTCTTCAAAGATAGGTTGCCAGGCAACGAAACATACGCCCACAGCAGCTATATCGTCCGGGCAGTCAACAAGAGTTGTCGCATATTTTTACTTTTTTCGGTAATGAAACATTTATAATACATTAAAATCTAAGAGTAACAACTCATTAAGTAATTATCAGAAAACCATTAGAATTTGTTTGGTTTTTATAAAGTTCTGTCCCATGCTAATGTTTAGTATACAAAACTTTTAACATCATGGATTTAGCTGTTCAAGTCATAAAGATTCATTGAAAATCAATATACTTGTTCGTCTCAAGACCTTAAACTCTGTGTACCAATCTGAAGTCAATCGGATGATAACTTTAGCCTCAAGAGCGTCACAAGATTTTTCAGAGTGATCAAGGGCCATAACTCTGGTAGTAATTATCTGAAATCGTTGAAAATCTATATGATTCTTCATCTCATGACCTCAAACTGTGTATAAATTTAAAGTCAATCGGATAATAACTTTAGCCTCTACAGCGTCCACAAGATTTTTCAAAGTGATCAAGGATCATAACTCTTGCAGTTATTATCGGAAATCGCTGAAAATCAATAGGCTTCTTCGTCTCATGACCTTAAACACCGTGTATAAATTTAAAGTCAATCGGATATTAACTTCAGCCTCTAGAGCGTCCACAAGATTTTTCTAAGTGATCAAGGGCCATAGCTCTGGCAGTAATTATCAGAAATCGGTGAAAATCAATAGGCTTCTTTTTATCATGACCTTAAACACTGTGTATAAATTTAAAGTTAATCGGATATTAACTTTAGCCTCTAGAGCGTCCACAAGATTTTTCAAAGTGGTCAAGGGCCATAACTCTGGCAGTAATTATCGGAAATCGCTGAAAATCAATAGGCTTCTTCGTCTCATGACCTTAAACACTGTGCATAAATTTAAAGTCAATCGGATATTAACTTTAGCCTCTAGAGCGTATACAAGATTTTCCAAAGTAATCAAGGGCCATAACTCTGGCAGTAATTATCGGAAATCGCTGAAAATCAATAGGATTCTCCATCTAATGACCTTAAACACTGTGTATAAATTTGAAGTCAATCGGATATTAACTTTGACCTCTAGAGCGTCCACAAAATTTTTTGAAGTGATCAAGGCCCATAACTCTGGCAGTAAGTATCAGAAATCGGTGAAAATCAATAGGCTTCTTTTTATCATGACCTTAAACACTGTGTATAAATTTGAAGTCAATCGGATATTAACTTTGACCTCTACAGCGTCCACAAGATTTTTCAAAGTGATCAAGGGCCATAACTCTGGAAGTAATTATCGGAAATCGCTGAAAATCAATAGGCTTCTTCGTCTCATGACCTTAAACACTGTGTATAAATTTAAAGTCAATCGGATATTAACTTTAGCCTCTAGAGCGTCCACAAGCAATTATGGATGCCGGACGGGGGCGACGACAATATACGACCACATTTCAATGTGGGCGTATAAAAACCAACTAAAAAGATCTTCTAGGAGTCAAATTCAGAGTCCTTCATTTCATTTTGATGTGTATTATCTTTATGAAAGAGTGTGTGTCCATGTTGTCCACTATGTGCTGCTGTCAGGATCTGATTTACCTTGTGCAGAGGGGGGGGGGGGGAGGGGAAGGGGCGGGACAGGTGAAAAGACGATCGAGAAAAATTAGAAAAACAGATGCGATTTGGCACATTCTGAAGTACATTTTGGGTGAGTAATACAAGTTAAACAATACAGATATATTGAACATTTTTGGGTATTAAAACATAAGTTTCAAACTTCAATCAAGGTGTGATTCCCAAACAGTCACTAATAAAGGCTATATGACAAACCTTTAGCCAAAAGTTGATCATCATATAAATTCGGAAGCTTTCGTGGCTATTTGTGGGTGATGTTCTTAGTTTCAAATCTAAATTACAATCTCTTGTTCATTAAATGGACATTTTGATCTTCTATCTCAATCAAACATGTGTGTGTGTGTGGGGGGGGGGGGGACATTTGTCTCACTTTGATAGTAATTTGGCACATCCTGCCAGAAGACAATGATTAAAGGATACACACAACTTATCATTAAGCCCACTATTCATTCTACAGTAAAAAGTCAAGTCAATAAACGATAGTTTCAAAGCATTTTATTATGCCATATGCCATATTTTATGGATGAGTAAGCCGCTTATAAATATATTGTATATTTATGTCAAGTTTATCCCTAAAACCATGTATTGTCAGTACAATAGTATCTATTATGTTCTTTACTGTAATAAAATGCCAATAATGGATATTGTTGCTATGTACTTAAAGATAGAATGTATAATATATAGTATAAAATTTATAAACTATAACTTAACTGAGCTATAAAGGTATTGAGATAAAACGATTTTAAAGGAAATTAAACTAAATATAATTTTAGATGGATATAAGATAGGCTTAAATTTATCTATTATATTATATTATATTATATTATATGTGTATGACAAACATTTAATAACAATATTCATAATGTTCAATGTAATTTCTTCAAAAAAAAAAATTAATTTCTAGAAAATAAGAATGACACAGATCTACAATATTTACTTACTGAACTTGTTCTAATATGCATTTCACATTTCATTAATATAATTTTGTCCAAGTGAACGATTTCAACTGGACAGAATTTAAATTCAAAACCTGATAAAAATTGAATTATTTACCTGACAGAAAGTGAATTCTTAATCTGACAGAAATTGAATTCTTGACCCGAAAGAACCTGAATTCTTAAATATAAGAATCTATTTGTTTTCAACCTGACAAAATTAAAAGTCTAGTTTTCCAAACATACTCTACATATAACAATTCACTGAACGATTTTAATGTTTTCACATACATCTTTAGCAGAGAAAATCTGGACTTATCTCCTCGCTCACTACACATTCAGGAATATAGGGGATTAGCTTAAAATACCCAAAAATATAATGGCATAATGTAAATATATTTATAATTAGGTGTATATATTTATATAAGTTAACAAATGCATAGGAATTATAAAAGGACGAAGAAAATTTTCTGGCATTTAATAACTTTAATATACAACACAACCCTAAAATAGCAAGTATTCAGACATCGTCTAACATGTACTATTTCTTTCGTTATATACATACATAGATAAAATATCATATTTATCGCACTTTACATCTTAAGCTACTATATACAATTAAAATTTTATCTATAATAACTTCTCTTGACAAATTACATTGGAAATTTTATAATAAAGAAAAAATATTTCCAAAAATAGACACAACACTTTAAGATGTAACAAATAAAACAAATTTTAAAAAAAAAATATTCATTTGAAAGAGAATGTGAATGACCTAGATTAATAGTCAGGAATAAAAAAAACACCTTAGAACAATTAGCAGAAATAAACTGGTACAATTAACAGGAATAAAAGACACAACCTGCCACAATTCTCTACGAATAACTAATCTCAATTGTACTACAAGAGGTAGAAAATAAATGAAGGGTGAATAATATACAGAGTTAGGAGAGGAATTATTCCTTCTGTCCATCTATGATATACAGTCTGTCTATACATATCTATAGCTATATCTACATTATTGTTTTATTATCTAGATCTATACACTCTAGTAAAATATATTACATGGCACAAAAGTTTCATACATGACAACTATACTTAATAAATCAGTATATAACTTGTCTATGGGTAATTATCTCCCCTAAATTATAGTTCACACTGTTACAGCATAGTTTCCTTTAATTCTGCTAATGCTGATGAACACCTCTGAAATCAAAAATGAAAACATAGTTATTTATATTTGAGTAATTTCATCCATTATAAACTGGTATTTTAAAAATTGCATTTAGTAGCAGATTCAATAATTCTCACTCAAACACAAGACAATACAACTAAGGGGCATCTTTTATGAAGATGCAAAATCAACAAGATTTATGTGTATGACATTAGGATTCATAGAAATAATATTTCTAATTTGCTGTTTACACAAAAAGGATTCATAGACTTTTTCTTATTAGCTGTTTACACAAAAATAACTCTTTTTTGAAATGTTTGTGTACTGCCAAAACTGATTGCCAAACTCAACTTTTACTTTGGATAGAATAATCTCTTTAATTAGTGTGAGCCATGTATTTTCTCGACAATAAAAAGCTTAACACTTATAAATTCAGAAAGTCCTAATTGTCTGTCACTCCTATGCATTTAAGAAATGAATTAGTCTTACTTAATACTTATTCGTTGATTATACTTTCAAATAATCCCCAAGAGACTAACCTACCAAATGAAATTAGACACAATAGTAGCATATTCATGATGTGTCGTGACAGGGGAATATGGCCAAATTTGAAAGTGATTTTGATCATACACATTATTACAACCTTTATTTCCACACCACACCCATTTTGATTCATTAACCACTATTAAAGAAACTATATATAAATAACCTTCCAATGTTCTATATCTCTTACTAGTACATTGTATTAAATGTCCACTCAAAACAAACTAGGTCATTTCGAGACTAACACATGGATCAGTTGTATTTCAATAATTCGTTTGTGCATAGCAGTGGGAGGAAACCGGAGGTCCCAGAGAAAACCCACGAGGTGGACAGGGGCCTACTCCTTGTCACGTACATTAGGTACCAGAACATGTTCTATATCGCTTACTCTCACACTAGTATTAAACATTAGGTACCAGAACATGTTTTACCCTCACACTAGTATTAACCATGTTCTATACCAAATACTTTTCTATGGGTTTTTTTTATAGAGAAGTCACATATAAAAAAAGAGTGAGTTAGATCATAATGCTAGACATTGAGTGAAAGCAAATTATTGAAATAATTGTTTATATACTTTTCTATTTTTGACTTCTTCATCAAAAAAGTTTAATTTCCTTTTAAATAGTTATCTAAAATATTGTTTATAATTATATTTTGAAATGATGATTATTGAAAAAGAAATGAAATAGAGTTTAACGTCCTACTTTTCTGCACCAACTGGGCTAATGAAGAAAGTATTGAAAGAGAAGGATGATATACAGAAAGATAGTTTGTTTTCCTCAGTGATTAAGAACATTGCTAATCCCAATAAACAATGCAGAAAAACACTGATCAACCAGCATACTATGGATGGACCAGGAACCGAGCATGACATCATTGCAAACATCTTGGAATTGTGTCATCATATCAAAAATCAAAGTCTGTCAATCGATGCACAATTGTCTAAGGAACAAGCATGCCATTGCCAAATTTCCTGTCAATGGTCGCCCCAATGAAGAACAATAAGATAAGTAGCTCTTGGGACACAGGTCCTGGTCCAAAAAATAATGCTTTCCTAAATTGTGATTAGGTTATTAAGGAAGTCAACAGGCATTACTATTTCTATATTGCTATTCAAATTCAAAATTTGTAATTCAATACAGATGGTTTGACACAAATACTTAAAATAAAAGACTAGAACATTATTTTCTACAAAATACACAAAATAGAATTCAAAATATACATATCTTATATGGAATTATTAATATATTAGTCATAAATATTTAACCTTTGTTAGCTTGCTGAAGCCATTTTATTTTGAAAAGAATTTGTGAACTGACAGAAGATTAAAGGCATAAAATAGCAAATGCCATAAATATTTTGGGAATGAACTAAAATCTGGTCCAAAATCATTTTTTAAATATCAGTTTAGTCAGAATGGTTATTTACAAAGTTATATATTAATAGATTTCTATGAAAGCATTTTATTTGTTCTCAGCAGAAATGTGTTAAATAACTGAATAATTTATTTTCCAGGATAATATTGCATAAATAAACTATATAGAAATTTCACATTGATGCAATAAAATATTAATTTATGGGACATGCTACAATGGCAAAAACATAACATAATAACAATTTGATTAATAAATAAAAATGTTGGCTACTTAAATTTCAATACATAGTTATCAAAATTCATGTTGTTATATTTTGTTCATGCTACACATGTTTAGCTGGGAATTATGAAGATTTTGTAATATTTATATCAAACCTGTTGGAAACTTGTCAGTATTTATAAGCTGTAAATGAATATGATATATTTGATTTTAAGGATGTTAATATTAAAATGTAACCAAATAATGTTTTTAAAAATGGCCAACATAAAGATCCGAAGTAAAACATTTTGAACCTAAGATAAATGCACTTTTGAAAAAGAAAATTTTCCTGAATAAACTTTCACTGTGGAAATGAACCCATAGCCTAAAATGCAGCAAAACAATTTCCCTGTCAAAATGTTCTCCTGTGAAAGGCAGACATAGGTCTAGTAACTGTATTATAATTTTAACTGCCAAAAACAAATTGGCCCACCTCTGACAAAATACCAAAAGTAGTAGCTGAATTTGCAAAACATGTCTGTTCAATCCTTTTTTTTTCAAAGTACACTCAGGCTTAATTTGAGAGATTGACAGTTTTATCAAAATAACAAAGATATAAGCTGATATGCAATTTATATCATTATTTTACCTGTTTGTTGGGGAATTGGAGTTCTTACGTCTTCTAGGTATAGCCTACAAAATAAAATAATTTGCCATGCAGTGAACCCTGAGGCCATTCCTAAATAATAAGTGGAATAACTTATAAATAAATCATAGCAGTGAAAGTAAAACTCAACAAATAATGTGCAAATAAAATCAAAGAGGTAAAAGTAAACTTTATTGGTACAGCATAACTGCACTGTCTGCAACAGCATGATTAATAAGTGAAATTCACAATTTTGACTGTTTTGTTGTTTAAAATATTAATTTGAATTTCAAGTAATACAAAAAAATAATCCTGGTCCTCAGACAATCCTTCCAAGAAATCTGATTCAGTATCACTAATGATTGTTATTAACATTTTATTTATCATTGTTGCCTATGGTACACTTCTGTTTCTGTCTAATTTCTTTATTGTGTTACATCCTGTAACTAGGGGAAAATATGAATGTGCTATAAGTAGTTTTTATTTCATACTTTTAAAACTAGAAACAGAATATATTTTTTTATGGACTTATTACCCAATGGCTGGAAAAACAACATAAAAAAAGAATAAAGCATATCAGAGTAAACTAAAAGGCAACTCAAATTATCCTTCGAGTCATAATAAATTAAAAGAAAAGATAACACTCAAGGAGTTCAAAATGATGTGTGTTAAAAATAAACTCAAAACAGAAAAAGAAATAACCAAAACTTACAGGAGATGCTTGTTTGGAGAAATTAAGATGTGCATATAAAATAACACCGATATCCTTGTGGCCTGCCTCCATAGCTATTTCCAAGGCGGTACTGCCATCCTGTTTAAGTGTTAATTACAACATCAATATATATGTAAACATGCAAATGTACGATACACAAATTCCCTTTAATTCTGTACTTGTACCTGGCAGACTGAATTTATATATATTCTTTATTAAAAATACATAATCATGTTGGAATATTTTAAGACAGAATTAATTATTATGCTCATATAAAATATTTTTGGGGCACAGAATCATACAAGGGAAAAACAAAAAGACAAATCTATATAAAAAAGCAATTTACGGAAAGAAGCTTCAAGACCATAATCATGCAAAAACAAAATAATAAAGATTTTGTCAATAACCAAGTAAACTCAGTGGACTAAATAATTAAACATTTAAAAATTCATGTATGAAATCACACCACTTTGAAAAAGTATGTGAGAGAGAGAGAGAAATGGGGTTTAACATCCACATGACACAAACAAGGTCATTTCGGGACTAACATATGGCTCAATTTATTTCAATAGTTCGCTTGTGCGTTGGGGTCTTTAGTAGTAGGGGGGAAAACAGAGGACATGGAGAAAACCCACAATGTTGGACAGATGACCCTACTCCTTGTCACATACAACCGGAGAATCGAAACCATACCAGTTGACTCAATGACCAACTCTATCATACAACATGCACACGCTAACCATTTGGTCATCCAACCTCCCTTTTAAAAATGGATGATTGGGACAAAAGAATTAATGATGTGTGTACAGAGAACTCTTTTGAGGAGCTAGAAGTCGTTGAGAAGTATTGCATATCTTCATTAGCCCAGTTGCTGCAGAAAAGTAGATCGCTAAACCCCATTTTCTTTATTTTATGTCTCACAATCACTTCCACTCCAATCAGTTGTGCGTTTTCATTGCCTCTCTGTATATTTGTACTATCATGGCAATGATTTTATATGCAGGTTTTTCTAAGAAACATATATACTATCTATGAACTAAACTCAAACCATGCTGTAATTTTTTCTAATTTGAATGTTTTCCTAATTCCATACAATTATCATTTGCTATAAGATATAATCTATTCTTTAATTATTCATAAATCCAAGATGTTCAAGTACGATGCAGATCATGCCAATTGTATAATTAACCTTCAATTGCTTAATATTATAAATCTGCTTACATTATCAGTTAAAGATGCATCACAGTCCACCTGTCCCAGTAGAAGCTTAACAATCTCTGTGTGACCATGTTCACAAGCACACATCAAGGCTGTTGAGCCGTCATCATCTCTCTGATTAACATCTGCTCCAGCATCTAATAGCAAACGTACCATGTTAGTTCTGCCATGACTTACAGCCAACATTAATGCTGTTTGTCCTGCCTGTAATGATAAAGTTTTGATTCTCTGTCTTTTATCATTTCTAAAGTGGAATTAGTGCATAGGAGATCTGTGCCAGTTCTTACAAAATAATACATTGATACTATACAAAATTTGGGAAATCATATATAGTTGGGATACAGATGATTTAAGATTAATAACGAGTCAAACACAGTGTAGCCAATATTATTGTTTTTGAAAATTCCAAACTTCCAACAGAAGCTCATGCCTTGTGTTTTATCTAAGTAGATAAAGACTTGAATTTATATGCTAGTCTAACGTTTAATATAATATCAATTATTTTATTTCCTTCTTGAATGTGATAATGCCTCTTTAAAATATTGTTTCTCTTTAATGAAAGACGTATTTTGTGACTTTTTGTTACATCTTTATTCTTACAGCTATACATATTTTGCCCATGTCACCGGTAACTGGGGATGGGGAGCTAGCTGGGTAAATGCCCCAATGTTTTAATAAAGCACAACTAACTGTTGAAGCATTTTTCAAAAAGTAAATCACTGAAATTAAACATGAAGTTGACAATGATTGTGATAATTTTCATATTATTGCAGTTTGAAAGTTAGTAATTACCTGTGAAGCTTTAGCATTTATGTTTCCTTGTGAAAACAGGCGTTGTACAACAGCACGTAACTCTGATGTTTGTTCAGAAGCTAAAGCTGCTAACATCAAAGCTGTATAGCCTGCTTTGTTAGGTTTGTCTATATCACAAGCCTCTGTATCTAATAATAAACTAACCACTTCAAAATTACAATGTGATACAGCATAGTGTATAGCTGTGTTTCCCTGTAAAAAACAAGTACACTATGTAATAATTCTTGTAACATATTACCATGGTACAGATATGTCTTTGTGGTACACTTAAAAAAACAACATGGTGTATCTTCCTCATCTAAGTCAGATACTGAATACACTGTGTATATGATTACAAATCAGATTTAATTAGGAGATAATCACCGGCTGTTTAGAATTTAGAGGACTGTAATTCTTATCCATTTGATAGCGCTTAAATCATTAGAGGCTGAGATTGCATAGCGAACAAGCACCTCTAATGAAAAATTTAAACAGGAGGTGTTTATCGATATTGTAGCCCAAATATTTAACATTTTCCTTGGAATTCTTTCTTTTGTTGTTGTTGAGTCGTTTTGGGGTTTTAATGGGGTAAAAATCAAATAAAAAAATTTTGACGTCATGAGATTAAACACTACTCTCATTCAATTTGGTTCACTGAGCGACTGTTTGAAAAAGGAGATCACTCTGCATTAACTTTGAACATGTATTTTTTATCTACTTTTGCTTTGTTTTGATTTCTATTGCCGCTAATGTCTACCCGAAGACCATTTGATTGGCTAACCCCTCATTTCAAGCAGAACACGAGTTAAATAACAACGCTTCCAGATCCAAGTGTAGTAAAGACAAGTAAAATCGAAATTTTGAACTATAAAAACAAAACGAAATTGGATCTGTGTTTTAATCAGATTGACTCTAATTATGACAGAATGGTCATCCCATAGCAACCATTCTTGCCAGACCAGCATTGAAATAAAATTTACTAATTTATCTTCTTTCAAATACACTCACTTATTTTGTAATTTTGTATTTCAGGTGTGTGTGTTTCAATAGGCTAAGCCAATAGTTGAATTGCATTGTTGATGACATTCAAGCAAAATCTCATGAAGATATCCTAGAATAAAGTTTTGAGGTGTAGAATTTTTTGCTACTGGGAAGATATTCAAGTACCCTGGAAATATTCATTCGCAGTGAGTCGCCCAGTAAATTTAAGGGACTTATACTCATTTAACGCCACTTTTCGACCAATCAGAATCCAAGAAATTTCCATTTTGGGCTACAATATGCATTCATTTGATTTCATTTCGTATATATTCATTAACTAATATTTATGTTTCTCAGACAATTGACATTTGGTAGAAAATTTCATTTAAGGAAAAATATTTTGGCAAGGTGGGGATTTTTGATGACAATCAAACAATAAAACTCAACCAATTAATTAAGATCAAAACCATGCATATGGACTAAGACTAGTAATTATTTCCCCTTATTTCATGATGGACGAATGTAGTGCGAGTTATAAATAGACAATTTTTCCCTTAATTTTTTTCTCCCCTCTTCCTGCATTTTTGGGTTGACTTTTTGGTCTAGAATTGGAGAAAAGGGATCAAATTTGCAATTTCATAGCAGTTTTGGGTAATACTGATGATATTACAGCGGAGGGATAGGGGGTGTAAAGTGTCTTTCTGCAGAGCAATCATTGTGTCGGAAGTGAGATTTTCACCCCTGTCAACTTCAAATCTGTGTAGCAAAAAATCTAAATGGTCAACCCCCTACAAAATTATGATGAGGAGATTGCCAAATGTTGTCCCCATTGTGCCTATAAAGATTGGAACCAACGGAATGTTGAGCAAAAAGCTACAGCCTGTGATGTTACAGTCATTTAACATTGAAGTCAATGGGCAAATAATTGCTAGTCTGAGTCCATATTTCTATTGACCCAAAACAAGAGTAATCTCCCTCCTCAAGCTGGAAATATTTATGAAAAGCATAAAGTTTAGTTTAGACGGATCGACATATAGACATCAGGTGACAAATTTTAAAGATATACTTTTGATATTGTACTTACATTGTCATCTGTCATATTAACAATATATTTCAACAGTGATCTAGAAATTTCATTAAATGAAGACATATAATCTTCTATTTGATAGGCATTGGCTAATTTATTGTTGGTTACTTGAAACCATTCATTCATAATGGTATTCCTGGCAGTATTCTGAAAAATAAACCATAAACAAGATGACTAGTCATCAACATCCTGCACAAATGCAATTGTTTGGAAGGTATAAGGAAAAACAACTTCTTGGAATATCAGAAGATTCATACTCTGATCATAGTAGCTCGACAAGGCACAGTCTCTACTCCCTGTAAAGTCTACACAACAGCTTTTGACTACCTCAATCAGCTGCTGTATTTTAAACAATTAGCTTATACATCAGAAAATAAAATACTATAATAGGCTGATATTTGTACAAAGTTTCAAAAAGATTTCTTAAACAGATAATGAAATCGGGATAGAAAGACGGACATCAGAAAATAAAATAATAGGTTGATGAATGTAAAAGTGTTATAAAAGTATCTTGAACAGTTTCTGAGATATGTTATAGAAAAAAATTATATACGAAAAACTAAGTCAAATGTGTTGTGGTAAAAACTCAAAAATCTTTCAACAGAGAAATTTGATTCCATGGAAACACAAAATTTATGAAATCTGAGAAATTTCTAATAAGCAAAAGGACACAATTACTATCACTGGTTGATTTTTGTACAAAGTTTCATGAAGATATCTTGAACGGTTTATGAGATATGCTCCGGAAACAAAATCGGGACGGGCAGAGTCCATTTCAATATCATTCCCTAACTTCATTCAGAGCAGGATAAAAAGGCTCAACTACCATAACAGGATGATGTTGGTACAAAGTTTCATGAAAATATATTGAACAGTTTATGAGATAAAATGAAAATGAAATAAAATGGGGTTTAACGTAATACTGTGTGTCATGAGGGAAATTTTGTTCAGACAGTGGCGCTATGGCCTACATATATATCAAATTTCATCTGCTAAGGGATCATTTACGTGCACGCCAATGTGTACACAGGACTTATGTTTATAATCCCATCCAAACGATCTGACAGCTATCCTTGTCAGGCCCTCCGTCCTGCACCATTGAATTGGGGACACCATGCTTGAAAATCCTGATGAACTTTCTCAGCCAACACTGGGAGAAAACCTGACCTGCAGGTTTATGAAATATGCTCAGAAACGAAATCGGGACGGACAGAAGGACGGACACAGCCCATTTCAAAATTACTCCCTAAATTCGTTCGGCACGGGATAACAAATACATGCTCCATACTTATTGTTAAAAATAATGCCAACATTCAACTACATATTGATTGAGAAATATAACCCAATATTATTTTTAATACATGTTTTTAAACAAGTTAATTTTGTGTTCATTAAAAGTTACTATGCGCTTTAGCTGAAGAATCCCATGCATAAGTGTATCAAATTATTTATTTTAACATGTTTGACTTTTTCTTCTGGAAAACAGCTGGTACATTTAGTGGGGCTAATCTTATATCTATAGAGTCAATTTGTAACCCCAGGCTGATGAGCAATGCTGGGTGTTTGTTTAGTAGCCTGACAATCCATAGTTTTAAAGACCTACCAGTTGTCTAGTTTGTACTGTTGTTGAATCTTCTAAATAATTAGCTACAATGACACAGGCACCTCTCAGAGAAGAAGATAATTCAAAACTGAAAAATTCATTAATCAGGCAAAATTCAATAATCAGATATAATAAGTCTTATTTATTTAGTGTGATGATAATCTATTAAATTTTATGTTGATAGTTAAAGCTAGTGTTGAGTTAAAGTGTCGATTTTGTGTTCCACTAAGATCATTAAACAAGATGACTTCCACGAAAATTCAATCATACAGAGCTGTGCCGGATCAATAGTCAAAATAACACAAAGGATCAACCCAAATCAACACTTTATTTTGATTTAAATCAAAAAGGTTTCGCATTTAATTTGTATCAGTGTCTTCAACACCATATTCTTTATATGTACATCAATCACTAGTCTTGGCAAGAAAGAGCATTCCAGGCTTGTAGTTCAATGAAAATACTTCAACACTTTTTTGGGGGCATCGAATAGGCAAATGAATCCCTCCCTGAACAACAGTAAATGTAGCAGCCTCTGGCCTTCAGCTTGTTATATAATAGCTGAGTAGAATAACTTACGTTTCTCTGATATTTTGATCAAACATCTGAGCACCAGGTACACCAGAAGCTATAACAACATCATCTTGACATGAATAAACAATCTTTCCTTGTCTACCATCATATGAACCCTCATCATAACTAGCAGAATCACTATCAGATTCTCTATCGCTATCCTCACTACTCAATCCAGTTCTAAAATAATAAAACAATTTTAGGGTAAATTAGAGTTATGCCCACCAGCATCAAATTAAACATCTGATACAAATTAAATATCATGTGCATCTAAAGCTGTCTCCCCCACGTCCCTGCAAATCAGATCTGCGCATAAGATACTTATGTACTTACCCTCCAACAACCGAATCAGCAAAAGTTATTCCTCGTTTAACTTGAGTGTCTGATTTACTTCTCTTTATACAGGATTTAAGTGAATCATATTTACTATCACCCAGCTGAACATCAGAAGAGAAGGAATGACTTTCTGAACTAGATGTCTGCTGATTCTCGTCGCTTGGATAAGATGAGGAATAGTAGGTTTCTCTACCACCCAACGATGTACTCATACTGGAATCAGATCTGCCAGCTAAACGTGATAACTCGGATTTCATAAATTCAGATCTATTAAATTCAGCACTTTTAGCATCCCCTGAATTATCACCAATAAGTGTGGTAGTAACCTCACCATCTGGTCCCATTACAGATCGTGTTTCTGTTCGTCTGCCCTTGCCATCACCTGTTATTTCTAATGTTCTTACACTTTTAGTAATTGAATATCCAGACCCAAAACCTGAATCAGCACTTGTTTCCATAAGATTACTTTCTCCGCCAATGTTCATAAATTTGTTCATATCAACTTCCTTGGAATTTCTTTTCATTTTGTTTTGAGAAGAATCACTACCCCCCTGAACAGTTCGAACCGTTTTTACTGTTGTCATGGTTTCTTCAGCTTCTTCATCAAACCCTAAATCACTTGTTGACATTGTTTTAGTTTTTGGACTTCCATCTTTATTTTTATCAGACAGATATCTCATATAACCTTGGGCATTTTCTACATCTTCTTCGGTAATTGTTACATCTTTTAGTTGACAAGGTTCATATTCCACTTCTTTTTGTCTTCGATCGGTGGTTATTTTTGATGTATATGAAGATGATGGTGATGTTGATATTCTTGAATAGCTGTTATCTACTGAACTAGAATCATCTGTTTCAATGTTAGTTCTTCTTTTCATGTGACGGAGACCAGAGAAATCTGTACCATAATCATAAGGATTAGGATTTGTTTTGATGGACTCCTTGGCTTGAATGATGTGACTGCTCACAAAGTCTGTTGGTTCAATGTATGTATGTCCAATACTAGATCTGCTGGATATGGAGTAACCACGAGCAAAAGGTTCCTGACCGATGATGCGTGTTGTTTCTACTGTACGTGTTGTTGATTCACCAGAGTCATCGGTTTCATCTAAGCTATCTATGATGCCATGATTAATTCCTGAACCACCGTAAGAACCACCATGATAACTGCTGCTATAACCTGAGGTGACAGAACTGCTACCACTTGAGCCAATGGCTACAGGTATTGAAGAAGTGATGCGCTTAGTTGTAGTTGTATATCCAGTGTTCACTGGTTGTTCTTCAGTGATAATTTTTCTTGTAATGGAATAATTGGAGTCATTGGAATTGGAAGTGATTGGCACTTGTTCTTCAAATTTTTTTGTTGTATATGTTTCGTAATAATCTTCTTTAATCTCCTCGTCGTCATACTCTTTCTCCACTGAATCACTGCTAACACCAACATCAGCTGTTTGAATAGTATTGTCACGTTTCTTATACATAACTCCATCTGTGTTTGTAGATTGTTCAAAGAAAGAAAGCTCAAAGTCAAAATTTTCATCCGTGAGGGGCTTTGGTTGAGTATTAATGCCTTTGTTTTGTGTTGATATTCTCGATGTGTTGCTGCCAGTGTTCCTCATTTGATCTGTAGCTAAGAACACTTTCATGTCAGTCTGAAGCTTAGCATGTTTATGACCCACAGATTCAGTGTTCGTAGAATTGAAACACTGTCTGGCTTTATCTGTTGATGTACCTTTTGACCGTCTGTCTATGATTGGAGTATTAGTAGAGGAATCCAGCATCCACCCTCTTTCAGTATTCATGCTTCTATTGGAAATTTCTGGACGAGCAACAACACCAACTGATTTTTTAATGGTGGTTGGTCGGATATCGATATCTATACGATCATCACCACAACCTACGCTAATACATCTCATTCGCTCACTACTTGTTCCTGTGTTCACCATCTGTGGTTTTAAGTTACAGTTTATACCTATAGAACGAACACTATGGTGTAACACTTCCCGTAGAGCAGAACTCAATTCCTCCTTCTTAAAACTAAGAGAAGTTAGTAAACTACCTGTATCAACATTAATGCCCACTGTTCTTGTTGCAGGTTTTTCTTCATCACATACATACATTATTCCCACATCACGGGTTGGTACTCGACATTCAATACCCACATTTCTCTTACTCACTGAACCCGGTCCACCAATAATAACAGTACGCAGCTCTTTCTCATGAATCTGAACACCAGAATTACCCATAACATTTCCATCTCCAACACCTATGCTACGTGTTACAGTTCTTGGACTGCTTTTTAGTACTGTTTGCACATGAGGAGAGTGAATTATTTCTCTTTCGTAGGTGTGTGATCTGATTTCATTCTGAACTTCATTATGTCTTGTGGTGTAACCAGTTGGTAGGAATGGCTGGAGAAGGTAAGGTTCTATCACGCTGTGGTCTCCAATACCAATATGTCTTATTTTGGGTTTAGGGGATACGGCAGGTGGTGTTTTATTTCCAAGAGTCATAGGAGAAGCTGCACGGGGTGAAAATTGGAAATCAAAACTTCTTGGAGTACTTGTCATTTTATCATAATCTATGTTAATTTGGTTATCTCCAGTACCAACTGTTCTCGTTAAAACCCGATTGTTTCTATTAGCTTTAGCCTGTAGCATTAGCAGACGCTTCTCCTCTTTGAGCACAGATATTCGTACTTGTAAAATTGGAATGGCTTTAGCTTGTTCTTCTAACTCCTTCATGCGCTTAAGACTGACAGCAACTGCTTCACGTATTGCTTGTAAGGAGGCTCTACTGATCGTCACTGTATGACTGTCAGTAGTAGTGGTTGACGTCACTTCTGTTGTTGACATGTGGGATTCTAGGGTAGCAGCTAGCTGTGCAGATGTCACTGTATGATATTTCTGTTGTACTGTATCAGGTAAATCTTGATCTGCTAGCATACCTGTAACCTGCATAGTGTGAAGCGTTCCATGTCCCTGATGCTCACTGGAAAGTGTAGATACGGACGACAAAGAACTTAAGGAATCTGTTCTACCTGAGGTAGACAGAGAGGTAGCAATGTGGGAGGATTCAAAAGATTCTCCACCAGAGTTATGACGGGGGAATGTACTGAATTCTGTCTTTTTGACTGTGTAATAATTTTCATCGCTATCTGAACTGGCATAGCGTTGTTGTTGTTGTTGTTGACCAGTGACTTCCATAATTCTCTGTATTCTAGCATCCACTGAGGAATCTATTTCATGTAGCACTTGATGTGAAGACGTTTGTTCATACTCCACCATATTCATGAGTCGTGATGCCTCTGTAGAATGGACAACGTCAGGTGGTGGTGTTGACATCTCATCCATTCTAGAAGAATCTTGTTGAAGCATCACTTCCATAGATTTCCGTAGTTTTCTTTTTGTGCGTTGAATTCTTCGAAGGTTTTTAAGTGTTCCACCATTTGCCATGGACTCACAATAATTAACAAAGTCCAAGTCAATATGATAGCCATACGGACAACATGAACACTTTCCATCATAAAATGTAGGGGATGTTATACTTTCATACGGCTGATCAAATCCATTAGGTTCTGATAAAATAAAAACAAAATAAACAGCATTAAAAATATTTGAATATTTATAAAGAACATGAAAATAGTTAATTCACTTTAACAAAGTTTTGCCACTCTTTGATAAATTAAAATGTGATAAGATTCCTTAAAATGGTAGACATCAGTACAAGCATCAAGGGAAATACAATACAGATAAATAGATACTTCCTTGTCAGAAAAAATTATCATTTCATTATTTCTCCCCTTTTCCAAGTTTTCACATGCTATTTTATGGAACATGTACGTCATGTCAATTTAATCTTATAAAGCAGAATTTTATTAAAGATGTTATTTTTTTCTATAAATATATAATGTTTAACGGATATTCGGATATTCACGAACATAGACAGAGGACTGTGTCATGTCAACAATGCCTCAATAATTTAAAATGTAAACATTAGAAATTGGAGAATTCTGGGTAACTTCTCACTTTTAGTGACATTCACACAGTTATTAAATAAATACTTTTATTTCACATGTACATGCATTTATGATGATGCAGAGTGAAAAGTAAATATGGTCATAAATTAATACCTGTTAGATGTTCTGGTTCAGTAATAAATTACATATCTAGATGTGTGTTTGCACACTTTACTGATACCCATACCCCAATTTTACATCTGTTCATCGAGCCTATTAACATGGAATGGGTTAAGTTATGCAGAAAAAGTTTCTTTAAAGCTGTAAGCAAATTACATTCTTTTAATCGTCTTATTTAGGCATGTTCCTACACAGTTCATTAAAATGTTGACCTTAAATATGCAGTTGCCCACAACACCATCCTAATATTGGATATTCATATAACATTAAATATATAGACTACAAACCTCTTCTCTTCACCTCTGCTGTCCCCATCACATATGTTACTTGTGTTGCTGCCATATTGTTTTCACGAAATCCCCTTGATGGGATGGGGCTTGATTTTACATATCAATAGCACCAGGCTGAAAATAGCAAAAAAGAAATACTGTGAATGTACACCCACAACTAGGTTAAAAAAATATTAAACAACAACTTGTTTATGATAATACAAGTAAAATCATGTTATAGACATACATGTAGCATCTGGTATGAGTTATAACAGATATATGTACATCTATAAAAATCATCTTATATAAGTGTATACAAGAATATATATCAATATTAATCCAACCACTGATCATATAATACATGTAAAAGTATCCATTATTAGCTTTTTCTTCAAACAAGTTTCTTGTTGTATTTTCATATGAGCAGAAATTGTTGGGTCAGATTGCAACAGTCATGCTCTTATGCAACAGCAAGCTAGACTTTTTATGTAAATGTTTTTTTTTGGGGGGGTGGAGGGGGCTGATTTTCTAATTGAGATTGCGGGATGTGTCGTAAACTAGAAAGATTTAATACAGTTCAATATATTTATAAGGAAACCTTGAGAACCATAACATTTCCTGGAATTAGAAACTGTTTACAACAGCTTTAGTACTTTTTAATGATTATTCACAGTGGAGTACAAACTGGGGTGGGTTTAGGGCAACGGCGATATAACATTTGGTCAAGACAGCCACAGAAATTTATACAATAATTGCACTTGTATTAATATCACCTTTTGAACATTATCTGTCAAATACAAACATGTCTAAAGTACTAAGAATCTTATTAATATTATCACTATTATCCATTATGGTGTAACAGTGATATATTCGAACGCTTTTTTTTAAATTGGATAAAAATTGTGAACTCTAGAGTGACCACATGCTAAAAATGTGATTTTTCGTTCAATTCCCACTGTCTAGGGATCTTTTACATCCACACCAATGTGTACAAGGGACCTCGGTTTTTGTACTATCCGAATACGTTGTCCCTTGCCAGGCTCTCTGTTCTGTACCACTGACAAGGAGGAACCGTGCCGGAAAATCTGGATGAACTTTCTCAGTCCAATGCAGGGACAGAACACCCGATCTCCAGGTCAGCGAGCCAACGTCTTACCCGCCTAGCCAGCGATTCGATGAATGCGGCTAGTCATATCCCACAGTAGATACTACCGGTGTAGACTGGAATAACCAAAGACTACCATTCAATTTGGAATCTTCACGCATTTCACCAACATAACTGATTAGAAATTTGAGTAAAAACAGAAATGATTGAATATAAATCAGTTTATATACATTCCTATTACATTATTACATGCATTGCGACCTAATTGTTTCTAGTTGCCAAAGAATAGAGATTTAGCTCCATTAATTCAAAATCCAACTTGTTAGATAAAACTCTTTTGGGTGTAAATGAATTGGAAACATCCATGGATATTAACAGCTGAATTATAACTAAACTTTCAAAAGCTACACTATCATACACTCATACATTATTCACAATTTTACATTCATACCCATGTCTGAAGTATCACATGATCTTTCAATAAATGTGATTCCGTCACACTGCCATACTGTAGTAGCCTAAAGAAGTCCAAGGGTGTTTTCCTCCAAGTAGAAAAATTTCAAATTAGACAGTCTCAACCTTGCCTTTCAGTTTTTGACTAATTAAAGTGGTTTTATGTATATTTCTATGCATGCTTGTCATGTAAATTTCCAAGTTTCAGCCTGAATCATGAAAAGGAATATGAAGAAAACAATAACAGGCTTACATATGAGTAACAAATGTTAGGTACATGCAGGTACATCCGAATATGATCTTTATATTCCTACCTATTTCCAGTTAATTTGGAAACTTATTGTTACCCATTCAAGTTTGTTCTTTTTCAAAGATCGTCTCTAAAGCAAGATATTTCCTTACTTCAACTACTGTGAAATGTTAAGCTATCTAACACCTGTAATTAACCAACATGAAAAGGTAGTTTAGTGTACATGTACTTATCACCAATCACTGGGCTTTAAATTGTAAGAGAATGTCTAAAGGAGATGTCGCCTGCTTCTACTAAATCAAGGTCCACCCTTTGATCAGGTCATCACGTACATTCAGTCTTTAAAAGGGGAAAATCGATAACATTTATAAAAAAAGAAGGGTTCCATGATATTTAAGTAATAAAGAAGAAACTCCAGTTATATTTTTCATGATAAACTTGGTTAATTTGGGGTGAAAGACTCTTGTAAACATTTATCCTGGTCCTATGCAACTAACTGAAGTTCTGTTATAATTTTTTGAAGAAATCCAAACTTTCAATGTAAGGGGTGGCCATAGACTAGATCCAAAAATTCCACAAGTGATTGTCGCAATTATCAAGTCACTCATATACCAATGAAGAATGAACTTTTTCAGGTAATTCTCAATATTTATAATTGACTTGAATTTTTCAGACATGGTAAACATGTAATATCGTCATATATTGGCATTTGGTTTACAAAGTTAAACCAATTTTTATTCACTGTGGCCTGTAAAGTCTGGCATTGCCCCTTGGAGACTGTACTACTAATTTTAACCGTGGAATTGTACCATAATTATTATGTACAATTTTAATAATACTTTGTTTAGGGCACCTATAAATTAGGAGATCTATTCTACATACACAACATGTAGTCTATCTTATCACCCATCTTCATTATCCCAGTTGATGCAGAACAGTAGGACGTTAAACCCCATTTCATTTCTTTTCTATCTTATCAATTAATTAAATGATAACAGTTTATATCTGTTTCAATTAGTCATTCTAATACATCCCTGCTAAATTTCACTGACAGAGAACCTATTTAAATATTGACAATGCAGGTTGAGGTGTACTAGATTTAAGCTGTTTTAATCTATTAGATAGTGTCTATACACTTGGTCTATCATTAAAATTCAGAATGTATGTGTAGACCAACATACTTTAGTTTGCTTAAATCAATTTTATACCTCATAAAAATGCTGTAAATTGTTCTTCTTTAGGCAGCACATTTTATTTGTTCCCTAGTTTAAAAATTTTGCCGGAGACAGTCCCCCCCCCCTCCCCAATATGAGTTTCAATCCGATGGGCCTGCATTATAGTGTAACAATATGTTTTAGTACTATAAACCTCATAAAAATGCTGTAAATTGTTCTTCTTTAGGCAACACATTTTATTTGTTCCCTAGTTTAAAAATTTTGCCGGAGATAGCCCCCCTCTCCAATATGAGTTTCATTCCGATGGGCCTGCATTATAGTGTAACAATATGTTTTGGTACTATAAACTCAAAGTACTTGTTGACATACTGAAACCTGCATCAATATAATTATGATAAAATTTCTAAGCTGAGCTAATTTCAGATACAATATGTTGATAAATGTTATGACAATACTCTCAATGTGATTTGACATTTTAATGTAGAAACTTAATTGACAAAGGTCACTGTTGTGGCTCATATGATTGTTTCATTTGATTGAATAGGAAATAATTTCAATAATTGAGGCCTAATACATGTAGGAATATAAAATAAACTGTTATACTAGGACAGAATATGATATATGAAAAGTCTGTTAAATACGTCCTAAAATCTTTACATTGGGTTCCAATTCCCGTTAGCATTATCCCTTAAAGTCCTGTGAATCACAGACCAGTGTCTACCAAACTTGCACCCAGGGGCGGTCGTACAAAATTTTTGTCCAATTCATCTAAAAAAAACCTTTTTTTCTGCTGAACATTATAAGTGGGGGGGGGGGGGGGGGGTGTATTGGATCGGCCATGGAGCGATGATGATCGTGTTGTATGTGGCCGGTGGCTTTAAAGGGCCGCCACGGCCACGCCATCACTGGAGTCTGGAATGGGCTGGTATAATAGTCTTTCTAATAGGATTCACCCGACACTGTCGCCCACAAATTTACTAATTATTAAGTCACGTGCACCCTGTTTGTGGGGATACGCCAGAAACATCTGCCAATGGTTCGTAACTCCAAAAAATTTGATGATAGCTGGTCTGCTGGCTGAATATGAGTGCGAGATAATTTCCTGAGGCTGGTGTTAAACATTCCTTGAAATTTTTATTAACTCGTTATTTTCAGAGATGAAATTACAGAATTGGGATGTTGGGAATCCAAAATTCAAAAAGCAGCTTTCATGAATTTCACTTTCGTCACTCTGTACCAATGTGTCTTGTGGCCTTCCATCACAGGAGGAATCAACTAGCGCTTCCGGCAACAAAAATGGGACATTTTTCAATGAAAATATTCCTAATTATTCAATATTCCTAACTGGTTAATCAAATGGTCAAAATTTTCTCAACTAGTCCCATTTTTTAACCAGTTAAATTCTCTTGACTCTTGACTTTTGATAATACGTTAAAAATTAATAATATGACGATATGATAATTTCACAGGTTGATGGTTGTAAATTACTTGCAAGTCGGGTTTTGGCCTAAATTAATCGATTTATGAGATATATTATTTGACAGAGATTGTAATCAGATATGCCACCAAATCGTTTATGGCCCCAAACCTCCCCTGCTTGCGCCCAACAATTTATCTAAACAGCATACCAATCAAAATGGTCCTTGTTATCTTTTATAACCAGAACACACTTGTCATTCCACACTTGAGGGAATGTTACAAGAATTAGAATTTCTGTGTACCAGTATATCTTTTTTCTCCTCGGCTTTGAGCTTGCTTTTGGATTCCGTTTAGCTCACCTTATTAGAATTTAATACAGATATCCCAAGTTTTGTCTCATCCACTCAATATCTAAGCCTGGTTTGGAGATTTGATTATAGGCTTGTCATGTGAATAAATGACAAAAATGATAATTTATATAACATTTGAAGCCAGAAAAATACCTGAAAATAGGTCAATTTAGCTTTCACATATTGCATCTTTGAGAATATTACTGATTATAGCAGTCAATCTACATGTATACCCTAAAGGTAAATGTATTGTATATAGGCCTATCCTACCATACACTGTAAATACACAATTATTGATTAACTGTACATAGTTCTAATAAATAATCAATATATACTGCAGATAATAACATCCAGTGGAAGTAATATATGCATAAACTCCCATG